GATTATATAAGACGTTATACGGAATACAGACTGATTAAATCGCAGGAAAAGGCACTTGAGGTAGGTAACTGTTAATGGTACTAGAAAAACATTTTTAATATTTTTTTTTTAGGCATTAAAAGACGGGGTTTTTGACGTTCTGCCTGAAAACAGTATGAACAGCTTAACCGCAGAAGATTTACGTTTGCTCTTGAATGGCGTCGGAGATATAAACGTATTAACATTGATTTCATACACTACCTTTAATGACGAGTCTAGTGAAGGTCCTGATAAACTTCTAAAGTTTAAACGATGGTTTTGGAGCATTGTTGAAAAAATGAATATATTGGAACGTCAAGATTTGGTAACTGTTCTTGCATAATTCAAATATTTATATTAACTATATTTTTTTTTTTTATATTTTAGGTTTATTTTTGGACAGGTTCGCCAGCCTTACCTGCTTCGGAAGAGGGATTTCAACCCTTGCCCTCTGTTACTATAAGACCTGCGGATGACTCTCATCTTCCCACTGCAAATACTTGTATATCTCGACTGTATATCCCTTTGTACTCCAGCAAATCCATTTTACGCACTAAAATGCTGATGGCCATCAAATCCAAAAATTTTGGATTCGTATAAGCTAGAGAGCACTTCTTTGTTTATAAGTTATTCTTTTTTCCTTGATTCTATTTTAGATTTTGTTTTTGTCTTATAGCAGCTCTTTGCAATTAACCATACCATTCCCATTTTTGATTATATAAAAATTGCATCAAGTTTGATAATTTTTCTCAAATAGATAAATCTTTTCGTAAAATTATTGAAAGCGATTGTCGAAATCATTACAGACTTGTTTGGAAAAACTGGTTGGTAAATATATTAAGAATCAAAACTGAAAAAATTCAAGCAAGAAAAGCAATTAGGTATTAGAAATCCTATGTTTTAAATTTGGAATAAAGTATGTTTTCTTACACAAATGTATACAAATCAGTTCTAATTTTGCTCTGAAATGGTGTGACACTTTATTTAAAACCTCCATCCGTCGGTTCGTCAGACCTGACCATCACACACTCACTGTAATTGAGATAACAAGATTACAGGATAACACAGCTTGTAGTTTGGACGTGCTTTACATATGGTCTTTTCCCTCTGGAACTTTCGGAGGAGTACCGAGCTCCTTTGCGGTGTTTTTTTTATTGATCTTCAAATTTGGCCTTGTTAGGCGTTGTGAAGGGGTTAGTCGCCCGGGGCATAGCCCGCGTGCCCCGGGAAGCCTTATTAAAACTGGAGGTCGGCAGGTATCCAGAGTCCGCATATTAACGACCGAGCACCCCCTCGGCCATGCATCCCTCGGCATATGACAATGTCACCTTGGATTGGGGTTATTTAACTGATAGTTTTCTTCTCTCCGGCCGACTACAATTAGGCAGCATCCTGACAGAGACATGACCGTACCAGGACCTGTTTCCAGCCGCCGTCACGGGGAGAGTATAGTCGCACTTCCTCCGGTGTGTACAGTTACGGCGGGTGCCGGTTCGCTCGTGACCACCTGTATCCTATGGCGTGAAGCCATGAACCCGAGGCGCCTGTGCCCCGTTTCGAGCTTACAGTTGTGACGAGCCGACCCGTCATCCGATTATCCCTCTTTAGCACCCGATGGCTGACGTCCTGATGGAACTTAAGTAATTTTTATTCATGATGATTATCCATTTCTTCTGTATGGTTAATTAATAGTACTGTTAATGGATTCCAAACATTACATTACTTATATAAAAGGATGAAATTGGCTCGTAGCTTTCTGTTTGAATACTTTGATGAGGTACTAGTATGTTATCATCGGTTCGCACAGTACAACCATATATTTTTGTTAAAATTCCTTGTTGCGGAAGATCAATTAGTTCTTGATTTGAGTTACTACATTCAATTCTAGCATTAGTGTTTACTGGAACTTTGAAGATAAAACTACCCTGTATATCTAAATCGACCCAAAGTCACCTTGTCTCTGCTATCTTTCTACGAGGCTTGTCCGTAAAATAAGTTCCACGGGCTGCCGCTGGCGCTAGGATCGTTTCTTTGCGCCGCCAGGCAACAGAGGCAGGTTGTTTGGTTTTCCCACTCCAATCCCTTACCAAGCCAGCGTCGCTGTGACGGTTAGTCTTGGCTCAGCAGCCGTCAGCGATGGAGCTCCCTTCTGCGTCTCCAGCGAGCTGCGAGTTGCGGTCTGTTATTCGTTTCCTGGCCGCTAAGAAGAAATCGTCGAAGGAAATTCACGAAAAACTTTGTCAGATGTATGGAGAAGGGTGTATGAGCTCCAGGATGGTGCGCAGATGGGTCAGGGACTTTAAAAACGGCCGAACAGACGAACACAATGAAGCCCGTGTATGGTGGCCATCGGTTTCCGACGAAACAATTGTTAAAGTCGAAGCGGCAATGCTTGAAGATCGACGGATTACTGTTCGGGAGCTGTGCGAAAAGATTCCGCAGGTGAGCAAAACCACAATTGACAAGATTTTGACTGAACATTCTACACGGAGGCGGCAGAGTTTTATGACTCTGCTTTGAAGAAGTGGGTGCATCGAATGCAGAAGTGCATAGAACCAAAGACTATACAATACCAAGATGTTGCATGAGCGACCAAAAAGCTGTTCTATGGCGGGTCCTAACATTAGAACCCAAACGGCACGAGGGAGCGCGCGGGGTTTCAATTCCCTTTTCGCCTGTACTTCGTCTCTACCGCGACCCCTCTGCCCATCGGTTTCGTCTGTTCGGCAATTCTGGACTCTCGAGCCTCAGCACCGTCGAAGCAGTGGTCGCGGATCGCCGATGTCTTTGGAGCGGCACAGTGGGACCTTTGGCCGTCTCAGCTTGCTAAATTAGTTAGTGAATATGATTTTTTTACTATTTCGGCTGAGTCCCCACTCTGCCGCGCCAAAGACATCAGCGACCACGCTGCCCTACGGTTTCGGCACGCAGACGATTCATATTTTGTTTTTGTATTCTTTCTCTCGAGACACACCGACTCGACGCTGACCGAGGCATTGACGAAGCCGAGTAGCATTTCGGAGGCGATGGTAGCGTAAAAGAGAATTGAAGTAATAGCCCCGCGCGCCCGTACCATGAAGCGTCAAACGAAAATTGAAAAAGAATTTGTTCCTCATGCAACATCTTGGTATTGTATAGTCTTTGATAGAACGCATCGGCGATCATGTAGAAAAATAAAAGTAATTCTGAACTGTCCGAAAATGTACTTCTCTTAGCTATTAAACCAGTTTTTTGATGTGAAAAAAATTCATGGAACTTATTTTACGGACAAGCCTCGTATAAACGCAATTTGAATAACCTCATGGCATCTTTTGGATTCATTTCTGAGTCTTGCTTTTCTGACTCAATTCCAGCCAATGCATTGTTCGTTTTATCAACCCGTCTTGATGTTTTATAGTTACTACTAATGGCCATCTAGCTGGGTTCATCTCTTATTAATACAATCTGTGTCCTTTTTTAATATTCTGCATTCCTATTTTCCATTCTAAATAGGAATGTGTGCAAATAATCTTCCTTCCATTTAATCCAAAATTCTCTTTTCATTTTCTGAATTAATCATCACCAATCCAGATTCCCGATTTTTTCCTCTGAAATTGTCTCAATCGGGCCAAATATTGGCCTTCCAATAATAAAATGACTTGGTGTTAATACATCCAGATCGTCAATATAATTTGTAGCTGTATGCAAAGGGCGTGAATTTAGTACCGCTTCAATTTGACATAATAGAGTTTCCATTTCCTCATAGGTTAAATTATTGTCCCTAATTACTCTTTTTAAGCGATATTTCACTGATTTTACACCAGCTTCCCAAATACCTCCAAAGTGAGGTCCTGCTGGGGGGAATGAAGTGCCACTCGATCTGTTCTTTTTCTAATATTGGCAACAGTTTTAGGGCTCTTTGGTATTCCTCGTCTAATTGGCGCGAAGCTCCCACAAAGTTGGTTTCATTATCGGTTTCATTGCTCATTTTCCCCCTTCTTGAGAAAAATCTTCTAAGTGCAGCCAGAAATGCACCTGAAGCAAGATCGCTGACGACTTCCAAATAAATAGCCTTTTTCGACATGCACACGAACTCGGCAGTATATCCCTTATAGGATTCCTGCGCCCGGTTTTTAGAGCATAATTTATGGCAGAGATCGCCAGAGAGCAATTCGAAGAGCAGAAGGACCTTCACAGGAAGAAGGAAGAACATGATATGAGGCAGGAAAAGATAGCCTCATCCACACGTAAAAAAATTCCAGAATGATTTATTGGAAGTACTGAGAAATATAAATATATAAGTTTTTAATTTGCATTATGGTCTAAACAATATTTTGCGATTGCAGATCGTATCTGTTCTGCTGACTGATTAAAATCACCAGAACTGATTCTGCTATCGGGCTGTTCGCATATTTTGCTGTTGAAACACGGCCGAAATAATTGCTACATCTTGATCATCCATTATAAGAACCAAAAATTAATAAATCTTCCGCGCAAATGTAATGCACTTGTTATTGGCATTAGCTGTTTTTGACGGATGGTGGATGGTGCCAGTGTGAATCGGAGTTTCACATCCGTCAAAAAATCCCACCATTCCCCCGGGATGGACTCAGTGTGCAGAGCCTATAATCCTATACATTTTATTCCGTACCACTAAGTGAAATTTTACAATTCTAACGAAAACTGTGGTCATCTGCAATTTGTGCCAGTGGGAATTAGTTTTTCATATCTTGAAAAAAGTTCCCACCGTAACCCCTAGATGTTCTCCCTTTAGGTAACTACCAGCGTCAATGTAATGACACCTAGTCTGCGTCATTGTGTCTAATCAGACATCGATAGACAACGCGCGGTGTAAAAACGATATTATCTCTTTAAAACATCGCATATACACTTTATGAAGTATCGATAAGATATCGAGAAAACATCATTGGTATTCATATTTGCTTATCAAAATACATATGTTATGGGAATAGCGCAATTAAACATATTTTAGTGAAGCGTAATCGGAAAAATTGATTCTGTATAGAATATGGATGTTCATACCAAAGTATTACTTGTAACAGCTAATGTTGGGAGTTTATTCGAAGATGTAAGTAGAAAATATTTGAAAAATAGAGGTTTGTTTACATTTTAACATTTGTATAAACATTTGCATAAATGTATACATCACTATTAGAATGTATGTATATTAGAAATTTTCATGTACATACGAGCATTATTTTAATTATTTCATAATGCAGCCAGAGGGACTTCTTCAGACATGGCTACACGAATTTCTTTCCAAGGTTTCGTATATTCAACCAAAATTTTTAGCTTTACACCTTCAAGAAGTGGGAGGAAAAACTTACGAGAAATCAATGGAACACGTACAAGAATTTATCAGATGCTTGTGTGATGATAGTGTAATGGCAGATTATTTATCCGTTCATGCATATTTGGATGAAGATTTTAAGTCAGCTGAACACTTTACGGTAAGTAAATAAGGCCAGTCGCAACTTCATAAGCGACAATTAGATACCCCGATGGTATATGTTCACTCGGTTTCTACATACATATACACATATGTACACATGTACATACATAAATCGAATGGTTTAATTTATTAATATTCGTTTACATGGGTATATATGTCAACCATTACCTTAATGGTAAATAAGGCAGGTTACCAAATATTACTAGCCTTCTCTAGTACTAATCTTATTGGGAGAGAGCGGCCTTCACATGCCAGGCAACAAAAACCCACCCTTAACTGATAAGTCTGACCAATGGAGAGGGTTTTCCTTATTCCGTCCTCCATCTTAGGAGTGAGTAGATAACATTAATATAGATACGTTATGGTGGTATTCCACCAGTTTGCGAATAAACGAGGGGGAACGTTGTGAGTCGCTGCGGACATCGCAACTCTATATTTACACCCGATACTTAGTCAGTATGGCTCTCCTCCGGCAGAAGCCAAATTGATTTGTTCCTTTGGACTATATAAATTATCTGATCTGATCCAGATTCAGCAATCTGATAGATATGGTCATTATCTATGATTCTGCGCTTTTAGTTTTCTCGAATCTGCAATATTGTGGATGCTACAGATTTCCGTCCTTTGGGCGGAAGAGGGTGGGGTGAAATTTGGAGATATACGTTTTATAGTGAGATCTAACAGAAGTGTTGATACCAAATTTGGTTACTCTAGCCTTAATAGTCTCTGAGATTTGTGGTTGCCCCAGATTTTCGTCCTTTGTGGGTCGGAAGGGGGTGTGTCGAAATTTTGACACAAAACGGTCAAGGTCCGATATCACAGAAGTGTGTATACCAAATTTGGTTTCTCTGGCTCTTATAGGTTCTGAGATCCTTGAACTCATATTTTGCAATTGGCAAAACCGACCATGAAACCTGTGTGTAAGAGAGAGAGAGCAAGAAAGAATGAAATTGTTTTCTTGATTCTGGCTAGTACAACATTTTGCTTTAATTCTTCGCTAAATTTTAATTTTTCACTTCACCAAATCGGTGATACTTTTTTATTTGAGGGAATCACATTTTTTCTTTCGCTGAGAGTTACGTAAGATCTCTAGAATTTAATTCGTATAGCTTTCTTGGTATAATATGCATTTGGTAAAAGTTATTAGGAAACCAGCAAACTTACCCTATACATTCTGGTCGCTTCCCTCAGCCACCAACCACCTGGATCTCTGGCAACAACAAACTTAAGACATTGATTGGCAACCCAGATCTCCAGACTAACGCCTCCGCACTTCTACTTGTGAGGTTATTTGAAAATTAAAGCTTACGCCAGCTGAGGCTTACTACCATTGAAGAGCTCCAGGAAAAAATTCGTGCCGAAATCATTGCTATACCGCCCGAAAAAATAGAAAAAGTATTGGAAAAATGTGCAAAAAATAAATTTGTATTGTGTCCAATAAAGGTGGCCACTATATTAATATTGTGTTTCAAAATTATTCTGAATGTATATATATATTTTTTTTTTCAAAGTTATTCGATGTTGACACCAAAAGAATGTGTTCGGGCCAGCCGCCAAATAATAACCGTAACTTTAAGCATTATTATTGTATGAGCAGAGAGAGCCGCCTATGTTGTAAAACGTTGACTTTTTGCAGAGCTGCTGCGTTCTCCCGCTAAAGGAGCTCTCTGCCTCCGCCACTTCGGCAATCACTTTGATCTGGCGCCGTCGTCTATTTCAGTTCTACGCTAACCCCTCTGCGCATTGGTTGCATATCGATCTCGCCTAAATTCTATCTGGCCATAGAAAACAATCGGCTTCCGCTAACCAAATTCTCTTTTAATTTTTGAAACAATAGGTGCCAAAAAAGCTTTGCATCTCAAACAGGATGTTTTCCACGGAAAAAAACCACCGAGACCAAAAAAATTCTTATTGAATAAAATCACATTTTCATTTTTTAATTATATTATTTATTATTATTATATATTATTTTCTAATATTTTTCCTGTATATTTTAAAATGTAAATTAACATGTTTCCTTTATTATTATTATTAAAAAAAAAATCAAAGAAAAATGGACCAACGGCGGCTAACGGTATTTTTAGTATCTGTTATCACCACAAGAAATTATTGTTCCGTGCAAGATGTCTAGCAAAAATGCGCTTCACATTAAACAATTTTTTTTTGTATTTTTATAGATTCAAAACTATTTTTAAGACACAGTTTGCTTAATTTGAAATTTATATAAATATAACATTTTATAATTTATATAAACATAATATTGTCTCTTATAGGCACTTGGAAATCTATACTTCGCTCATATAGACATAGTGTCTTTGAAAATATGGAATTTTTTAACTCACAACTGGGAAGAGCAAATCCAAAAAGATAAACACATATATTGCGGTAATATTGAAACAATTGCAACAAAGGAAAAGTCAAAATTCCCGCAAAACTATTTTCCGGAAGTAAGTATTTATTTATTTTGCGTAATTAAAAATACGTAACACACTCTTGAATTCTGAGAAATGTCAGGACTTAGCATGAATCGCACATTGACTTGGGTTGCACGCTCGAGCCTGATGCTCCTTATGGAAGCATATCTTGACCTTTTATTAAATTTAAAGCATGAACACCGGATTTCGTTTTGAAATTTCGATTCCACCCCCGCTTCTACCGATCGAGGAATACTTGTCATCAATCTCCGAAAGCACTGAAATAAACGAGGGGGAACGTTGTGAGTTGCTGCGAAGACCGCAACTCTACATTTATACCCGATACTTAGTCAGTATGGCTCTCCTCAGGCAGACGCCGCTAATATTAAACGACACGACAAAGATTGCGTGCGAGAGAGACAGAAAACCAGTCTGAGCGTGTCGTCGGGCACTGCAAAGCCACTGCAAATTGATTTGTTCCTTTTGGCTACAAAAATGATCCTATCTAATCCAGATTCAGCAATCTGATAGATATGGTCATTCTCTATGATTGTGCGTTTTTCGTTTTCTCGAATCTTTAATATAATGGATGCCACAGAGTTTCGTCCTTTTTAGGAGCGGAAGAGGGTGGGGTAATCTAACACGAGTGTGGATACCCAATTTGGTTGCTCTAGCTCCTATAGTCTCTGAGATCTAGGAACTCACTTTTAGCAATAGGCAAAGCCGACCATGAAATGTGTGTGTTAGAGAGAGACAGAGCGAGAGAGAATGACATTTTTTTCTTGATTCTGTCTATAATACGATCTGGTTCAGATTTTGCACTCTAGAAGATATAGTCATACTCAGTCATACATTAAACGCAGGTTTTCTGTTTTCTCGTATCTTTGAAATTGTGGATGCTACAGATTTTTGCCCTTTGTGAGGGCGGAAGTGGGCGGAGCGAAGTTTTGAAATACAATTGTAACAGTGAGATCTAACAGGAACATGGATACAAAAATTAGTTGCTCTAGCTCTTATAGTTTCTGATCTATAGGCGCTCATAGAGAGGGACAGACGGACGGACGGACAGACAGACATGGCTCAATCGACTCGGCTATTGATGCTGATCAAGAATATACATACTTTATAGGGTCGGAAACGTTTCCTTCTGTACGTTACATACATCCACTTTCACCAAAAATCTTGATACCCCTAACTCATTTTACGTATCGGGTATAAAAACAGTTTAAATAAAAGTTAGGGGAGAGTGCGACTATGTAAAATTCTGGTGGTTGACTACTAAGTAACTGACAGTTAAAATAGTTGTGGTATACGACTGATGTTTGGGGGACTTACATCACTATCATCATCACTCAATGGCCGCCTCAATAATCCAGGACTTGAGGCAGGCAACAGTGTCGCTGCAAGGATACGCACCTGGAAAAAATATTATAAAATTTGCTAGCTATAGATCCTTAATGATTTAAGTTGTACATTTAGTAAGGGACACGGCCAATGCCTTTTATTTATGCCCAAGAATCCAAAAAAATAAAAAATTATACAAATTAAATGAAAATCGATTATAAATAAAGGGGTATGAACTATCGCGGGAGTGTCTATGTGGTTTTAAAGTCCACGAGAACCGAGGTAAACAGCACTTCCTCTGGCGTCCTCTTGGAGGCATCTTCAAGCGATACCAGCACCGAGCCGCCTGGGTATTTTCTCCTTGCTCTTAAGAAAGCCGGTTAGCCGATTACCCCATGTTCTACACATTTCCTTCAGCTGTCTCGCTTTTTTATTCTTCAGGTGGTAGTACTCCTCCACCTGCTTTCGGTCTGTAGTCTGGGCTGCATCTCTAAGTCCCTTTGCAGCGTTCTAAGAGAGGACGTCAGGGGCGGTACTTGAAGGGCGCTCTCGATGGTGGATACTAGCGAGTGTAGTGCCGTCTCCACTGATTTCTCTTTGGTGTAGGCGTGTTGGTTTGTTGACTTCAATCCCCCTACCTCATTCCTGATGTGTAAATCCAACAGCTTTTCTAGTGTTTTTAGTATAAAGGAGGTAAGGCTTATCGGTCTGTAATCCTTGGGACTCACGTGGCTGCATTTTCCTGCCTTAGGGAGGAAGACAACTCTCGGGGTTCTCCATTGGATGGGGATATAGCCCGTACTTAGGCATGCTGAGTATATTGCGAAGACCTCTTTGGTCAACTACATCATGGCTGGAAATATCCCGTCCAGTCCTGGTGCTTTTATGCCCGCGAAGGAGTCTATGGCCCAGTGGATTCTCTTAGTGGTTAACAGACCTATTCCTCAGACCTGTTCCTCAGTTGCTAGGTCCTGATGCTCCTTGGCATCAGTGACCTCGGTGCATCCAGGGAAGTGCGCCTCCATTAGTGCTGTTAGAGCTTCTTTACTGCCCTCAGTCCACTGTCCGTTGTCTAGTTTTAGTTGGCTCTGTACTGTGGGCTGCTTTGAAAGCAGCTTCCGGAGCCTAGCGGTTTCGGGCACTTTCTCGATGTTGGAGCAGAAGTTTCTCCACGAGTTCCTTTGTGCCTTACCTATTTCCTTCTTGTAGCTCCTAAGTAGGATTTTATATGGTGGATAATCTCTTCGTTCGCTTGTTTGGCGATCTTGAAGAATTCCTTGAGGTTGTTCCTTTGGAGAGAGAGATCTCGGTTCCACCAGAGTGGCTTGGACCTCCTCTTCGTTCTCGAGGGTTTGCACGATGCATGGTAGGCGTTCAGTAACTCGTTAGATAGGGTCTTTAGGGACTTCTCTATATCCTCCGCGGATTTCACTGAGCCCGGATTCGCGAGCTTCGAAGTAACTGTCTTTTTAAACTTTAACCAGTTTGTGTTCCGGGGGTTTCTATGGACTGTTATCTTCGAAGAGTGTTTGAATTCGCACTTGAACTGAATGTACTTATGGTCTGAGAAGGATGGTCTTTCGAGGACTCTCCAGTCAGATACCAAGGTACTCTTTCCCGTTACAAGAGTTAGGTCTAGCACGTTTGACGAGATGGGACGAAGGTGTGTTCCTCGCCCACCTTTGCTACGTCTAAGTTGGTGGATAAGATAAAGTCTAGGAGTGACTCACCTCTATCATTGATGTCAGGGCTTCCCCCACACATTGTGATGGGCGTTGGCGTCTGCGCCATTGAGGAGTTGGAGATTTGTGGAGCCGGCTTCTGTCACCAGACTCCTAAGTTCGTCCGGTGGAGCGGGCCTGTCGTGTCCCATGTAGCAGGAAGCTGCCATAAGGCGCTTTTCCTCGCCTTCCAGCATCACTACCGTCAGGTCATCCGTGCTGTAATGAGACATAAGATTCCCTTCCGTACGAGTACGGCGGTTCTGATCCTGCTTACGGATGTTGAGTGCCCATGCCCATGCCCACGCATGGGAGCGCTAGGGTCCTCCTCCATTCGCGTGAACAGTGACTCAACGAGCTGCGCGTGGACTAACTTCCACTGCGCCGCCATCATCTTCCCATTCTCGTCGCTGCGGTCGATCAAGGCCACAAAGAGATGTCTCTTGGACACTTCGCTCATGGCCTTCTGTCTCGGCTTCCTTGCCTGGGGCTGGGGCTGGGGGGGTGGCCACCTTGGGCCCGCGTTGCCGCTTGCTGGCCGGAGTGTCTTTGGCAGCACTCTCGATCGAGCGTTGTCTCTTAGACCAACCACCTTGTTAGCGAATCCACCGTTTGTTGCCTTCATCTGGGGCAGCTGTGCGTAGTGTTCGCGACCCTCCTGTACCCGTTGCTCAGCCCAGGCTAGCTTAGAATTCTCCTCTTGGGAGATATCCGCTTTGCCCTGGAGCCGGCTCAGTAACTGGAGGGCCGCCTTATACTGAGGCCTTCATCGCATCCCTGGAACGCTTCGGCCCTTCCCTACGCAGGGAGCTGGTACCTGGTTCTTGCGAGCGGAGAAGGCTTTCTTCTTCTGTCTTGCTAATGGATAGTACGCTCTCCGGGTCCGAGTCTGTGTCGACAGCGGCACCCGCGCGGCTCACCCTGCAACGCGTCGTTTTTGTGGCAGTAGTATTACAACTGACATGGCCTGCTCCCGCCATGCCCGCCATGTGAGCGCTGGCGACACGCAGGGAGGAATGCTCCTCCCCGTGCCCGCCGATGGTAGCAGTCACGCTTTCCACCGACGTTTGGGTTGACATCCCAACCCGGGTTTGCTCCTTTCGAGCCTCCATGTTTGGCCCGAAGATCCATACTGGTTAATATTTTTCGGGGGGACTATTCCCTAGCGTTTTATGCCTGGCACCTCTAGCCATGGCCATGGTTCAGTTCCCCCGACTTTAGATCAGGAAGACGATGGACCATTGCCTTAGCTAGACACTGCATTATCCCGGACAGGGCAAGCGACAGTGCATTACCCTCGCCCGGGATAATGCAGTGTCCATTGCCCAGCCGGCACCCTCGTGGAGGGTTCAGCTAGAGGGTTTTTGACAGCCAATTTTGTTGATAGATATGACTTTTTATTTATCTTATATTTATTTTATCTTATTTTTGTTAATGGTGTAATTTGTATTTGAATATAAAATATTATCACAGATACAAAAAGCGTCCCTATGAGCGTCTATAGCTCAGAGACTATAAGAGCTAGAGTAACGAAATTTTATATCTAGACTTCTGTGATATGTCACTGTTTCAAGTATATTTCAAAACATCCCACTTCACCAGAGACGAAAATCTGTGGCATCCACAATTTTTAGGATCCGAGAAACCAAAAAACGCAGAATCGTAGAAAATCGCAGAAAATGACTACACCTAATTCTGTTTTTACACGGTAGATTTGTTCCTGAAAAAACCGTGTAAAAAATGCATTCCCTACCGGCAAGCGAGGTGTAGGTTGCCGTTTGTAGCGTCCTGTCAGCTTCCAAAGGGCGTAATTTGAGTGTACGTCTTCTGTGGCCTGTACTCGTGCCTGAGTCGTTTCTTGAGCAGAGAAGCCCTTCGATCTCACTTGAAGTGTCAATTTTGGTCACAAGAGTGTCGACTGCGGCATCTACATTTTGAGCGGTCCTTAAGTATGTATGTAAGTCTAGCGAGATACCCAGAATTTCCTTGAACAGGTGAATGTTTGAGTTGGGTTTCAACAGACTCGTCATGGCTGGGATTGTCTGCAAAGTTTTTGATAATGTAGCAGTAAGAGACAGTTGGTCGGAGCTGAGGTCATGCTCTTCACCGATATTTAGGACGTGTAGCGTTGAATCCATGACCGCCGCAAGCTGAATCGGCTCCAATTGCACAGCGTATTGGTGAAAGTGGGAAATATCCTTCCGAAGGAGTACATCTCGTCCTCCTCCAGACCTGTTGGAAGGGTGGTCGGCTCTGTAACACTCGTATTCGTAGAGAGTGTAGTTTTTTCGTGGGTATAGGTAGGTTTCAGCCACTAACATGATGTCAATGTTAGGACGCTGTAAAAATAGAGCCAGCTCATTAGTGTTATGAGCAAGGCTACGGGCGTTCCAACATCCGTTCCTTAGGTCCGACAGCATTATGGTCTTCTGGTGTACCTGCGTTACGCAGTTGGTCGAGGAATTGCAAGGTACCTGCTGCTCCCGTTGTGAGGCCCGCTACTGACCTTTGCAGTTCCATAAGAGCTATGGAGTTTGTATCCGTCTGCGGTTCAGGATGAGAACCTTGAGCGTTGGTGGACCAAGTTGGTGGTCTGCGTATTCCTTGAAGCAGAGGGAACTGGGTGATGTAGTCCTGGTGTGTCGAGTAGTGCCGGCGAGTATCAACGTAGTCCTGCTGAGGTTTGTTTCGTCGGAAAGCATCCGCGAAGCATATCCCGCGCTGTAATGCCTTTGAGGGGATGCTTGTAACACCCAGAAGGAAGCATTTCCGACCCCATAAAGTATGTATATTCTTGATAGCCTAGTCGATATAGCCATGTCTGTATGTCCGTCCGTCCCGATTAGCGCCTAGATCTCAGAGAGTATACAAGAGAAGTTTTTTGGCATGAAGATACGAAAAAACACAACATAGCACCATATCTATCAAATTGCAAATTTGAACCAGATCGGATCATTATTATAGCCAAAAGGAACAAGTGAAATTGCAGTGGCTACGATAGCGTAGCCACGCGCTTACTTATTCCCTCTCTTTCGCACACTCTTCATCGTGCAGTGTGCGCCCTACTGACTGAGTATCAGCTATAAATGTAGAGTCGCGGCCCTAGCTGCGAACATGGTTTGAAAATCAACGAGGGGGAACGTTGTGAGTTGCTGCTGCGACCGAAACTCTACATTTATACCCAATACATAGTCAGTATGGCTACGTGCGTGCGGGAGAGACAGAAAACGTGTGTGAAAGTGTCGTCCGGCGCTGCGTAGCCACTGCAAATTGATTAGTTCCTTTTGGCTATAAAAATGATCCGATCTGGTGCAGATTCGGCAATCTGGTAGGTGTAGTTTTTTCGTATCTTCAATATTATGGATGCCACAGATTTTCTTCCTTTCTAGGGGAGGAAGGGGTGAGGCGTATTTTGAAATACTTGTGCAGGTTCGATATCACATTAGTGTGGATACCAAATTTGGTTGCTCTAGTTCTAATAGTCTCTGAGATCTAGGCGCTCACTTTTTGCGATAGGCAAAGCCGACCATGAAAATAAATTGTTTAAATAAAAAAAAAGAAAATAAAATTTTTTTTCATTCTGGCTATAGATTCTGCAGTCTAGAAGAATATTGTCTATTGACTATTATCATCTCGACTCCGCATTTTTGGTTTTCTCGTATCTTTAAAATTGAGGATGTCGCAGATTTTTGTCCTTTGTGGGGATGGGGTGAAGATTTGAAATACACTTGTTACAGTGACATATTACAGAAGTTTGGATACAAAATGTCGTTGCTCTAGCTCTTATAGTCTCTGAGCACTAGCCGCTCATAGGGACGAACAGAAGGAAGGACGGGCAGACGGACGGACAGACATGGCTCAATCGACTCGGCTATTGGTGGTGATCAAAAATATATGTACTTTATGGGATCGGAAATGCTTTCTTGTGGACGTTACACACATCCACTCTCACCACAAATCTAATATATCCCTATACTCATTTTGAGTATCGGGTATAAAAATGTTACATTTTTTAGGAACTAATCTACAGAATTAGGCGTAGTTCCCTAAATCCTAAATCCTGAAATCCTACATAACCATAAAAGTTATTACTATTGCTAAAAGAATTTTTTAGATGTACAAAAATACGAAAAATTATATTATTAAAAAAGCAACTATGGCTCCGCATGTTTAATACTGTTAAATCTATTCCAATAAGGTATATATTCTTGAACTTTTCTCCTGCTTTAGTGTAAATGGTCTCGGAAAGGTTTTATGCGCACACGTTGGGAAATTAATGGTACAGTGATCGATCTCGTCAATATCCACCTTTTTCATGATGCATCAAATTTGGTTGCTTGTGAAAGTTTTCCATCTGTATATTGTAAAACAAGGAGAAGAGCGTTAGTTCATACAATTGAAAGGTACTATTAAATAAATAATTAAATACAAAAATGCAATTCAATTACATATATTTTAAAACAGATTTCATTCGGATGAAAAGAATGGTTCAGTACCATATTTCCTATTTGGTGATTTCAATTTTAGATGCGATACCGACGGCGTCGTAAAAGTAAGTTAACAATGTCAACCTAAGAAACTGTATTTTTGAACTTTTTGAACAGGAACTAACGAAGAACCTAAATCCCTATCGCGCTGATGATACCAGGATTGAAAACAATAAAGTTCATTATCGTAATTCAATTGGAGACACCGTACTTACTATAGGAAAGAAGGAATTTAGTCATGTCGATCATCAACTGAAGTTTAAGGAAGATTGGGTAACTATTTATTGCAGATCGTAAGGCTATATTTTATTATTTGCTATAATTAGCTCAAGAAGTATGACAGAGAATTGGAGCCACTTAAGGATACTCTAGACGAATACCCGATAAATTTTTTTCCTACTTATCCTTTTGAAGAGGACCCACACATGCCCATGGACTATATGTCAACTCGTTGTCCGGCGTGGTGTGATCGTATTTTAATGAGTCCCCAAATTAAGGAAATGGTCGTAATTGATGAATGGAAATATGGCATGATCGGTGAATCTGCATGCATGGGAGATCATAAGGTAAATTCAATAACTATGAGAAGCTTAAAACCAAACGTTGGTTCACATATGTACATATATGTCTTAATAGTAGATAGGAAAAACCATTTTTACAGAGTGTATTGTAGTTTATTTTGTCAATGACTTGGTTGGTCCAGCTTATCGTAAACTTAAATATGATGTGTTTCATTAAACGGTGCGCGGAAACTAAACGACTTTACACATTATACATTATATTCCTATCTTTTTAGTCTGCTGTTTGAATACGGTTTAGATGCTTGGAGTACCCCAATGAAAGGTTCACCAAGAATGGATTCATCGGGAAATTCATTTCTAGCAATTTATATTATAGTGCACAGTCTGTTCAAAAAAGATGTTAACGCCATGGAAACATTTTTGAATATTTTTATATACATGAATGAACGCATTGAAGTCTTTAGCCAAATCTAGTATATTCTATATTATATCGAAGAACTAGAAATAATTTTAAATGGTTTTATTGTTATTATTCTCTAAAACTTCATAAGTCTCTTTTGGTGTCGGAAAACGTTGCCCATCCTATTAATCCTATTAAAACGGCAAAAAATTACATTAAAAATCTTTTAAATTTGAATACGTATTAAGCGTGATCCTGTGATATCGGACTTTGACCGTTTTGTGTCAAAATTTCGCCACACCCCCTTCCGCCCCCGCAAAGGACGAAAATCTGGGGCATCCACAAATCTCAGAGACTATTAACGCTAGAGTAACCAAATTTGGTATCCGCACTCCTGTTAGATCTCACGCCACCACAAAGGACGAAAAACTGTTGCATCCACAATATTGAGGATACGAGAAAACTAAAAACGCAGAATCATAGATAATGACCATATTTATCAGATTGCTGAATCTGGATAAGATCAGATCATTTTTATAGCCAAAAGGAACAAATCAATTTGCAGTGGCTACGCAGCGCCCGACGACACGCTGATTTTCTGTCTCTCTGACACGCACTCTTTGTCGTGTCGTTTCGCGGCGTCTGCCGGAGGAGAGCCATACTGACTTAGTATCGCGTATAAATGTAGAGTTGCGGTGTCCGCAGAAACTCACAACGTTCCCCCTCGTTAGTGATAAATTTCTTTTACTTTTGAACACATCAGTTTCACACGGAGTGCTAAAATTCTTGTTAAATTTGGTTGGTATATAAAGATTTTCAAAAGATGCTGTTAAATAAATATATACAGTTAATATAAACAACACAGTGCGACATAATAAAACTTTTGGAATGTGTACTTTGTACGGGACAAAAATTATGTTTAGGCCTGGTTGAGTAGATCACATACTTACAGCTTCTGAAATTTGTGGGTATGTTTTGTGGGTATGTTACAAGTTTTAATTAGGGGGAGGTGGTATACACAACCAGGCCTACAACCTAATTTTTGTCTCGTGCAAAGTACAAAAGCTCCGTCGCATAGTGTAATAAGTAATACTAATTGAATTTAGCGATATTGAAAATTGTTTTTAATCGGTCTAATAATTATTATCTCTTCTCTTTTATCATGTAGCCTATTTACTTAAGTGTTCGTCTAAAGGCAAACAAAGGTACTTGTAGATCTTGTGTTTGCACCTATACACAAACTTATGCAAAAAGCGAAAACTTCCCAACATCACCTCTACCCGCAGTCAGAAACATATGTCCCTATTCCAATAAATTATTTTTGGAAGTTTTATGCGAATGTAAAAACATACCTAGCAGTGCAAAGCTTACAAATGTAACCGATGTACGTAAGGTATTCGAATCCTTAAAAGTAAGTCAAAGTGAACATAAAGAAGGAATCACTCCCTCAAATATTCCGAATATAACTATTAATGTAATTGACTCTGATAATGTCTGCTTGTGCTTGTGTTCACAATTATCTAGTACAATTTTGCAATTTGACGATCAAATGGAAAAAACTGATGAATTAAATTGCGTCATGTGTCGTAATATAGGGAAAATACAGACAACCGCGTTCCAACACAAGCTTTTTTCGGAGCGCCTTCTGCTCCCCCAAGACACAATAATCAGCACTATCGATCAACAGCATCTCAACACAGATATTGAACATGTTCATGATGATCCATATACTCCAGAAAGCAATGAGTCACACTCACCTCATCCTGAGATGACAAGCGGATGTACGTCAATCTCAAACCGAATTCGCAATCCGTTTGATCCTACACTGTCACAAGACAGATATTTTGAAATTAAAAATACGGAATTGGACCCTTCGGATAGTGAAAAGCTAGCAATATCAAGAAATTTTGACTCTGAAAAACAACCGAGAGGAACTGTACCTCCTGACCAATTGAAATCTAGGTTAGAAAACTTACAGAAGTTATCAATACGTTCTTTGGGGCGTGATGACACTTTTGTTCGGAATGGTGATGTTGAAAATGTTAATAACGTATGCTCAAGTGCTTATCCATCTCGCACAAGACGAAACTCAATTGTTATCCCTATGTGTTGTAACATTAATTAACATCAGTTTGTTTTTATTAAATGATTTTGCTAAAAAAAAAAAAAGTATTCCAAGGTCGTCTTCTTTTCATTCTTTTCTTTCATTCTTGTCATTTTTTTCAAATACAGCACATTATCTCTAATATGTCGATTTTTCGGTATCAGTCCTAGAATTTTAATATTTATATTAAAGGGCTTACTTAATAGGAATACTCCAATTCGAAAAATTAAGCTACGGAGATGGAGGGTTTTGATTTCGGAAAAATATGGGTTTGAATTTGATTCAAAAATAGTTAAATAACTTATTTTAAAACAAAAAAGTCGAAAGAAAAGAAAATTATATTTTTACATGCAGACGGACGATGCTTAATTTTATTAAACTCAAATAAAAAAAAAAACTAAGAAGAAGAATTTAAATTTGAATTAAATACCTTTTTCAAAAATTCATCAGACGAATTGTTAAAAAATTGTTGGGTTAAATTTGTATTCAATTTGTTTCATCTTTATTATTTTGAAACGAATATAAATTTGATAGATATAAAATAAACATGGTTCGATAGGTCTAAAATGTTGAATTTTCAAATGACAGCTTTTATTTTCTGAACATAACTTTTTCCAGATTATTAAAAAAAATTCACCTTTTGGACCATAGTTACCTTTGCTGTGGTATAAAAAATCATTATCATAAATCAATTTAGCACCAAAAAAAGTTGGTTTTCAATGTCATTTATACATTTTTACATATGTACGTTTTTTTATAAATTCATTTGACAACTCATTTTATTTAATGCAATATCGTTTATTTTTTTCGCAGTGGAAGAAATTCAGCATAAACCCGTTCTTAAACATTTGTTTTGGATTTATATATTTTTTATTTTTTGTCGATCTATTTAAGAAAATAAACATTTACAATATACCTTCAAAATCGTTTATATTTTTTAACTATTAATTTAATAATATTATTGTAGTTAATTTTCAAATATTTGCGTATTTGTGTAAGATCAGTCATATATGAATGTAAACGTAAGGAATCAAAAATGTCTAGGCTCACCCATCATTATTACAAAAAAGCACCCAAGCATTATAGGATTTATTAACTTTTTATTGAACATTTTATCCAACAAAATTTTTTGTGTTACATGTATGCTCAAAGTTATGGTGTGCCTAAACTTTATTGATCCACTTACAAGTTAGTCTTTTAATTATACCAAAGACTTTACAATACCAAGATGTTGCATGATGGAACAAAAAGGTTTTCATTCAGGGTTTCATTTTTCTTGCCCGCTGCCCTCTCGGCCACAACAAATACGAAGGCGCAGAAACGGCGTACTTTTCTAGCAACAAATACACATTCTTTGGCGACCCACAAAGTCTATCCTCTTGCACAAGAGAATGGTTCGAAACGGAATTTGCAATAGTGCAATAACAAATTGTAGGTCTTCGGCATGATAGGCTTATTTTCTCCGAGACGGTGAAAAAATGCGCCTCTCCAAAGACCGAGTATTTGTTATAGGCCGAAGCCGAGTAGGCAGCGGAGCCGACGGAAAGCGAAGATAGCCTTAAAGTGAATTGTACTACATACAAGTACACCGCGCTTAAATACCAAGAAGCGTCAAACGAAAATTTGAATTGAATTTGTTCCTGATGCAATACCGTATTCTATAGTCTTTGATTATACACCAACAAAATTATTATTCAAGAAATTTAAATTTTAGTGGTTTTAGTGACTGGTATTTAATGGATTTCACTTTTTAATCTAATTTATTTTCTATTGTTATAGGCTCTGCGCATATCCCTTATGTTCCCGAATCGTTAAAAGTTTTAGGGCATGAAGCCTTGAATGATGATAGTCTTTGGATGGAACAATCAAACATTGATACTTGTTGTTCTTCGAACAGTTTGGTTGCCAATACGCATTATATACGTATGAAGCCCGTCTCTACCAGCCCGAGTAAAGACATGAAAGACAAGAATGGTATTCTGTCTTGCAAAAATGAAGATTGCAAAAGTCTTGACAATGATAATGCACTGCTATTAAAGGAAACCGTTTAAAAAAATCACGTCAAGAATTTGTGTAAACTGGCCCAATTACTTGTACCTTAAAGTATTGTTTTTAAATTATGTATGTTAAATGCGTCCATCTTAAATAATGTTTTTAAATGGAGAGCTTGGAATATTTAAAATATATAAACATGTGTACTTTATTGATTCTTGAATTTATTTTAAACGAAAGTTAAGAGAGGATTCATGTTTTTTACACTATTCAATAAGTTTTTTTGCTTTAAAATATCTGCGAAGATACAGGACTTGCCACGTAGCCAAACCAAGCAAACAGCACATGCTGAAAATGCTAAAGAATAGGACTCGACTATTTGTTTTTTCTGCAATAAGAAGATACAATTTTTTTTTATAAAGTTATTATTCTTAACTGGCGAAGACTGTTTTCACTTTTACCATTTGTGTCACGCATTTCTTCCTCTCGCTTGCGCATTAGAATAAAATCCCGCACTATTGAATCGGAAAGGTCTTCCAAGCGTTTAAGGTCGACTTCAAGAGGTTTCAATTTGGAAGCCTCACCAATCTATAGAATAAGAGTTTAAAACTAAACGTGGTACCCATTTAAAAAAAAAAAAATCAGTTTGACTTACACCCTCGTAGCTTTTTGTTTCTACACCTTTTTTTGTCACTAGCGAAACCTCTTGCGGAATCCCTCGTTGATCTGTAGCAGTATTATTTATATAATATTTATGGGTAGAAGGCATTGTTTTACATACGTGGTGGTACTTTTGAGATGAAGCATATTTCGTAGGCGTCATATACTTCTGACATAAAACTGAATTTTCCTTTGGTAATGTGCTCCTTTTGTGACAATATATGTCCTTTTGTGTCCCGTGCCTAATTTTATTGAATTTTAGTTTCGATTTCGTTTTAAAAAATGATGATCAAACTTACAACATAGTCGATGATTTGGCCGGGCACATCGGAAACTTCGTATTCCCCCATTACCAATTGATTTGCCTGAATGTCTTCTTTGAGGCACTTTTGGGTGTTTGGCGCCAGGTTAAACATAACACTGTCAATTGGCCAAACATATCCGATGAATAAAAAATAAAAAAACGTTGCTTTTGCCATGTCGTGAGTTTCAATATAAATAACTTAATGAATGACAAAGATGAGGTGGCCAACTTTTCTTCTTCCTACTTCATACTCGACATTCAAAGTAAATTTATTGACATTCCAACAATTGCAACCCTGCATGAAATTTAATTTTAAGTGTTGAAAAAGTGAGAGCATGATTACTGGTATTCGTTAAAAGATTTTCCATTTGCTTAAAATATCGTAGCTATCGGTTGAGAGATATAATTGTCACTCATGTGATGAAACTGTTTATTAAGAATAAAAAAAAACAATTTTTTTTCTTCAGTCAAGTATTTCCAACCAAGTCACAAGTCCAAGTCACAAAAGATTTCCGATTTACTTTTGAATACACGTAAATTGGTGCTGCCGTTTTCACATTACGCAAGATTTATGTTTTCAAAACGAAAACATTTTCGTTGACGAAATGATCAGTAAACGGCTTTTTATAGAACGAAACGAACTTTAATTGCAAAAAGAAAAAAATTGATAACTTATTGATGCATTAATATAAACTTGACACCTATATCAGGGTAATTTAACTTTTGCTTTCTTTATAAATAATTTTATTTTAACCCGACCTCAAATTTGGCTCGGAAAAAATTGGCCTGGACAACATCAATTTTCGTTTTGGTGCAAACAGCGAAAATATGTGAAAACTGGAGAACCTCAAAACGAAAACGAAACATTTTGGCTGAAAACGTAATCCGCAACAGTAAATGAAAAACGGAGCCTGTCTGTATATATCGTATGATTCTGTTTTTGGTATCTTTTATTAGTTGCATTAATTCTTAGGAAAATTTTTAAAAAAATATGGTCAGTTGTATAGGCAGTCGTCTAGAAAAGCTTGTATTGTCAAATGGAGCCTGCCTGATAGTGAAAATAATTCTTAAATTACAATTGAACGGAAAAAATTTGTAAGCAGCAGTTTGCTGTGTAACGAACTAAATTTTCCTGTTGTCTGGTCACACTCTGCTACGGGCGAACAACTAGTTCAACTAGTGAAATTTGTATCTTGTATCTGTTAGTCATAATTCAGTTAACTGATTCTGAGTTTATTGACAGCCAATCAAATAAAATCGAATCAAAAGTAAATGTAAAAGTCCTCAATTGTCGAAACGATACTATACGCATGTAAAAGTTCACGTAACATATTGGTTCACGACTGGTCTCGGAGGCACCGCCGCTATAACAATTTACGGCTTAGGACGCGTTAAGCATTTTATCTACATACACTTTTGTAGAAGTGCGAGTGGTGTCAGTGTGTGGTTCTTTAAGTAGAAAAAATCGCAGTTTTCTAAAAATTTTAAATAGCAACATATACCAATCTTGAGTTTTTTATAAATTATTTTTAAAGAGGTAACTTCAATCATTTTAAATTTTAAAAAGCGTACACTTGTAAACTTGGGCATCATGTATCTTTTTCCAGGTAGCAAACTGCTGCAAATGTCAGGCGTGGATCAGGTAATTTTATTTTTCATAAATACATATGTATGTACAAACATATTTGTACATCTAAATATATGAAACTTTAAAAATCCGTGCGTGAATGGATGTACACACATGCGTTTGCACGTATGCATATGCGTTTGTTACATTTTGATTTATATGACTCGTTGACGGAACATTTTTTAAATTATGTGTTCACTTTTTTTTTGCAGATGAAAATATCAGGAAATACAGGTATTCTGCTAAAAACGATACATTAGGCATTCTAATAGTTAAAGACGTAAAAATGGAACTTATATTAAATTAGAATATTAAAATTTAACGTTTTACGGAATTTCATGTGTGTATACATTTATATACATACCCTTGCAGAGAATACAATTCCTATGGCGATACGATTACAGCCCAGGGAATAAAGCGTTAAGTATATGTACATGCATGTATGTACATGTATGTATGCATGCAATGTACATACATAAATATGTTTGTACTTTAGTGCCGAATCGATATAGTACTGTCCGCCCGTCTGTTTATACAGAAACTTTTCACTCGGTTCTTAAGCTACATATGTACATATGTATCTGACCATATCTGCACAGACTTCACAGAAGAAACCATACTCAAAACACTAGTTTTATGTGTTTTCCATAGCTCGCAAAATTAGATCGAACACAAATATCTAAATTTAAAACTAGAATAGGAAGGTTTCATCTGCAAGGGTATACATATGTATAAGCTTTGGGACCCCCGATGCGAGACTTACTTCTTGTACCATTAATGATACCAAAATCTAATAGCAAAATCGGTTGAGGAGCGTAATATACCATGGAGCCAACAAGTTGATGAGGCATCGTATGAAAATTTATCTTCTCCAAGCGATGAATTCTCTGGTATGATAAAAACTACCGTTATATAAGATACATTATTTAAATTTTGTTCTTTTCACTATAAAAAGTACATGAAAACTCGATGCAATTCCAATATCCGCCGTTTAACCTTAAAGAGAACTATAATTTACCATGGAGTAACATGAAGGGTCGACAAATTTCTACAGACCATGGTATGTATTGCTAATTTACAGTACTAAGTAATAAGAAATTAATCAATTCAAAATAGTATTAGTAATAAATAACATAGTGTAGTCAATTCTCTGATAACTCTGACTTGTTTATTTATAACAAAAAACTACATCCCCAAGTAAAACTGTTTATAGGCGGTCAAAATAATATTAATGTGAACTAGGAACATACTGCTCGCTTTAAAAAGTTGTAAGATCTTGTTAGTTGTTTACAGATCCATGAGATCAATACAATAATAACGTTATCAAAATAGTAAAGCAAGAGTAAAACAATTATACCAAAATATTTTGCGTCAGCCAGACTGCCTGAATAAACCGAATTTCAATATGCTCATCTTTGACCAAACGGAATTAAATCCATCCATTTATTAAACGGCTACTTCCTTATAAGTAAACACGAACCATCTAAGCATCTACAAATATGTAAACAACTGGACTGTTTTATGATAACGCTTAGTTGGTATTGTTTCCACATATTGTAGTTTTGATCTGGCGCCAAGGAACTATCGCTTTAGCGGCTTTCAAGACGAATAGACGGAGCTTTTCAGTTCCAAGGACTAGACCTATGAGATAGGATTAGATGTGTGTTAATTGCCATTCATTAATCAGTGTCAGTCAGGGCAAACAGATCTAGCTTAGTAATCTAGCGTCGCTTCCATTTAAAACCTGGATGGCATGTTTTGTCTAGAACAAAATCTTCAACAAAGTCTAGGTTTTTAAAAACCTATTTTTGCTACTGCTTCTTCATGGATTTATTTAAAAATTAATTTTCACGATAATTTTATTTATTTCGATTTGCAAAATTACTGCACACCAATATCTGTAAAAGTTAGTTTTATAAGTGTTGTGCTTATTAAGTATTAAAGCGGATATTTACCTTAGCTTTCAAAATATCTTCAGACCAGTCCTCTTTTGAAATATTTGTTATTGCTTTGCTCAGTACCTGTTGGAGTTTTTCCACTTTGTTTTTAAAAACATATATTATTTCATGGGTAGTTGCAATTGGTTGGTTTGCGCACCAGCACTCAATGTTAGTAACCAGCCCTATCGAGGCATATAATATGCCCGCTTCCTTGGCCAAGGTGGCTTCAGGAGACAGAGTCATACTGAGCAGATCTGCTCCCCATTTGCGATATATATTGTTTTCAGCAAGTGTCGAATAGCGAGGTCCTTCGAGTGTAAGAACTGTTGCCTTGGAGTGCGTGGCGAGGTCAAGTTCTTGTGCAGCATTTAGAAGATGCTGCCTTGTACGCTCGCAAAATGCAGGATACATTGGTAGATGACAGACACCAAAGGGACTGCCCAGTGTACCATCATAGAAAGTCTGAGCACGCCTTGTTGTGTGATCTATTAAATCGTGTGGCACGACAAAGTCTCCTGGCATAATATCCTCCCGCAAAGAACTAAGGCTGTGGGTTACCAAGATGTGAGTGCATCCTAATTTACGCATGGCCCAAATGTTAGCTCTATAGTTAATATTTGTCGGCATGATATCATGCAAACGGCCATTTCTACAGAGAAGGGCACATTTTACGCCATCGATTAAGCCTTCAATTATAATGTCAGAAGGTTTTCCAAAAGGCGTACATACAGCATATTCCATTCGATCTTGTAGTGAGATTGTTGTATCCAGATCAGCGTCTCCAATTATTCCAATTTTAATTGGGAAAGGATCTTCATTTATCGGTGCTAAATTGTTTTCCATGTCTAAATTTAAATTTTATCTGAACTTTTCGAAAAGTGTTTTTTTTTTTTTTTTTTTAATTTTATTTGTTTTTTATCAGTTGTAAAGATGATCTGTGTTTCTCAGAACACTTGTTCAAATGAACTGTATTTCTTTTAAAGAGGGCTAAAATGTAATATAATTGTATTGTAGTGCGTTGTATATGCTTACCAAACTTGCTATGATGGTTAGTTTTCTAGACAGTAATTCATTAATCGCAATGACAATCAGCTATAACAAGCCCGGTATTCGAAGATTTTAGGGATATAGTATTATTTTTGTGGCAACACCCAGAAAGAAGCGTTTCCGAACACATAAAAAAAGTTTTCTTCAGTGAGTATATATTTTTTTTTAGGTTTTATAATTTTGATTGAAGATGTATATCATGTAAGTATCAAAATATAAAAAAACAAAAAAATAGAAACGAAAACAAAGGTTCTTATATTGTTTTAAAATTATAGAAATCGAATTATTAAGCCAACATTTTATAAATACACACAAAAGAAGATATAAAATTATTCCTGTGGATACAGGTGTTTTTGTTGTTGTTATACGTTTCAGAATGGGTCGTGGAGTACATTTCACGGATATTAAGAGAAATCATATCCAAAATCTAAATGAGGGGCAACGTTTGTGAGTTTATGCTTCGGCCGCGACGCTACATTTGTACCCGATACTCAGTCAGTATAGCTCCTCTCCGCCAGAGGGCACAGATAATTTACGACAAAGAGTGTTTGAGAGAAAGACAGTCTGGAAGGTATGGTCATTCTCTATGGTTCTACGTTTTAGGTTTCTCGTATCTTTAAAGTTGTGAATGCCACAGATTTTCATCCTTTGTGGAGGCGGCTTTTGAAAGGCGCTTGTACCAGCGCGATGTCACAGGAGTCTAGCTATAAAATTTGTTTTCTCTTTGTCAATGAGAACCAGTCCGGAATGAGTCCGTCAAACAAGACGGACGGACAAACAGACAGACATGAATCATTCCACTCGGCTATTGATGCTGATCAAGAATATATAACATATACTTTATTACACACATCCGCTTTCCCCACAAATCTAATATACCCCTATAGTCATTTTCAGTATCGGGTATTGTCCAAAAATGGTGAGCTTGGTGTGGCCAAGTTTCAGTCTATTTATTATGACTTGGTGCCTTCTATAGGGTAGTGTTTGAGGGGAGATTTAGTGATAGAGAGATTGCTGATTTGTTGGTACCACGTAGTGGTATTTGTGAGGAGATCGGTATTCGGAGGACTCGTTTGTAATGCTCTATCTGGTAATGCCCCCTGCTTTGGAGCCATCTGTGTAAAGGAAGTTGTGTTTGGGGAGAGCTGAGTTAGTGGAGTGGAAATATTGGTCGAAGACTATTGGAGGGGTAGTGTTTTTGTTGTGTTTGGAGAGGATTATGTTGATTGATTTGTAAATGGTTAGGAAGTTGAATTTTTGGCATGTGGCGGTTCTGATTGGGCATTCATAATGGCATATTGGGCATATTCATATGGGTCTGTAGTCCGTGCTGAACAGGCGGTGTTTTTTTTGTATGGTTCTTTGTAAGAGTTTTTAGGCGGGTGGATTTTCCGTGGATAAGGTTTTTGGAAATTTTGGCATTAAGGGGGTGGCGCCCTAAGGCTCCTAGAGCGGCTCTTAATGCTGCTTTTAGGATAGTTTTTAAGCGATTAAGTTGGGATGTGGTAGCATATCTATATATGGGAAGGCAGAAGGGATTTCTCTCTAGAGAGGATTGAGCCTGAGTAAATGCACCAGTCGTCTCATTGGTTAAACTAAGTTTTTTGTTAAGGAAATATAAAGTGATATACAGTGGCGAGCACATGTGGATACATGTTTATCACTTTTAACTTAAAGCGCCTGTAAAATCTTTAGAAATGAATCAATCCTTGTGATTTTTTTTTTCATATATTCTTTAATTTAGCGAGTATGAAAAAAGACAATAATTTCAATTCAAAGAGATCCTTTTCCTTAAGATATTTTAATTTGTTAAAAAAAAGGGAATGTATCAACATTTGCACGTTTCAAAGTTTTGCTCCCAAAGCCTCACCCAATCCCTTTGGTGCAGACTCGTACTTTTCCAATGTTTTTTAAACAGAGCACATCGATTTTCAATGGGATTTAGATCTGGGCTATTGAGCAGGCCACTGGATTGAGTGAAAACTCAAATTATTGGGACGATTTTTCACGAATTTAACCGTGTGCTTCGGGCTACCGTCTGGCTGGAAAGTGATCTCGCATATGGGGAAGACACATTTGTCTATATAATTTGACAAAATGGGTTCCTAAATATTGAGATAATATTCTTTCTGCATTATTCCATCGATTTTAACCAATTGGAGAACGTTCCAGTGTAGAAGCCCTACACCATCAGGCTTCCTCGTTCATGCTTTATTGTTTTCTTGACCTAATGATTTTTCAGCTTTCCACTTGAGTTGTGCCAGTATTATTCATTTCGACGAATGCGAATCCAACAAATATCATTAAAATCGTTTCAGGTGTTCTTGAGTTATTAAAAGTTATTACATATACAAAAAAAGATTCTTTAAAATTATAAGAGGTATAATGTAATGTCTATAATATAACATATCATATAATTATCATACTTATACAGATACAGCTCGATAGAAACCTGCATATGATCTTTTTCTTGTTGATTTCTGATTTAAATTTTCGATGATCCCAACATCTTTACAGATTCATATAAAAGACATGGACATAGTATTATTAATAATACACGACGAGACGACCACCAAATACCTTCTTGGAATCCAAAAAAACTGTTTGAAACGAGTTGTGCACTTCAGGTACTTCAAAAATATACATAATTAAGTGATTTCAAAACTCTAAACCGCTTCTGGTCCGCATGATAATAGTAATTCAAAAATCTCTTTCGGAGTACTCCAAAGAGCTCACCAAATATTAAAATTTCAGATATTCTGGGATACAGAAGTATGGATATTTGAGCTATCGGGGTGCCACAGAAAACTCTAGAGTCTTTGACTCCCTTTGAGCAAAAAGTTGTAGTATTACAAAAATAGTTTTGGGAAATGTTGGTTTATTTTAGTACTTTTCATTAGGGAAAAGACAGTTTTTTGTAAGCCTACGCAGAGAAAATTTTGGTACTCTTTACTTTTAATTTGTAAACAAAAAAATTCGAATTTTTACTTGCCCAGCTATTGCGTTTGAATGACAACCTGACAAAAATAGGTTTTTTGCAAAAAACCTGGCAGACAATATATAAGAAAAATGAACCTTCGTAAAGAAACAGTGAAGCGCAGTATACTTAGAAGCACATCAGACCCGTTTTCCACTGTCCACACAGTTAGAGCTTTCGTTTAAAGTTTCGCTCATTTTATTCTTGGCAAGGAATACATACCATTTGCATTTATGTATTTTAATAATGTGTACAAAACTAAATAAGTTGCAAAATGTTCGTAAAATTGAGAAGCGAAACCGAGCCGAAGCACATTATTGAAATGTCTTTTGGCATTGCAACGAGTGATTCCAGATGGTGTCCGCAGGATGGTGTCGCACAGCCCCATCAGCTCCAGTGTTGACATCGATCACCCGTGCTACGGGCCAATTCAACGGCGTCAAGATGTCGTCCTTAATGCAGACGACGTCGTGGACCTGGACCGAGGGTTGTGGTGTGCGCCATTTGGCACGTTGTTGGAGCAGACACAAGTACTCCTCATTCTGACGCTTCCAAAAGCTTTTGCTGGGCACAGGTGATTCGTTGCCAGCGATCAAGTCGATTGACTGGCTCAGGAAACTGCATCAGTGGACGAAAATGTTCTGATGTAAGGACTTCCAGATCTTCAGGGTTTTCTGAAATGAAGATAAGATGACAAGAATTGATTATAGCGTGGATTTGGCAGATCAATGTCCGCAGCTCGTAGAAGCCAAAGAGGGACGATCCCAAGGAGCTGCCTCCCATAAGCCCCGAAATACGGATAGCGAGGCGGTATTAATGAATGTATAATGAATAGCCGCCAAAGGTCCACAATCTCGTTCCTTCCGCCCACAAAATTGGCGGCATTATCCGACTGCTGAATGTCTCTGCTGAACGAAGGAAATGCAAATGAGTGTGGTTCTTTCGTAGGCCATTAACGCATAACAAGAGCCTCTTTGATTCTTGGCTATCATATTGTGTGCGTACTCACGGTTTATCCTGACTTTCAAACCTGACCATCTTGTCCTTGCAAGATGCCCTTCAAGAGTACGACATCTTTGTTTCAAAAAGGCAGTAAATTTCTTCCAGAATGGAAGATCGTGATTTAACGAAGCTGCTTCCCATTAAGAATGAGACGCCATGTCCAAATTCTGTCAGGTTGCGTGGACGATTGTTCAATCTGCAATTTCCATGTTGGTGCGGCGTCCGCAAAACGCCCGCAGCTTGCCAACCCATGAATCCCTACGCTACAGGCTAAATATCTCTCTAATAGAATATCTCTCTAGTATAACGAGACGTTAATTAACAAATCGTTTCTTGAGAATGTCTAGTGCTGTATTGCAGTTAGCCTCGCTCATCTCCAACGAACTGATAGTTTCCAACGACGCTCCGCTCAAACAGGACCTGAAAACTTCTCGATAGAAGCCAGCTCGGCTTCACTATAAATGAAATCTGTGAAAATAATGGATTGGGATTCACTTAGATTCGAAACGCCATTTGGCGCAATTTTTCACTATCCATATCTGTGCCCATGGACTCTAGCCTGTCATGGACTCTCGCTCATTTGGAAGCAGTCTGAGTTTATCGAGTTCCTCCACTCTGCCATTTTGGCTGTTGCCTAGGCCGCCTCTGCGTTCCGGGCGACAACCCTGTTGGATTTGGTCACTTCCGCGAAAGAGGTGACAGAATGAATTTCCCTGGCGGACTCTGAGCTGTTATTTAGGAGTTCAGGGAGCGGTTAGATTGCCAAATGGGTCTGGGAAATATCCACTTGATCCCTTAGGTTGGGGGAAGTTCTATCAAAAAGGATCGGATATCTAGCCTTGACCTCAGCTCTAGTTAGGTTTTCTAGTGTCATACACTTTTGTATGGCGTACGCTTTTTGGCAGCATGTTTCCCCTTGCAGTTTGCACAGGCCAGCCCTGAGCAGATAATATCCTTGTTGTGATCTTGTCCGCATTTGAAACATTTCCACTCTTGCAATGTTGCGCTAGATGGCCAAACCTAAAGCACCTGAAACATTGAATAAACTGAACAAAAGGTATCACTTCTACTTTAGAATATAGAAAATTGATTTTAGTTGATAACTGCTCTCTTCTGACTACTGCCAGTAGGTAAACTTTCCCCCGATGCTCTCTCTCTTCGCGTAATCCGAACTATCTCCTCAATTGGGATGTCCGAGGTTACAAGCTCTGCAAGCTGTTCCTCCGAGTAATGCCCGGGGATCCCAAAAATTAATCCTGCTTTTTGGACGAAGTGCCTAAAGATTTGGGTTGAGTACCCTTGAGCAGCGCAAAAACTGTTTTCCACTATCCCGTTTGCACACTTTGCCGACCCGCACACAATCTTGCACCTGCCATAGCCTATTCTAGCAACCTCGTCGATATCGCTAATGCCCTGTTTCAGCAGCAGATCGGATAGATCAAACTGGTTAATAGCATTTCTGGCATTATTCGCACTCATTTTGTCGATATAAACAATGTATGGGCATGGCGGATCTAGCTTTTTTCGCGTTTCCATGCGAATTTTAACTCCCGTCGCCTTCTTCGTGGCCATCCTTGTATTTCCTATGCTTGCCATGCTTCCCATGGTCCAGACGGAGTTCCAAGACCCGTTTTAAAAGTTATACCAGATCGCCATGCGGTAAATTCCAGGTTCTTCGACTTAATTAATGAAGCTTTGGGAATTTGATTTTGTCGTCTTCGTAGGCGTGTGAGGCGCCCCCAGAAGCTTCGAAAAATGTCTTTTTGATTAAAACTACCAGCGAATGTCTTGAAATATGATACTTTTTTTCCTTCCGCAAACAATTTTAGTGTTGCAATCAGTTATTTAGAGTGCGGCCCTAACTATTTTTTGATGAAAATCATTTTCGATAGATTTAGAATTTTTGTATACGCTGGGCAATTTTCGGAACGGCAAAACCTTACGGACCACCCCGAAATAGATGGTGGATGGTCGTCAGTGTGAATAGCCTATAACGGTAAAATTGTATTTTTGTGGGTATCAATCGGTACAAAACGGTAAAATGTGAGTTTAGGAGTCAAACTGTTAAACGGTACAAACCTACTTAATATCCATTCGTTACAATACCTTTTCTGCTTTGTATTCTGTTTTGTTTTAGATTTATATTTATATTTATATTATATATAATATAATATATATAATATAATATAATATAATATAATATTATATATATATATTATATATAATATATTATATATAATAATATAATATTATATATTTATTTATTTATATTTATATTAATTTTCTAATTTTTGTATTTTTGCCAGTAGCGTGCTGCCCTTTTTTTATAAATGTTTGATTTCGAACATTATTGGCACTTACGGCTGCCTCGTATCTACTTTGAGTTCAATTCATCAAAAATTCTTTTCCAACTTTACTAAGACATTTCAAGTTGTCATTGCTTTGCTTTTCAATTTCTTCGTCCCTATATATGCGGTACAAGCATGATCTTTTTTTTTTGTTTTTTGTTTCCTCCAGTGGAATAGCCAAAAATGTACCAAAAATTCTATCTGTAGGAGGGAATTGAAAAATATTTTAACAACCGATTTTATTTAAAGTAAATGTAAAGACAAGGAATGGCAGGAAATTATAAAAAATTACTGTTGAAAAATAAAAAGAAAATATATTGAATATCTATCTGTATTTATATACTTTTTTTTTTTTAGCCAAATCGTAATGAAAACGAATACCGGTCAACACAAATTGACAACCGCACATGCGATGAAGCAGAATTTCATGGAGCTGTGGCAGCACCCAAAAAGACAACCTGGGCGTCTATTGCATCGCAGCCGGCTAAACTGTCATCAAGAGTAAGTATTTCATGATATCAATTTGATGGAAATATAACTAAAGTAAATACACAGGCTGCATCGACTACTTCCAATCATAAAAAAAAGGGTCCTGGTATGCCACCACCACCAATGGTACCCGGAAAACACAATTTAGATGTTAATGTATGGGACTTACCAAACAATAAGCCACCGCCTGTACCGACACCAACATCACCGATTGATTTGGTTTATTCTGATTTTAACTCGGATTTTTCAAAATCATCCAACACAGAGCCTCTTCTAGGGGCACGATCTGAAAAGGCTTATAAAGACTCGGAAAATTTGCATAATTACGAGAACAAAAGTTTGGCTAACATAAGTAATTCCAGCAGAATAAAGGTATCTCCAAAATGCCAAACTCGCAAAAATTTGGGAGCACATCCAGTTCATCAGCCAGTAGGTCCTCAATTGAGTAATTTGGAAACTCACGGGTCATCTATCCGACGACCCGAAGGTGTTAATCTTACAAATCGGAATACTGACCGTACAGGCAGCTTTTCTAGTTCCCGCAGTGATTTTGAAAGTACATCCAAGTGTAAATATCTGGATCAAAACAGTTCTCGACCAATAGAACCGCCTGTAACTGAAGAGATTCCTGTTGATCCACAATTACTGTTGGAAGAATTAAAAGACAAAAACAATTACAATCCAAAACTAATGGACTTAAACAAAGCCACAACAGCACGGTAATTAACCCTATTTAACATAACTATAATTTTGTACTTTTCTGGTTTCATGGACTCCCCATGGACTCTTTTTATAGCCGATCCTCGAAAAGAGTATATTAGGTTTGTGGGGAAAGTGGATGGGTGTAACGCCCAGAAGAAAGCGTTTCCGACCCCATAAAGTATATACATATATTCTTGATCGGTATCAATAGCCGAGTCGTTTGAACCATGTCTGTCTGTCTGTCCGTCCTTATGAGCGCCTAGATCTCAGAGACTATAAGAGCTAGAGCAACCAAATTTGGTGTCCACTCTCCTGTTAGACCTCACTGTTACATGTGTATTTCAAAATTTCGCCCCACCCCCAGCAACTCACAACGTTCCCCTCGTTTTTTCCAAAAGTATGACTTTGAAAACTCGAATAAGCAACTTCTTGTACAGGTACATTAATTGGCCGTTCTTTAAGGTATCGTTTGTAAGAATTTATAAATAAACGATTAAGGTGCAGCCGTTTGACAAAACCTCATAACCTCATGCATCTGTGTGTGCATCCTCCTTCCCACAAATAAACATAAAATATTCCATCTGCCATGGAAAAAAAACCGCACCAACCATTGTGAAATTCACAATTTGGCATTTCTTGCATTATCTGTTTCTTCTCCGTCTAGAAAATCATAATTGAAATGCAGAGCTACGCGTTGTCATACTATAAAAATATGGTAAAAATATTAATTAGAGCGTGGAGAATCTCCATCAAGAACTGACTAACTTACTATGTCCACATATACGAAAAAAGATTCATTAGATCAATAGATCAAAAAACGTAATATGCTCTTTATCACACACACCAGTATATCACTTCTATCCAAAGCAGAAGATAAACGCCTTTTTCAGATAATCATTGCACTTGTTTGGGCATGATTCTGAGCATTTATGCTGGGCTCTGATATGATAATACGTGGCATGTATTTATAGTTGTGATCGTTCTTTTAGTTTGTGCTTTAACTCTATTGTTAAATTATAAGGTCAAAATCCAAGCAATACACAAGACATTTACTAAAAGAAAAGATGGTAATAAGTTAGTTACTATGTTTGTATAATAAATATTTTACTTTTAATTATACATTTTTGTCATTCGAAAGGTTAAGTATAGCTCATGACAATTTAATTTTCTTTTTTTAGTTTTTTTGTCATCAAATCGTATTCTGAAGATGATATCCACCGTAGTATAAAGTACGAAATTTGGTGCTCAACTGATCATGGAAATAAGCGATTGGATGATGCTTTCAAAGAGAGACATAAAGAAGGTGGAGATATTTTGCTCTTCTTTTCTGTGAATGGGTCTGGCCATTTTTGTGGGATGGCGCAGATGATGACTCCAGTAGATTACAATTCTACTTCAAGCGTTTGGTCTCAAGACAAATGGAAAGGCAAGTTTAAGGTAAAATGGATATATGTAAAAGATGTACCTAATGGGAAACTCCGCCACATCCGTCTGGAAAACAACGACAACAAGTCAGTGACGAATTCTAGAGATACCCAGGAAGTGCCAAATGACAAAGGCATTGAGGTGTTACAAATATTGCACTGCTACGACCATATTACGTCCATTTTCGACGATTTTTCTCACTACGAGAAGAAACAAGAAGAAGAAGTCTCTTCGAAGCGTCCGCCAATGCATGTCCATGATGGCAATAATCATGTCAAACCACCTTTAAGTCGCAGTTTTAGTCGAAACTGTGACAATAAAGAAAGGGAACGCGATAACCGCGGCAGTGTCATGTCCCAAAAACATTTCATCGCTGGAGGAGCTAGTTTCCGTAATGTAGTTCATAAAAGTGCCTCGGGAAGCGGGGGCTTTAACATCAACTACACTGAATATCGTCGTGGCTTTGACATAAAAAAAACTTTTAGTAGTGGTTATCACTTAAAAAATAGAGAAACCGTGGAATTTGAGAGAGAAAACGAATGTGGAAGTCAGCATGTTTCGAAAAACAGAAAAAATGAATATCAACAAAATAATGCCATTAAAAGCAATTTAAAAAATCGTGATCGAGATTTCAGTACTGAACAAATGAAAATCGACGTACGCTTTCGTACTGGTCTGTGCACATCCAAGGATATGACAAGAGTAAGTGCTACTAATCAAAATCAAAATCTTTGTAAACGCGATATTTTTATACCCGATAATCAAAGAGTGGATGTGTGTAACATCCAGAAGGAAGCATTTCCGACCCCATAAGGTATATATATTTTTGATCAGCTTCAAAAGCCGAGTCGATGTTGCCATGTTGTCTGTCTGTCTGTGTGTCCATCTTATTTGAGACCATAACAGCTATAGGAACGAAATTCGGTGTACAGACTTCTGTGATATTACACCGAATCATGTCTGCTACCTCCACAAAGAACGAAAATTTGTGGCAGCCACAATTTTGAAGATACCAGAAAGCCGAATGTAGAATCATAGCGAATGACCATATCTACCAGATTGCAGAATTGCAGTGAAAATTCCACGCGCTTACTCATTTTCTCTCTCTGTTTCATACACTCTTCCGCGCGGAGGGAGAATAGATAAAAAGAGACATTTAAAAAAAAGTACATGTGACTTCCTGAGTATCGGGTATAAATTAAGCGCACGTTCTCACTTCATTTGTTTAGTAACTTGATACATTTCTTTTACAGAATACTGATAAAGGTCCGAAGCAATGAATATCAATTAAGCATAAGTTTGCCAAGATTCAGTAAGATTATTTTTCCAAATAATATTGAATGGATGGCTCCCATAAATCTACGAAATTTTAAGATGTAAAAGTTTAACATTTTTTAACTATTGTGTGTATAGGAAAAAGCCCATTTCATGATAAATATAGAAAATAACACCAAACAAGTGGGAATTAGGATAAATGATTAAAATATGATTTTTTACGTAATTATTTATTTTAATATTTATATAAATCTATTGACGCTCACATTGAACAGGACATACTGAAACTAATGACCGATTTGTACAAGATTTCAAAACATCAAGGAACTTTCTTATTTCATTCCTTGTAGTTGCACTGTAACAAATTATAAGAGTTATCTGAATCTAAATAATTTTCACACGACCTATGTATGTATAATATAATTAAAGCATTCAATTAATCATTTTCTGAAGTTTTTATGTTCAACTTATCCTACTATATAATCGACATTTGTCTAAAGAAAATTCACTAGAAATTGATATTACTTATTGAAGTACACACTTCACAGCATTTCGGGAAAAGGCAACATTTTTGGAATGAGTGAAAACAGAAAGGTGAGGTACAAATATGGTTTATAGATTTTAGACCAGAAGTTATAAACAAAAAATCAATACTGTCATGAGTCTAATACTCTGACTTCGCTAGATTTTAATAAATAATGCCTAAGTAGAAGACTGATACACATTAATAAAAAAAATGTATGTATGTGCGGAGGACTCACATTCGAAACTAGAAAGTCCACATTATATTCTATTGACAGATATGTTTTCCTGTCCTTTGGGACTACTTTCGCCTATTCAATTCCATAATAGATCACTTTCGATTAACAAAAAAATTATGAACTGTTTTAAAAATGTATTATATAGATATAGTGTTTAAAATAAATGAAGTTAAAACACTAGTCGACATTCGACTGTAACATACCCGCATCTCAGATTTGTTGTTTACACTAACTGGAAATTATCTAATTGGAATTTAACAGGCGTGACCTATAAAATGACCTATTATAATAAACAAAAAAGATTGGAAAGCCGACAGTGTCTATTTCGTTTGCTGGAAACGAGGACACTAATAAGAAAGTATGGTCATGCTTGTCTCCATTTCAGCATACGTTTTTCACAAGTCCATATTGGTCTGTTTGTGTCACGCAGCAACAACTGCGCAGATACCAAAACACATATGTGCATTACCAATTAAATGAACCACCAAAATACTCCTTTAAACAAAGATACATATATCAGTCGGACAACCTTGGAAATATGGTTGATATTGATGGTCAACGGAAATGGTCTTTTGGAAGATATGGCGCAGTGCCGCCATATTAGGATTATTTATTCATATTACGTAAATAACAATAGTTGTGTATATTTTTTGCATTATCCTTGTGCATGCTCCTTTATTCTTATTCCCGCTGTCTGGTTTGTATTGCTTTCGAATCCGGGCGTTGGTCTCGTTTTTTCTCGTTTCGCATAGATCTGCAAAACAAATGGGAGCTATGTGCCGAGCTAATACAATAATGTATAAATTAACCTAGTTTTTTAGAAGCAAGATAGAATATACGCATACCGAATCAAATAATAAAGTACAAAAGTTGTATTTATTTTCCCCTGTAGTTTGTTTTATAATTGAAACTTTGATTTAAGTGTTGCGTGCGTTTTGTATTACAATACACAAGCCATTGTATTGCTAAGTTCTGTACAATTGCAGCTACCCACTATGTATGTGTGTAGGCGCAATCTTAGAAGAGGTTCTGACTAAAGTGCGGAGAAGAGGACTCACGCGAACCTCGGAAGCAGTTTCATGAGCAAATAAATAAATCGAAGTGAAGGTGAAAAGCTTCAGAATGTGAAACAGGCAGGTAGGACCGGCAACCAAAGTGGCAGAGATGGTGCTGAAAAGAAAAAAACACCATACCGCCGAAACCCACAAAAGGGCATAATAAGGTAAGGTACAAAATTATAAGGAATTTTGAGCATTCGACAGGAAAGCCATATAGGAAAGGCAGGAAAGCCCATCGAGTGGGTTTTTTCCTTGAAGCACAAGAAAAACGTTAGGCGGTGCTGCAAACTGGAAAATCCGAATAGGTTGAACAGAATGACGGGGGCCTCAGAGCAAAATGTTTGGTCTCTAAGGACTAACCTTGGCATAGCGACATAATCTCGTAAACGTAGAGCGCCGGCTCCACATATATCACTATAATCATATATATACTAATAAAATCATACTCAAACAAAAGACATCTTATTAGATTAAGATATAAAATACATGAAAATCAGCATTTCCAAATAAACTGAGCTTTATTACCGATGCCAAGCAGTATTTATTTTATTTATATACAATAAATATATACATTTTACAGGGACTCGAAAACACTGTGCACAACGAAGAAATAATTTTGTAAAGGACTTGCTGATCCATATGTTTTGTTTGAAACCCCCCATCTGACCATAAGCTGTTCGCAGAGCTTATGAAAAATCGTTAATATGTAATCAAAGTATCTTTTGTCGATTGGTGAAACAAAATTAAAGTATCAACGTAGGCCTTTTGGGGTTCGTTTCGACGAAAAGCATCCGTGAAGAATATCCCACGCTGTACTGCCATTGATGGGACATTCCTCACCTTTCTAGCATCTTGGTTTTTCGGAGAGATGTTCACGGCGGTTTGGCGATTTTTAAGCAGAATGACGTAGATCTTGCATGCTTTTCGCTACAGTTTAAGCATGTGGGGGTTATCCTTGGTCATTGCGTTGCATCTGGGCGCATCTTCATACACTGCTCGCTTTAGACAATAGCTCTTCATGTGGTTGAATTCAAAGAATCGGATTAAGAGCTTCATTGTTGTTAGGGGCCTGGGCGAGGTCAATAAACCAGACGTTTTGGTAGGGTGGGTCCTGCCTGACTTCATCAGCGCTGACAGAAGGGCTCCTCCTGGACTTCGGGTTGTACAGGTTGACCACTCGATGTCCCAACTTCTCAAATGCCTGGTTGATGACAGACCCTGTCTGTCTGTCCGTTTGTCCGTCCGTCGTTGATCTAGCTCTTATAGTCTTTGAGCACTAGGCGCTGAAGGGGACGGACAGACGGACGGACGGACAGACAGACATGGCTCAATCGACTCAGCTATTGATGCTGATCAAGAATATATATACTTTATGGGGTCGGAAACGATTCCTTCTGGACGTTACACACATCCCCTTTTACCACAAATCTAATATACCCCAATACTCATTTTGAGTATCGGGTATAAAAATACAGGAATATAAGACGTGCAAGACATTACGAACTAAGCAAAACCAAGTTCTTCTCAACATGTTGGCAGCCACTGCAGATCAATATATTTCATCCATTAGATATGTGATCATCCCAAAATAAATCGGCAAGCAGTTATTCTTCAGAAATGATAAGTTTATTAGATATTCCTCCCACTAAACAGGAAGTGGAGGATTATTTTACAGAAACAAAGAAAAATTAGAGCAGATTTAAAATGAAAAAAATTTTTATTACAATTTTTTTTTTAAATTAGGTTAAGTTGAAAATTAAATAAATAATATTTCAAAGTAAAAAACCCCATTTAAAGTACCTTATCGATAAAAAAAGATCAGAAGCAAGCTGAAATGGCTGCCCCGTTGTGCGTCGTAGGAGCCACGGCGCCCTCCATAGACTCCTCAAGGGCAAAGATGGTCAGGCCAGCGCCTCGTGCGCTCCAGTCCCCACACACAACTTCTCCGTGGCCGTCCATGCTGGTCCTTTTTTTGATTTTGACTGATTTTTCTTTATTTTATTTTATCATTTGTTTCTATCGTTTCTCGGCTTATTCTTTTTGATATATGTTTTGCTAAATATATTAAGATAACAAAGCTAGACAATCCAAAAGCCACCAAGAGAAAAACGTTGTCAGCATTCACAACATTTTGAAGGCGATCAAAGAATAGTGAGCTTCTGAAAAAAAAGACAAAAAATTTGTATTGTCAGAAGTAATTATTCAATTCGAGATACCTAAAGGTAAACCAGATCAAAAGATTCGATCTTATCATAAGTAAAATTATTGTATATCGTGATGTTTAATAGTAGTGGAAAAGGTTCGCCCGGGCCCATGGTTCGGTTGTGGCCACCCCTACTTAAATTTTTACAGAAAGGACATATATCAAATCTGATAATTGTCCGGTGTGTACATATTATCAATACACATTGTTTGATTTAAATAGCCACTTTACTAAATACTTAATAACATTTTTATAGTCCACAGAATCAATTTAGTTTTTTTACAAGTTGTTAGTACTAGTAAGGGTCTGTAGCATAACATAGATAATGTTAGTATAATGTCCATTTGGTCACAAGTTATGAGTTAAAAACAAAGCTGTGGCCACATCCGAAGCACTTTCCCTAATGTTTTTATACCCGATACTCAAATGAGTATCGCAGCATATCCTTTCATTTACTTTGATCTTTTATAAAAAGCATAAGTTCACTTTTTCGGTATTTTTTCATATAATTTCTATTTTTATAGTAATGTTTTAGTTCCTATATTCTTTCTCCTATAAGAAAGATAATTATAAATAAATGTTTTTCCTCAATATCAGTAACGCAATATATTTTAAAATGTATTAAGCCAAGAAATTAAGGCTTAAATTACATTTTCAAAAACAAAAAATTATATTTGGGTAAAGCTATAACCATTTCAAAACGACAATGCGCAATATTTATCAGAAATTTGTATGCAAATATGGCCTCAACTTTCGCTGAAATCTAAGTTTGAATTTATCGCCGCGAAAACCACTTAAATGTTTGTCCCTGCGACTACCTGGCTTTTTTGCAAAAGTCTGGAAAACGAATAGTTGCCCAAAATCTTTCTTAGGACCACTTATAGGTCTACTTTATAATAGAAAACCAATCTTAGAAATCCGTCTTATTTTGGCCCCTTTAACCACTTGCAATATTTCCGATTATCCCCTTTAACATCTTTTAGATGACCATATGTAATATTTGATTTTGGCCATTCCAACATAAGAATACGTACTGCGTACCGCACAAAGTCAAACTTTGTTAACAGTATGGCAGTTATTTTGTCATTCGATTTGAACTAAATTTGGATGTAAAGAGGTCTTGAAATAAAATTGTATTTTTAACAAAGAGGTCTTGAAATAAAATTTCTATTAGTTTTCATTGACATAAGAAATAGATAAACATGCCTGACTTTATAGTCGACCAAAAGGACTCTATGTATGTGTGTAAAATGTACATAAATATATTATTTGTTATTTTAAAGAAGTAATATAACAAAAAAAAATAGTTTATAACTCACATCACACTAGGTGGTTCTGGCACCATTTCGGAAGGGCTTTCTAAATAACTCAATTCTGCAAATTTAATAAAGTCTTCTGGACGATACGTTTTGGCTATATAACGATACACTTTTCCTTGACGTATGCTGAAAGATTTTTATTATTATATTTTTCAAAAAATTTTATGAATTTTACTTACAAAATGAATTCTGGAGAACCCAATATTCCCAGTCTTCTTGCTGTGGAAATTCCAGTCTCCAATCTATTCATTCGAGCGATATTCAACTTCTGCCTGAGCTTTCCACCTACAGATTCCCAAATAGCATACAAGCGTTGGCAGAGAACACAATCAGCGGAATAGCTATGGATGTATATGAACTTTATTTATAGTCATGTTTACTGCATAAAAACTTATTTCGATTCTTCTAAAAGATCTACACTATTGCGGTTCAGCTTCGGCGTGCCGATAGTCTCGAAGAAGCAGTCGTCAAACAATATGGACAGACGGACGGACAGACAGACATGGCTATATCAATTAGGCTACTTATGCTGATCAAAAATATATTTACATTATGGGTTCAGAAAAGTTTCTTTCTGCGTGTTACACACATCATCATCTTTCATAAATCTAATATACCCCTATACTCTTTGAGTATCGGTTATAAAAAGGGTCACTTTGCTGACAAAATAACAATATTTACAAGCATATACAAATTCATAAATCATGCTTACAAAAAAATAAACCAATCTCCCGTCGTGGCACCAGAAGAAGCTTGGGTAAGATGCTCAAAATTTTCATCAGATAACTCTTTAACTGCTGGTTCCTTATTGTCATTAAAGAATTCAACAATTTGGTCTTCAATAATGTTTCCGTGGTAAAGAATCGGAATTCCATGCCTATAATATACAAGAGCCGGTTCCTTGGTGGGGTCGTATATTCCAACTAAATTACTTTCATGGGCCTGAACAACCATTGCTCCCAAAGTCTCCTTTAAATCATTTTGTATTAAGGATACAGTAGTTTCATACTCCAAACACACTTCGCAGTTATTTTTGCCTAGAATAGAGAATAAACCATGTACATTTTCTCAAAGACTTGACAGTTTTTGTTGGAAGCTGCCGAGCTTTTTCGGCAACTCTGACTCCACATTTACAAATTAAAAAGTGCTCCGTTGTTAAGGTTACCATTTACGTTTCGTTATTGGTTGTGTGTTTTTGTAGAAGCCGCGGCCGTGAACTTAGCTTTTAGGTGTTAGGTGCCTTCGCTGACGATGATCGACCGCCTGCTTGAAGTCTTTCGCTACTGAAGGGTCGAAGCAGTGGACTATAAGTAGTAAGAACGTTACATATGTGTGTGCGTGTATGCACTGAGAGTGTACATTGGATGAGCGCGATAATCGAAAATTAAGAGAGAAGTTCTTGACGTTACTTAAGAGCTATAACCGGCTGCTGCTTCGAACAATTATATGTTTTATGTTTTTTATATATGTTTTTTTATGAATACATGGTGACCCCGACGTGATCTAAAACTGCTTAATAGCGTTCCGTTTAAAAAACTTATTAATTATACAATATTTTGTTTTTGGGTAGTTTTAACAGCCAACAAATATATTTTGGTGCACGTTAATAAACAGTTTAAGGTGCAAATTCAGTGAGAGTGCGGCTGTGTGTATTTATATACATATTCCGGTACTTTAAGCGTTAAAGTACAAATGTTTACAAATTAAACACCGCGGAAGTCGAGGTGCTCCTTGATATAGTGGCAGAAATTCGAAAGGAATTCAATAAGGCTGCGCGAAAACTTCGATACTCTTTTCAAATCATTGAAAGCTGAGTTGCTGGCTGCTGTTGAAGTATGCCAGTCACACGCCGCTGCCCATTTTGCGACTTTGCCAAACCATTCCAGACATAGTACATTCATCAATGCTCACAAGCAGCGACTTTCTGAGCTAAAGGTGCCTAAGTTTTCTGTTGGATACGTTGAGTTTTCGGATTTTATGGCAATGTTTAAATAGGTGATTGAAGCGGATGCGGATCCAGGACTCACCGTTTCTGATATTCGGCAAGGAACGCATCTTCTAATTGGTGGATGGACATAAAGGAGATTCGGCGCAATGGTCATGTCATGAAATCCAGTTCTATTAGTTCGCTCAACCCGTGCATCGATCATTCTGGACTACTTAGAATTGGAGGTCGTCTTGGCAACTCATCGCTAGGATTTGACGCTCAGCACCCGCTCATTCTGCCAAAGGGACATTCCATTACCTTTGCGCTGATAAGATATTATCACGAAAGAAACTTCCATGCCGGACCTCGCGCCTTGCTATCCAAAATTCGGCTGGAATATTGGCCAATTGGAGGTATTTAAGCAGTGTCAAGGGTCGTCAGCAAGTGTGTGAGATGCTTTAGGACTAGGCCGCGCATGGTTGAAGATATCATGGGAGACCTATCTAAGGAACGTTTGGAAGGATCTCGAGCTTTGGAAGGCACTGGAGTAGATTACTGTGGACCTTTTTTCTACCGATCCGAAATCCGCACGAGGCCTCCGATCAAGTGCTACATAAGCGTATTCATCTGCTTCACTTCGGCTATACACACGGAGCTCGTGGCTGACTCGATCGACTGGCGTTTCATCCCACCACGCTCTCCGCAATTTGGCGGGTTGTGGGAAACGGCCATGAAGACAAAATATCACCTGTACCGCTCAGTTGGACCATCTGTGCTTAGCTTCCACGAGCTGCGCACTCTGATCTGTCAGATCCGCCTGCGCCTAAGCCGCCTACGTTTTGCAACCGTTGACCTTCTGCAGAGCTGCTGCGCTCTCTGCCGCCGCAATTTCGTCAATTACCTTGATCTGCCGCCGCCACTTCGGCAATCACTTTGATTTGCTAACCCCTCTGCGCATTGGTTGCACATCGACCTCTCATAAAATTTATCTGGCGATAGCAAGCAATCGGCTTCCGCTAAGCCACCAAGATTAAATACGAATTATAAAGTTTAACCCAAATTCTCTTTTCATTTTGAAACACATAGGTGCCAAAAAAGCTTGGCATCTCAAACAGCAACTATGTGAATTATCTTGGATTACATCTTGATTGCAGACTTACATGAAAAAATCACAATAAGGCCAAACGGCAGGAACTTAAATTAAAATAACAACGAATGTCCTGGCTGATAGGCCAAAATCCCAAACTAACCTGGAAAGCAAAGTTCGTCTCTGTAAAGCCTTACTACTCCTGTGTTAAAATATTCAATACAGCTGTGGTGTACGGCTAGCAACTCGAATATTGAAATTCTTCAGCGCTAACAGCCCTTTCTACGTTTATAATGAACCATACACAAAGATCTAAAATTTCCTAATAGACTTCGAAACCACGAAAATGAAATATTCTTATATCAAACAGCGTATAGTCTTGCAGTAAATTTCGCGTTAACATTTCTCTGACCGAAAATGTGTCTGAAAACGATAAATTGATTTTCTCAAGGGCTAGTACGAGAGTTAACTCTTAACTGGCTGCCGGTGAAGAATTTATTGGCTCTATTGACAGCTGATTTAAGAAAGCCAGTGCGATAACTTTCCAGCTTCTTGGCAACAAATTCACTTCGGGACTTTCTTTTTAAATCGACGAACTTGTCCCTGAGCGTTTTCATTGGACCTAGTAGGGCTCATAGGGCCTAGTCGCATGCATGCATTTTATAAGCGATGATTTTCGCGGAAAAATCATGCATTTTATAAGCCATGATTTAATGTCCTCTTAGGATGTACCCGACCCATTAGGTTCGGTTTTTTGTTGATTTAATAATAAAAAATATGTATTGTAATTTCTATAAAATACTATTCATTTGGACGCAATTATATGAAAAGAAAGTTCGAAAAGATCATGAAATTTTTAAATTTGAAAAAAAAAACAAGCGCCAATATATTAACTTGCTCGACTCAAGCCTCGCATATAAGCGTTCTTTCCTGTTTTTTGCTGTTGGACTGCTCAGAAATTAAAAGTTCGAAAATATAATTCGCTTAATTCTATTCTATTTCTTTAATCTTTAGAAACATAAGAGCATGAGCATTAAAAGACTAAAGAAATATTGAGTAGTGTGAATGCGGTTAAATCCAGTTTTTATTTTTCTCCAAATTTAACATTTTATAAAATTGATATTTTCATTTTTTATTATTTACCACGCACACTACAAATATTTAAATTTACACACTGCACTTCCTTGATAAGAATACATAAATAATATAAATATTTTTCACTATATTACTGAAGTTTCGTTTCTCACTCTTTTGCGCACAATTTTAATAATGTAATATGATAAATATGAACAGTTCTGTGGACGCACGCGCAAAAATTTAAAAAAAATTCCAAATTTAATTCTACTGCGCACGATCAGCAGAGCCGAATTCTGTTGCGAAACGCGCGGAAATGAAAGAACCGAAGAGAAACAAATACATACATACATATGTAGGTAGGTTTGGCCAGCGCATGGGCCGGTGTCATAGCTCATTTCGCTCTGACTTACGTTTTAAACCTACATATGTATGTATGTTGTTGATTTATACGGGTTACAGTATTTATTCGAATATATGTATTACGAAATTGTTCCAAATGGAATTCTTCTTTGTGAATAAACGCTTCAAATTATAAATAAAATCATAGTACGTTGGTTGAAAATATAGGCAATTATTTTCCCGTAAGCTTAAATTTCAACATAATGTTTAAATAATTAATTCATTTGGAATAATAGTATCATATGTATGTACATATATAAATATTTAGGTGCAAGATCTCGATTGTTAAGTAGGCTATTCATGTGCGCATACATATGTAAGTATACAGGCAGAGGTGTTTTTGTACATACTAAATAAAACCACAACGTTGTGTTCGACATTTAAAAGATGAATCAAGTCAGAATCGTCAACACGACGCAATTCGGAGCAATTAAAACTTCTTAGGCTTATGCCTATAACAATTAAAAGTATCAGTAACATTTCCATTTCTAAAACGAATGGACTGCAGATCGTCTGCTTATCGATAACATATACTCTCAGACTCAGCAATATCACTAACCATACAGTATATATGTATGTACATAGATGTGCCAGATCATACTACGAAAGCTTCACACACACGGGTTTTGGTCTGGGCACCCCAGAGACTTCGGCTCTGGCGTTTCGGTACTGACGCGTCATCAGAGGGAACATCTTTGCATGTGTTAGTACGCACGCAATATATATTTGGTACCAAACATATGTTTCGACAAAAATATGTGATTGTATGGTTTTTTCTTTTTCAGATTTGTTCCCAGCAGTACTGGGAACTAGTTCGGAGGTGGTGATATCACCACTCCCTAACAGACCACGGGTACATTCTTTACTAACCCTTAACAATGCTTTTCATCATTTCCATTTTTACCCGCGAGTTTCCAACCCAGCTTGTAGCTACTGAAATGGGTACCCATCTGGTGGGTAGTGAAATGGGAACCCGTCTATGCTTGTGGATAGATATGCTTATTTCATTTTGATTTTTTAATTTTCTTAATTTAGTTATTGTTGTTCGCGGTGGTACTAATTTGGAAGAAGCGTTATTATGCAGCTGAAGGACTTTTAAAAGCCTTTTTAGCCTTATGTCATCTATAAATATAAATTACAGATATAATGTGCATACAAAAACAAAAAAATGTACTTCCAAGTAACACCCCATACAAATTCCTTAAATTTTTAAATGCCGATTTGATTTGGACTCCTTCGCCGTTATATTGCATAACGACGGCATTCTCCAAAATGTTAAAATTAAAATATTAAAAAAAAAATGTTAAATCCCGCTGCGCTGTAAATCAACTTTTATGGCATCAATCTGTAAAAAGAACATTATTCAAAAATATGCAATAAAATTGTAATTTCAAATATATTTACGTATTAGTGCTGTTTATTTCCATTCTCAGCTCTATTAGTCAATTAATTATTAGTTAATACAGGGAAACAATTGGCGACTATGTGCCCCTGTGCCTGCTGCCTCACTAGACTCTTCAACGTAACAGCTTGCTCTGCAGGCATTTCTTCGATAGATGTATTATGTTGGATTATAAGCCAACTAGCCTCTAATATAAACCTCTACTAGGATTCATTTGGAGATCTTGTCAGTCCTTAACGTTACCTTAGAAGCTCGAAGTTTTGTATTTATGAGTTATATATTTTTTAAAGATCTTACTACACAAATAAATTTACAATACTTTAAAAGCTTAATTATATTTTAACAATCTTAACCTAAACATAAATAAACAAATCTTTAAAACTTAAAAAATATGAATTGCAATTTCAAACATTTATTTTATGATTTTTATAAATCTATAGATTTCTTTATTCAAAATTACGTAGAGAATAAATAAGAAAATCGTTTAGATTTTCAATTCGTTGTTCTAATTTATCTGGAAAAAATATTTGTTTTTGATTTGTAGTATCTTTATACATACATATATACATTTCCTTACCTTTGTCTGTTAGCAAATATGTTCTGTCTGTTCCCTCACTTACGGCAGTCATTTCATCTTTAAAAATATTTTTTAGCTTTGGTAATACCAAAAGTAAAAAAATCAACACGATAAATTTAATAGTTTTTTTTAAAATCAAAATCTTTAATAATATTTTTCCGAGCGTATAAAGGTTTATTTTGGATTTCAGTTTTTCCAAAAGCCAAGAGTTTTGTGAATGGTATGGAATTTGAGCTGATGGCCCCCCTGACGGATAGTAGTGCGGTCTAGACCCGTACCACGGATGAAAACCTGAAGGTTCATACCCATACTCCGTAGCAAGTGGCGAAGTAGCCGGGGGTACATAGTGGCTGTTTGTTGGTGAATTATATTGATACCCTCCGTCGGTATTATCTAAGAAACAAAACTATACAATTAGTTAAAGCAAACATATGAGCAGTGTCTTCAATTGTCTTGTGTAAAGAAGGTACAGGTGAAATTGCACAATCTTTAATAGATTGTGGGACAAAAATATTTGTGAATAACATTAAAAAAAATTCGATAGAAACGCAAATTTCAATATATAATTTTTGGGCCAAAATTATTTAGAAAATTGGCCTTGATACCACAGGTTTATTGGCTGTTTCATAGTGTAATATGTGATTAAGTAATTTAATTCTATTTTGAAATATTTACTAATTGACCAGTTACCATTAAGCAGACGTACGGACATGCATAATAATCCTAATAATCCTTGCATATCCATTTCTTTGGCTGCTTAATGAAGTTAACTGACTATTTACATATATGTATCTCTATAATCTATACTGACATATTTTATTATTATTATTTTTATACCCGATACTCAAAATGAGTATTGGGGTATATTAGATTTGTGGTAAAAGTGGATATGCGTAACGTCCAGAAGGAATCGTTTCCGACCCCATAAAGTATATATATTCTTGATCAGCATCAATAGCCGAGTCGATTGAGCCCTGTCTGTCTGTCCGTCTGTCCGTCCCTATCAGCGACTAGTGCTCAAAGACTCTAAGAGCTAGAGCAACGACATTTTATATCCGGACTTCTGTGAGATGTCACTGCTACAAAAATATTTCAAAACTTTACCCCGTCCACTTCCGACTCCACAAAGGGTAAAAATCTGTGGCATCCACAATTTCAAAGATACAAGAAAACTGAAAACGCAGAATCGTAGGGGATGACTATATGTTCTAGAGAGTAAAATCTGAACCAGATCGTATAATTATTCATTTTGAAAACGAATAAATCTTGAGGAATGTGAAAACGGGAGCCCCAATTTATGTGTATTCAAAAGTAAATCGGAAAACTTTTGTTAATGTGAAAAACGGAGCCTGGCTGAATATAATATTTTTGGTGAGAGCGACTCTATACTGATACTTTTTAACGAAATACGGTCAGAACGGTTTGATAATTTTAATTATTTACAATTATATTATATTTACAGTAGTAAATAAATTTTACACTGAAATTGTTGTATACTTTTATTCGTAGATTTACTTTCGGATGTATTTTGGGAAATTTGTATTTATATTTTGTAAAATCAATAAAAACAGTATACATAATTTGTATTATCATCTTATTTTCTTCAAATAAATTCAAGTAAAATTACGCACCGAACTCCTTTGAATGTACATTTTTAAAACCGTTCACGATGCTTTCCTTTACACAAAATGACACATTAACTAACGAAGCGCACATTAAGACTATGAACAAGATGTTACACATGGTTTCGACGAATGAATGAATTGAGCCGTTCCCAAAAATCAAATAAACCGTTTTCTCGTCTACCGTCTTTTTATAAATTTCGACCTTTCAGAAACTTTTTAAAATGAAAAAAAAACAATGAGGAAAACCAATTTTATGCAACGAAGATTCAATACCCTAGATGCTTGACAACTTTTTCAACCACTTTCTTTTAACTTTATGATGTTAACCATCCAGTCCATTTGCACACATGAAAATAATACTATTTCTTGTTTATAGAGTTTTTAACTAACTCAGTAAGAACCAGGGTGATCTTCAGAAATAACTATATCGATTCGGCTTTACGGGAGTTTAATTATTATATTTATAGGATGTATTCGTACCATATTTTGGATATTGCAAACACCTTCCAAAAATTAGAATACCCTGGTTGGTATAGGTATAAGCACCGTCTGTGTAACTGTCAGTTTTACTTTTCTCTATAAGGTTGCCCCTATCAAACGCTGAATCAGTTGTGTATTCTTGTGGCGAACACCGCTGGCGTCACAAGGCTTTTTAGTATTCATGCTGCGTGCAAGTACTTGGATTTTGTCCGAGATATCGGAAAAAGAAGTGTATAATTGAATTCGAAATAACTTTCTCAATTTTTCAGAACAAATTCCATTTAACATTTTTTATTAGTATTGAATATTTGTATACGTATTTTTATGCAAATATCATACCCAAAACATAAAATATGAAATTTACGGTAATCTGGATCGTTTCAAGAATTCTTTTTTTTTACATTAATTATATAATTTATTAAACTTGATAAAAATATATATGTACATTGTACATGTATATATGTAAATCGAGAAAATAATATGGAAATGCTCAGGCATGATCCGGCTTACACGTTTTTTTTTTTGCGGATTACGTTTCCAATCAAAACATTTCGTTTTCAGGTGCTCCCGGTTTCACAAATTTGTTTAATCGACATGATTAATTTTCTAATCGATTCTGGCAAACAAAAACGGCTAAGCGCGATTTAAAAAGAACAATACATCTTAGAAGCAACACCAGAGTATTTAACATGTCTGACGAACTGTGAGTAAAAGCAGGCATATTGCAAATTAAATTGCAAAAGGTTAACAAATTTAATTTTTGCACTTACACTTTGAGTTCAATGTGGCGGGAAACAGTTGTCCTTACCCAGATGTTCTCTTACGCGTACGTTACGAGCACAGTCTGTCCTGTTAAGAGCAACTTTGTGCTGTTATGCGCAAAAATGTAAGCCAATCGGGCTGCATCAGCTGTAAGAACGAAAACGAAAAGTGTTTTTGCCCTGACCAATTATTTCCAAGCCAAATTTGAGGTTGGGCTAAAAAAAAAACAATTTATAAAAAGGTGAAAGCAAAATTGTTCTGGTTATGGTGTCCAATTTTTGTAACTAGATCAATAAGTCATCCTTTTTTCCTATTACTTGTCATTTCAGCAAGGAAAATGTTTCTATTTTCAAAACAGAAATCTTGAAAACGGAAAACGGGAGCGTCAATAATGCGTTGTGCAAAAGTAATGCGAAAGTAAACCAGTGCTTGCCAGATTATAAAAATATAATTTTTTATACGTTTAGTTATGTGAAATAAATCACAACTAATGAGTTTTGATGGATTAATAATTTTTAAGATTTCGGCTTTCGTACAGAAAATGTATGGGTCAGTAATTCCATATTTCTAGCTACATTGTATACATATACATACATACATATGTATATAGTTAAATATCCGCAACTCGAGATTAGTTTACTCCTATGTTGTAGAAGGGAGTCTACGGAGGGCGCTGGTGTCCCTACAACGGGGCGGCTCACGGGGTGACGGGGACGGCGTACAGCTTGAGACGCTGGACTCGAAGGCGATGAGGTCGATGAGATGAGGTGGCGACGGTGCAGCCGAGGCTGAACGGGCTGGACGACGAGGGCGGCGACCGGCGTTGGCCGATGTATCTGGCGACTGTATTCCCGTGGCTGAGCGGGCTGGACCGCGAGACGCGGGTATGTGGAGTAGCGTGTGGTGTTCCACACCACACAACCTGCACAGCCCGCCACTGAGGCAGTCCTTCCCGGAAAGCTGGTGCGCCAGGCAATTTGCGCAGTATTTGTTTCTCAAGACGGTTTGGAGCCTCTACTCAGGGCGCAGGCGCAGAAACACGTGGGAGGTCCGTAGCGGATGCATTCCTGAGCAGACTCGGCAACGATAGATGGTTCTACCTTGAGGGTGCCGGTTCTCCCCGGTGCGGTTGGCGAGTTAGCGTGGGGCCATGTCTGGATGAGCTGGGGGAAGGAAGGTAGTCGAATAAGTATTAGTAACGAAACTTGGAGCTTTGCAAGAAACACTCACGTTATTGTTGGACGAGACTAGGGGGTTCTGATGGAGGAAAACGACCTTCACAACAGGTATTTTGAGGACGCTGCGGGCAGTAAGGATATCTACCACACGGACCCTATCGTCAGCGCTGGGATACACGTATTTGACTCTCCCGAGCCGCCATTCATTGGAGGGCAGATTGTCTTCTTTTATGTCGACCATATCGTCAATCTGGAGTGGGTGGCGTCGACGTCGGCGTCTGCCACTTAGTGCGCTTGAGGAGCTCTTTGAGGTATTCCTCTTCCCAACTAACAAAACTGTTGGGTGAGGGCCTTCAGATGCTGCCATCGGTTGATGATTGATTTGAGGTCACCATTTATTTCGGGTTCGACCGTAGACATCAAGGGTCCCCCGATGGGAAAGTAGCCGGGGGTAAGGGCCAGCAACTCAGTCGGATCTTCGGACATCGGCGAGAGCGGCGTGGAATTAAGGCATGCTTCGATCTTCGCGAGATTTCTCGGTCGTGAGATCCGTGAGAGGAGAGAGTGTGAAGTGTGAGCAAGTGCGGACGCGTTTCCTTGGTGCAGGGAAACGAAACCAGATGGGTAACTACAACAACACTGGTGTCCGTACATACCCAGGAGAATGACTAAGCATAGGAGTTGCCGCATCCACGAGCTCCAGAGGCCCTCGATGCAGAACGATGACCATGGCCAGGGGTGAGGGGTGAGAAATTTCCTCTCTGAGAGTGCCCTCTGCGCTCCCTCTATCTGTGCCTACTGTTTTCTTGTTGCATTTACAATTGGTGTAACTTAGGGCCGCTCTGCCGGCTCCACTCTCCCTGCAAATGCACTTGTCATGCCAGCTGATCCAGATATCTGTGTTAGGCAACAGTGTTAGGCAGTGTTAACAGTGTTAGGCAGCGGAGAAACCCTCAAGGTATCCCAGCAGCAACCCGACCAACAGATGGCGCCAGCAGACAGGACAGCTCAAAACAATGGCGCCCACCGGCAAGATGTGACAAAGAAGACGACGACCAGCACGCAAAACACTGACCCAGCGCAGAAGTGGAACGAGGTCTGAGGGCAGACAGCCCGGCCGGACGCGGTACTGGTGAAGTGCACCGAAGGAAAGTCATATGCCGACATCATGAAGGTGGTGAAGGCAGCGCCAACGCTCCAGGCTCTGAAGAGCAAGGTCCAGGCAATGAGGTATTGGAAGCAATTACAGCAGCGATCGACCTGGACTTGACCCAAGCAATAAATCCGAGGATGCGGACAGCGTATGGCGCCACGGATGTGGCTACACTAAAATTGGTGGCACAGATGCTCCTGGAGCTTGGCAAGGTGCGAATCGGCTGGGTGGTGTGCCGCATGCGACGACGGATCGCGCCAACACGCTGCTTCAAGTGTATGGCCTATGGCCAAACGGCAGCGAGGTGCAGAAGCCAACGTACAGTGGCGAAGGATACCTGCTTCAGGTGTGGTGGAGAGAGGCATGTACAAAACAAATGCACCAACCCCTCAAAGTGCCTACTGTGCGTGGGCAACAACGGAGACGCTCGCTCAACAGCCCACGCGGTCCTCAGCCGCAGCTGTCCCGAGTATAAGAAAGCCCTTTCCCAGCTGCTAGATGGTTAAGCTACTTCAGCTGAACCTCAACTACTGCCAAGCTGCCCAGGACTAACTAACGCAAACGGTTCTGGAGTAGCAGATCGATGTAGCGTTCCTCAGTGAGCCCTATAAGTAAAGAAGCGAAGCGATTCGGCACCAAAGCACAGACGGCGGTGCGGCAATCTGGAGCTGCCCAAACCAGGCCAGCTCACACATAGAGCAGCTAGTGTGGGTTATGTGAGAGCCAAACATACAGGGGGATTGGGGGTGATGACACGGCTGGATCGGGATTTGATGGCCTTGGTTTCCATAGTTATTACTTCTTCCGGAAAATGTAGGCAATGATCCATAGAATTGATATTGCTAGGACTGGTGCTGCACGGTGGTGAGATGGTGTTGCAGCTCGTGATGATTGATGGCTGATAGTTGCTGGCGTAGATCATCAAGTTCTTGAAGATAGTGTGATGTCTGATTCTTCAGTTGCCACATTGGTGGCGAGGGTAATGTCTCCGGTGGGCTCACGTCACCAAACCGAGTGTAGGTCGATTTTACTTCGCAGATTGTGATGCTGAAGGTGCTAATGATGCTTACTTCAGTATTGCGAGTAGTGCATTTAGGGGACATGGAGAGTAGACGAGTTCCTTCCAGTGTTATGGTTGACGTTGAACTCTGTTGCAAACTGCTTGAAGTTTAGTTGTGGAATGCGTTGCGAAGATCCATTTAGCCAGATGCTGTCTTAACGGCAACCACTCGTACGTGGTTGTCCTGTCCAGGATATGTCTTAACGATGCGACCCATTGGCCACTACTTCAGTACTGGAAGGTTGTCTTCCTTTACCAAAGCGGTCTTCGATTTATGCCATTTTTTCCTTGATGATCAGTATTGATTTCAGGTGGCGTTGTCAATGGTTCACCATTTGACATTGGAGTGATGGGTCGAGAATTGATAATTGCTTCAATTTCGATTATCCCTGTGTTTAGTTCTTCAAATGTCAATGAGAATGTGTTGGTAGTTGTTATCAACAGCTTTTTTGCTGATTTTACCGCCGCTTCCCAGAGGCCGCCAAACGATGGAGCCCTGGGAGGAATGAATTTAAAATCCACTTGTTTTTTGTTTTTGCAGTGATTCGTGATCAGAGCACTTGCCTTTGAACTGAATATAGATTCTTCTAAATTTTTAAGCTGGTTGCTTGCACCCACAAAGTTCGTTGCATTGTCGCAATGAATAGTTTGTCACTTCCCACGTCTACTTAAGAATCGACGCGGGGCGGCCAAAAATGCTTCTGTGGTCAGGTCGCTTACCAGCTCTAGGTGCACTGCCTTTGTGGAAAAGCAGCAGAACACGGCGATGTATGCCTTATGTGGTCTTTTGCCTCGGATCTTATGGTGGATCGAGATTGGTCCACAGTTGGTCCTCGTTGTGCTGCGAGATTGCCCATGATGTGGTGCATCAGCTTTGGTCTAGCATCTAACACAGCTGTGAATGATGCTTCTAGCCATTGTCTTGCTGATGATTGATGATTCAATATTGTTGTCTTGCAATTGCCCTTAATGCTTGAGCACCACAATGCATGTTTTGACAATTGGGTCATTGTATGGCAGCAAAACTGGGTGTTTTGCGTTGTATGGCAGTAGAGCGCCGAGATGGCCCAAGTCCTCGGCGACAGAGGAGAGCGACTCGGCCGGGTTGAGGGGCAGCCGCTGGACTACACACCAATGGATTGGCTATCCCCAGGCCCTACCGACTGCGACGCCCCAAACCCAGGACCAACGAGCCGCGCGGCCCGAGAGCCCGGACCAGGGAACCCGAGCCCACCCAAGGGTGACAGCGACCTGTCATTGGGCCTGGATGAGTCAGAGGTCTGCGGATTGCTCAGCGGGTTCTAGGAGATACCGAAGCTGAATGCGCTGCAGGAGGAGCAGATATGGTCAATCGCTCCCGTCGCCTGGCGAGTGAGCACGCCCGATCGGCTCACACCGCAAAGTTTACTGGAAAGCACTCAGGCAAGCGCAGCGCGGAAACCTAGAACACCACGAAGGCCAGCGCTTCCGGGTATCAATCACCGGGAACCTGGTCCACACTTCGCCGCGCCCCACCCCGTAGTAGGAAGGGAGTGTGAAGGCACAACTTTCACAGCTGGGCAGCTACACCATTCCCTGGAGGGACAACTTATCATTTTGACCCACAAGCAGACAAAGCCATGAATCTTTATTTACCATCCACTCTGTAGATACCGCCCCAATTAGAATAAGAAATAGATTAAGGAAGCCCAAAACGACGAGGCGATTTACTTACTGTAGGGTAAAAAAAACACGGACCAGTACCAAGAGCCAACCAGAACATCACCAGCGGTGGACCTGCCGCAACACAGCGCACCACAAACAACAAGAGAAAAAGCACCAGAGAGGGAAACGGACAGAGAGCCAACGATCGCTCCCACTCTCAAACCCACGCATCCGAAGCCAGAGATCCAACGGCCAACACAGAAGCAGCGCGACACGAACATCAAGAGAAATGGCAGAAAAGAGAGCGAAACGGGGAGAGCCGACCGATAACACACCCATGCATCCGAAGACACTGAATGACCAGGCCCCATTCGAAACACGCGTGTGCGTCCGGCCGCGCTGTAACGGCGGTTTCCCTCAGGTACTTGCATGTTTTTGCTCTCCCTTTAGGTCCTCACACACAAATTTTGCTCTGGGGAAGGACCGGGCCCTGGAGAGACTGAGAAGCTGTACCTCGGCCTGAGAAAACAATGCAGATGTGCATGCGAGCATGACGCGGTTACGCAAATAAAAATCGCAAGAGGCCCGAAATGAAAGAAATCAACAAAGGCAACTAGAACGGAGTGTAACGCGCAGATATATAGTCGACAGACGTAGAGGAATTGAACAACAACGCAACAAACGTAGAGGAATTGATCAACAACGCCAACAATTTCATCGAGTATGATGTTAAATATTATGCTCATTCTAAAGTGGTTATTGGTACTTTGGAAACGGAATGCACGCATTGTCATGCACTCAAATTTAAAAATGATTTGGAAACATAATGCTTTTCAAAACAGAAAACTATATGTGGCATTTTCTAAATTGGGAAAACCATCCAGTTTGTTTGTGTTGGCTAAAGGCGGACTAACCAAGAATATTGTAGACTCTATTGCGCTGAGAAATTAATCTTTATTTTTAAGTAATCTTCTAATTAATAAGTAAGTCCCCGCATACTTATAGTAGATAGTTATTTTTATTGAGCTGAAAAAATGTTTCCTCGAAATAATATAGATGGCAAAACAACGTTTGCCGGGTCACCTAGTAAATAAATAAATATTAAGCTATATTTAATTTCTTTATTTGAATTCATTTAATCTTTTATAAGAAACATACATAAGTTATTTATTTATTCAGATCCCTCGTCGTCAAGTCCAGAATATTTGTTGGAAGATTGCAAAACCTACAATAAAAACATTTCATTAAACTCGTTAAAGAGACATTAAATACAAACAATACATGATAGTTTATAAGGAAGTCGTTGAGTGGAAATCGTTTCAATAAAAATCAAACTTGACTACAAATTTACAATGATCTCCCTCAACTACGAACGACCACAAATAAAGCCTAAATATCATTATGATCGGGGATCGCGGGGTACGCTCTCCGGGATATATTGACATAAGTATGGGCATTTCCGCGGGTCACGAACGTACGTTTTTGATGTATAAAAAAGATTTAAAACGAGGGGGAACGTTGTGAGTTACTGCTGCGACCGCAACTATACATTTATACCCGATACATAGTCAGTATGGCTCTCCTCTGCCAGATTGAACGACACGACAATCTGGCAGAGGCTCAGTTAGAGCGTGTCGTCAGGACCTGCGTAGCCACTGCAAATTAATATGATCCAAATTCGACTATTTGGTAGATATGATGACTATTACTATTACTATGACTATATTACTCTACGGAGTTACCGTGTGGTGGCCTGCCCTATCAAAAAAGACAATCAGCTGGGCAAAGTTCAGCGAACTGGCGCCCTTTGCATCAGTGGGGCTCTTCGCACCACTCCATGGCGCTAAACGCCATGTTATGCCTCCAGAGCCTAGACCTGGCAGGAAAAGAGCGGGCAGAAATACCAGCAATACGTTTAGAGACACTGATCAATGGGTACCAGCAAAAAGGTCACTCATCTATACTAAATAACAACAACTCCCTTCAACACTCGAACTCGGCTACTGTGGCAAACTGTCGCGAATCTGTTCACTAGATGGCAACAATTTTCTATCAGCCTTATATGGGTCACGGGCCACCGGGACATCGAGGGCAACTGCATAGCGGACGAGCTGGCCAGATTCTTTAAGACCAGGAGGATGTCTGTATGCCATTGGCAACCTGTAAGCTTATTGCAGCAGAGACGAGGACGAGCTCCTGTCCAGCTCTCAGCAGAAGAAGGCTACAACACTTACGCTCTGCATTTCTAACCGTCATCTCGGAGATGTCTACACTATGTCCCAAAAAGGTCGCTAACTTTATAAGAGCAGATCTGGTTCAGATCCTGCAGTCTAGGAGATATAGTCATTCTTTACGATTCTGCGTTTTTGGTTTTCTTGTATCTGTGAAATTGTGGATGCCACAGATTTTCGCCCTTTCCGGATATGAAATGTCGTTGCTCTAGCTCTTTTAGTCTTTGAGCACTAGGCGCTAATAGGGACGGACAGACGGACGGACGGACAGACAGACATGGCTCAATCGACTCGGCTATTGATTCCGATCAAGAATATATATACTTTATGGGGTCGGAAACGCGAAACGCGTCCTTCTTTACGTTACACATATCCATTGTCACCACAAATCTTATATATCCCAATACTTATTTTGAGTATCGGGTATAAAAACAGAAAAAAAAGGAAAGTGCAGAAGTTAACCTTTTCGGTGTAGCATTTTGCATTTTACTTTCGAAATGTCATGAGCGCGACCCCATTTCACTGAAAACAACAAAGGTACGTGAAATATACAGGAACGATGAAATTGGCGGACGACACTCAGCGTAGGTTTGCAAAATTCCGTTCTGGAAATATTGGGATTCAATCATTCAATCGACAAAATAAGGACAATGAATAGCCATTATTTAATACGATTGATTGGTGAGAAACTTGACGTATCACTTGCATCCGTAGAAATCCACTAAAAGAAATTTGGTTCTGTAAACAAGCAAGATTTGGATACGATATGAAACAAACTTCTAGCTCGAGGAAAAGTGCTCAAACGAAACAAAGGTGAAAAATGTAATGTTTTGAATGTAATAAAAAAAGTACTTCCTTGTCAAGCTTTAAAACATAAATAAAAATCCAAAGCCGGCCAAAAACAGGCCTTTGCTTAGTTTCTAAATTTAAATGTGTGTAGATATCAAAAAGAATGACTATGATTCTGCATCTTCGGGTCTCACAGACTTGACTCGGCTTTTGATGCCGATCAAAAATAAATTTTTTTGGGGTCAAAAACTCTTTTTTTTTGGTAGATCTACACGAATTTATAATATCCCATTGTTGAGTACCGGGTTATTACCCTTCAAAAGTTGGAAAATAGGTAGTGAACTTACTGGTCCAGTCTGGTTAGGATTATACTTGGGCAGTTCTCGATCATTACGTGTGTTTTTGTTATCCTCTTTGTACTTTCCCTCGTCGTTTGTGCTTATTTTTCCTTTTACATTTTCAGATCTACAAAATAAATAATTTAAGAAAATGTTAGAAAAAGTTAAATAACACCATAATTAAGACTATGATGCAGCGGAACTGCATTGAACTGCTGCCAAAAGTAAATGTCATTTGCAGAGCATTTACTTTGCAAATTTGGTACCCTTCGAGCATTTTGTTTCAAAATATCCTGATCATGGGTACGGAGGATAGAGGCCCAAAAAAAATTCGATTTCAAATTTCAACGTAAATTTCATTACCCTTGAATCGTAGTTTGAAGCTTTTGAGCGAATCACTTATACGGAAAATCTCAAGTAATAACCTGTGGTAAGTCAAACCGATTTTCATCTAATCCTTACCTCTGGAACCATTCTATACCTAGCGGCCATCCCTCGCCTAATCAAGTCAATTCGCAATCAGATGCTCCAAGCTTTTTTACACATAAGAAAAATGACATCGTCAATATTTTCTCTCCACTAGCATCAACAAAACTACCATAAACTCTTGACCAATGGAAACAGGAATACCGCCGCCACAAACACCCATGACTTCGAGATTCCAACATCCGATTATGTTGTCATGGTAGCTCTGATGGTGTGGGTGTGATATTGCAAGTGATGTCCTCCCTGTTCCTCCCGTTTACCATGGTAGAAATGTGTTCGGTAAACTTTAACTTGGGGTCTAACATAACACCCAGATCATCCACCAGGGTAATTCTCTCAAGAGAACCACCAAATAGGGCATAGGGAGCCAACAAAGGGCTAGAACGATGAAATGTCATAACTTTGCATTCCGAGGCATTAAGGTGTAACAAGTTTGCACAACACCATGACTGAAAGATATTGAGATCGGATTGCAAGCGAGAATGAAATGAACTGTCCTTTTACTGGACACAGAGTTTAACATCATCCGCATACATAAGTACTCGAGAGTATGTTAATACTGAAGGCAAGTCATTAATAAAGAGTGTGAAGAGTAAGGGGCCTAGGTGGCTGCCCTGTGGTACTCCCGAAGAAACCTTTACTGAAAAAGAGAGGGAGTTTTTGAAGAGGACTCTTTGAGACCTAGAACAAAGTTAGCTAGAAATCCATCTCAGGGGGTTGGGCGAAAACCTTAAAAGGTCAAGTTTATGCGCTAAAAGGGAATGGTTTACAGAGTCGAATGCTTTACTAAAGTCGGTGTAAATAACATCCGTCTGTAAGTTACCTTGAAAGCCTTTAATAATGAAAGAGGTAAACTCTAACAAGTTCGTCGTGGTTGATCGCCGCCTTATAAATCCATGCTGAGTTGGAGATATAAGTGACTTGCAGAGATGTTGCAAGTGCGGAGTTAATACTTTCTCTATAATTTTTTGCGTCAGACTTGCTACCTTTTTTATGGAGAGGAATTTTAAACGATTCCTTCCAGATCGGGGGGAAGCAAGAAGAATCGATGGACAGGGTGAATAGTTTAAGCAAGGGTCCATACAGAACCTAAACGCAGTACATGAGTACACAGCCTAGAAACCCGTCTGGACCCAGTGAAAATATCGGCTTAACTAGTCGAAGATCATGAAGTAGGGAACATTCATTTAACAAGGGACTGAAAATGCCGTTCGACCTCGGTAAACCGTATGGGTACGGATGACCAGAATAGCTTTCCTCAGAATAGGTGGTTTGGAAATTGGGCAAAAAGATCGGCAATTGCCTGATCATTATTTGCCGACGTATTACGAAATGATAGCGAGGATGGGTGTGCGGACATAATTAATGTATGGTTTCTCGTTCTCTGTACCCGAAAATAGAATGAAGAGTGGTAGAAAAAAACTCGTGATTTTCGGATCCAACACAATAAAGATAGCCCGATAATCTTTTCGTTCCGTCCGTTTAAAGAAATGAGATGATAATGACATTCGCACTTAAAATTAAAATTTTACAGATTTTTAAATATACAAGATTTTTAACTACCAATATTTATATTCACCTGTCATGGTCACGAGATTTGTTAGATCTGTTAACATCATCACGACGTCTATCATCTATAAAAAAGGTTTTAAAATGTAAGAGGTTAAGTTTTTGTATATGTAGGTATTTTAAAAGAAATAAGTAAAAACCATTCCTTGAATTCCACTATTAACCTAAAAAAATATTTTCCAGAATACATAATCAAACAAAAAATTATAACCGATGATATTTTGATTACGTGAAACCTACCTACCTACGATCGTACGCTTTTGATGTACAAACCAAAAAGAAAACAGATAAGTTTTTCCCTTTTTTTTTGCGATTCGATAGCAAGCAAAAAAGATTAAGTATTTACACAATAAATGATATGAATTGTTTTTTTTTTTTTTTTTTTTAAATTGAACTAAGTACCGATCGTGGCTGTAGTCGCGATTATATTTGCTTATTCTAATAGGTTTTCCGATAAAAGTTAATACAATTAAATGCCAATTGGTTAAATCAGTTAGGTTTCATTTATCTAAAAAAAAATTCGGGAATAAAGGATATGAAAACGGATTTACATTAGCTTTTAATTATTTAGTGTCGGTAGAATTTTCCAATTTGTAATTATTTAGATTTAGTCGTATGATTTTTGTTTATTAATCAGAACCGATGTGACAAAATAAAAAGTTATTAATGTACTTTGCACCGTTTATTAGACGATTTTTATGAATATTAGCTTTTCTTATTGTGAACTAAAGGCAATAAAATATAGAAAACTAAAATAAATACCATACTATACTAAAGAATGGTAAAAAATAAAAGTTCACCTTTGACTTGACATATCTGAAGGTATTGTATGACAACTAATTCTACATATAATGAAACATTTATATTTTCAATTCATCAATGTGCGCTTGAATTTTAAACGAGGTGGATTTTTTCATTATAGGTCGGGTACCCGACCTTTATTTATACCCGATACTGACCGAATCAGTATGGCTGGCCTACGCCAGAGAGCGCACACATTGCACGATGAAGAATATGTGAAAGAGGGACAGAAAATGAGTAAGCCCTGCGTAGCTACTGCAAAATGATTTGTTCCTTCTGGCTATAATAATAATTCGATCTGATCAAGATTTGGCAATCTGGTAGATATTGTAGTTCTACACAGATTTTCGTCCTTTGTGGGGGCGGGGCAAAATTTTCAAATAAAATTGTAAAAATGTGATATCAGAGGAGTCTTAATACAAAATTTGTTTGCTCTAGCTCTTGTAGTTTTTGACATCTAGGCGCTCATTGGGACGGACAGAGAATAATATAATTTATGGGATCAGAAACACTTTAAATTTAAGGTATGGTTTTGTACTTATTTTGGCATATTTACGATATATATGTAGCTCCGTATTTACCTTGTGAGCACGCGTTACTTCTGTTATCGTCGCTGCTTTCCAGATTTTGGCGCCAATTGACAGCTGCATTGATACTTTCATTTTCATTTTTATCTATTTGAACTTCTGCCAATTTTTCATTTAAATGCTCGTCTTCGTTCCGAATCTTGTCTTGCCTCCGAGCTAAGCGTTCTTCTATCTCTAATTCTCTCGAAGCTGTATCTACTGGCTTAGCTGAGCCAAACACATTTAATGATGTTGTCAAGCCCGGCTTTGAAACATTTGTTTCATTGATATCAGCATCTTCAAAATCTGGGTTTGTCTTTATATCTGGTAAAGGTAGCGTTCGAGGTTTCAAGTTCAACCTTGGCCTTTCTTCTTGTTTAGAGTCGTCATCTGTTACATAACGTTCAATATTTTTTCCACGACCATCTCGAAATCTGTCATTAGTTTGATCAAAGTCTCTCCTCGGAGGCGAAGAATCATTAGATTGGGGTCTCACGCTTGTGCGCCAAGATCCAGGTGCGTTAGATTCTTCCCTTTCAGTTATAGGTTTCCTTTCTCGATTAAAGCCTCTGTCAAAATTCGCTGTATATCCACCAAAACTACTGCCATTATTTTGACTATCTCGCCTCCAATTCACAGAGTCTCTATTGTCACTGCTATTACCAAACCCTTCAAAACGACGATTCGTTTTTGGACGGTTTTGCTGGTCATTTTCATTCGATAGCTCTATACGAATGCGCCGTCCTTTGATGGATGGGTCTGGCAAGCTAAGCACATGAATTAGATCGTCCCTGCTTTCCAATTCCACATAGCCGAAACCACGGGATCGTCCGTTTTCACCATCTTCCCGTGGTAGGCGCAATGATATTAAATTTATAGACCCAAAAAATTCATAAAGGTCGTCTTCGTTCGCATCAAAAGGCAAGTTATTGATGTAAGCTATAAAAGGAGGCCTGTGCGGAATGGAATTATCATCAAATATCCGATTTGCTCGAGGCGCAGTAGGAAGCTGATAAACTGAAGGTAATGTGCTACTCCCGTCGTCACTGTCATCGCCATCCAAGTTTCTAATTTTTTTCGAAACTTGCGTTGTTCCGGCTGGTGTTTCACCATTAGAAAGAAACGATTGCAGCGAAATGACTGTTCCCTTGTTCTTTTTACCCTTTTTTCCTAAAGAATATAAGAAAAAAATTTATTTGATTGCAAATTTAAATGAAATTTCAATACACAATACACAACTAACATACCACACATTGTTAAAATGTATTACTAGATATGTGTAATAAAATACTAAAAATATTTGCACACATATGCATGTGTTTAAATGTTTGTATTACGTGTCTAGCATAAAACCACGAGGATACTAGACACACAACTTTCTACTAGTACTAAATAAAACAGGTCAAAACAAATCTAATAAATCATTAATCAGCGGATAGTAAAATAATGAAGCAATTGTATATCAAACCTGCGGACGCCATTTTCACAGAATATTCCAAACAAACTTAAATTTTGAGATGTTTTACGTATGCATAAATGAATATGACAATTTTCTTATATCATTATCGACCTTATATTAGCCGATTGTTATGTCAAGATAGCATTTATTGTTGGCGTTGTCTTGACATATAAAAAATGGAACACGGCACAAGCAGTATATAACAGAATCATATTAGTTTTGTAAAAAATTTTTAAGTACTGCAGTTCTGCCACGAAACATATAATAAAGGTGGCTAATTTATAGCAAACATTTTTTAGATAACGTGGTGAATGAATGAATGAATGAATAAATATGAACAATAAATAAGCAGATTTTTTAATTTATCATGTTTAGTTTCGTCGATTTTTCTCATGATCCAATGCGATGGTGAATTCTAGTATCTTGAATGTTTCTTTGATTAAATCCTTGTTATTCGATAATGTTTCAAACGAGGTCATTTGGTACCCACAATTGTATTTTTGAGTGTTCGGTCGTTTCGTCCCAAAGCAATGAATTTCCATCAATAATGGAAATTTTACTTTTCCACTAAGGCAGCAAAATCCGACCGTTTCCCGGTGAAACTGACCTATTTCCTGCGGCGGGGATTTTTTGAGATGTTGCCGCAGGAAGTAAGGACGAGGAACAAGATATGGGAAGAGCCATTCAAAGAATACATAGTGGAGAAGCAGACGCTCATGCGAGCCCTGAAATGTCCCCAGGAGGAGTAAACGGAGTTGATCCGGGAGAACTGCATGCCAGACTTGAGGGCATACATAAAGTCCCACAGGTGCAGGGAACTGGACAGCATGATGGAGTAGGCAGACGAATTTATCGGGAGAGCCGACAATCAAAGCCCCGGCAGCGAATCCCTTCAACAAGCCGGCCGAGACAACGGTGTGTCTACGGTGGACAAACGGCCCGGGGAACGGACCAGCGCGAGAGGAGGAGGTGTGCGATTCAACACATCGACACAAACGAATAGTAATATCAAAAACGAAAACGTAAAAAATTCGGCTCACATAATGTTGGAGATGAGGAAAAGTGGGCATATCGGTGTGTCAGTGCTGCAGGAAGACGGGAAACGCCCCCCGACCCTTGCGGCGGAGGGCCGTGCCAGGATCGCAAGAGCCTAGTCAGTGGGTTGACCAGTGAAGAAGAGCAGCTGTCCGCAATAGTGGAAGTCACGGGCATGGAGCTGCAAGCCACTGTAGGCTCGGGGGCTACGAGCCGTTTCGTGAACTGAGAGCTGGTGGACCGTCTGAAGGGTGAGGGTTAGCGGATGGGCATAGCTAGGAGGTCACACGTCATCGATGTAAAGGTACCCTTTGGGAACAAGATGATCCCAATGACTTTACTCGTGCTACCGGGCGTGATTGATGAATTGGTTGTGGGGTGGGATTTCATCAGCGCGGTCGGCCCAGTGGTGAACTGTACAGGGCACAGGGTAAGGGGGAGAGACTGGCCGTGGCGAACACGGCCCCAGAATTCAACACAAAGGCGGAAATAACCCAAGCCGCTGCCCCGGCTGCGCCTGAGACTCCCGCGGACATAAGGCAGGAATAGGGAGCAGGGGAAGAGCCAGCGGAGGATTTTTAAGTCCGAGAGTTGGAGGCGCACACAATCACCATGAGTGATCTCAGTGAACCCCAGAATGCAGGCCGAAATGACCCAGAAGGTAGACGAATTGTTGAGGATGGGATGCATCGATAAAGGACGCGTATCCCATGCCAAGAATCTTCTACATCCTCGATGAACTACGGGAGTCAAGGTTAATCAGCTGCCTGAAAATGAAAGATGGATATTGGCAAAGTACCGGGAAGAGAGCAGCCGGCCTGACATTGTGGTCATCGGGCGAACGGAGGAAGAACACCGAAGAAACCTAAAAGAGGTGCGGCGCAACTTTGACAGGGCGCCACAGGACTAGGCCCGGAACTCTTATCTGCGAAGAAGGCCGTGGACTGGCCGTGGTATGGGCAAACAGCACCACCTCTCCAATGCAGCGTGGAGACTTGACGCAAAACTAGCACCAAGGTACGATGAGCACTACCGAATACAGAACTTCATATCATCAGTGATAAGCCGACTAAGGAAGCAAGGCTACAAAAAGCAAAGAATGGCACACGTCTAAAATCTGAAACCCCAACGCGAGGAGCACGAAACGTAGGCGTGCAGGAGTGAACAAAGTCATCCAGGGCGGGAGAACTCACCCAGGCGGAGGAGGAACCAAGATGTATGGGATGAGGAGAGCACTGTCAACGGTAACGTATCTGAAGCAAAGACATAAAGAAATAAGCATAAATAAAGCGTCAAAACCAAAAAAAAAGAGGAAAATATATAAATAAACATGAATACAGATACAACAAAATACATTTAAAAATACATGAATACAAAAGAAAATACATAAATATAAACGGGGAGGGGGTGGGTCCATCAAAGATAAAAAATGGATACAGCAAATCATCGAAGACGACAAGAAACACGGCGAGAACACAACGATATCAACAGAAAAAGATAAGACCGGATGAATGCATCAGCAAACGATAGAACACGGCGAGAACAGATAGCGAGCGGAGGGAGAAGAGAGAGCAAATGCACCAATCACAAGAGGGGATCACACAACAAGGCGCAAGGTGCCTTTACAGAGCTCAGGCGGTAGGGAGAATATGCTACGGTGGGAAGCGGGGCGATAAACACTTCACGGTAGCACACGCGGTAAGCATAAGCACAAAAAAAAAAACGGAAAGAACCAAAATGAAACGTGCAAGAACTAGGAAACGGAAAAAAAATGGAGGAACTTCGGCTGGAGGCGCAGAGGGAGATCTTCGGCGAGGGGGGCTATGGTGCCGGTACTCCTCGTCAGCGACTGGCGTCTATGCTCTCGAGCCAAGCATTCGCGGCCGTGCGGCGATGATTCGCCAAGGGAACTGCTGGAGGAGACGCTGGCGATGAGGCGGACTGCGACGACGGAGAAGTCCAGCAAAGAGGAATCCAGCGAGGAGAGTGAGAGGGAGGACAGCGACGAATCGCCGCCAACTCCACCACTTCGGGCCGACGGTGTGGCCCACACCAATGGCGCCAACGACGGAGCGACCATCCTTAAAGCGGCATGCCTTGCCGCGAGCCCAGAGAGGGACCGAAGCGTCCGGCCCTGCAGCAAGCCGATGGCACGCTTCCACACTTCTCGCAAAGATCGAAGCTAACCTTAATTCCAGGCCGCACTCGCCGATGTCCGAAGTTACGACAGAGTTGCTGGCCCTTACTCCCGGGGGGGACCCTTGATGGCTACGGCCGAACCCGAAATAAATGGTGACCTCCAATCAATAATTAATCGATGGCAGCATTTGAAGGTATTCACCCAACAGTTTTGCCAGCGGTGGAATGTGGAATACCTCAAAGAGCTCCGCAAGCGCACTAAGTGGCAGACGCCGACGCCAAACTTCTATGTTGGCGATATGGTTGTCGTCGAAGAAGACAATCTGCCCACCAATAAATGGCGGCTCCGTGTGGTAGATATCCTTACTGCCCGCGGCGACCTCAAAAAACCTGTGGTAAAGGTCGTTCTCCTTCCAGTAGAACCCCTAGTTTCGACCAACAATAACGTGAATGTTCCTTTCAGGGCTCCAAGTCTCGTTACTTATACTTCTTCGACTACCTTCCTTCCTCCTAGCTCATCTCATTCTGACATGGCCAGGAATGCATCCGCTACGGACCTGCCACGTGTTTCTGCGCCTGCGCCCTGAGTAGAGGCTCCGAGCCGTCTTGAGAAACAAATACTGCACAAACTTCCTGACGCAACAGTCGCCAGCTACATCGGCCCACGCCGGACGCCGCCCTCGTCGTCCAGCCCGTTCAGCCTTGGATGCATCGCCGCCCTCTACACCGGCTCATGCCGAGCGCCGTCCTCGTCGGCCCGTCAGCCGACCGGTCGGAGGAACCGCGACCTCATCGTCTTCGAGTCATGCGTCTCAAGCTGTACGCCGTCGCCGTCACCCCGTGAGCCGCCCCGTTGTAGGAACACCGGCACCCTCCGTCGACTCCCTTCTACAACATAGGCGTGCATATACTTCGCTGGTTCGTCCGATCCTAGAATACGGCTCCTGTGTATGGTGCCCTGAGTACAAAGTACACCAGAACAGTATAGAATCAGTATCAATCCATCTGCTCTGCGATCTCATGCAGAGACCTGCGGCAGTCATTTACAGTCGCTGAATTCGACGATATCGAGCATAAAGCTTTAATTGCTGCTCGGCTGTCCGAGAAGACGCATACTGAGTGCGTGTTTTAAAGTAGTTTGGAGACAATAAAGATAGCCTCCTTGATGGCCTCAACTTCCGCTTGGAACAAACTACAGTGATCCGGGAGCCTGAAGCAGTGACTGATGTTCAGCTCGTTACAGTAGACTCCGCCTCCCAAGCGGCCGTCTAGCTTTGAGCCATCAGTGTAGAAGTGAACCGCATTTGCAGGTCCTGGCTCGCCCATCTCCCAGTCCTCCCTAGTTGAGATTGATAACTGGAAAAGCGTCGAGAGGTGATCACTGGGGATACAATAATCTGTCTTCTCCGGTAATTGCGGGAGTCTCGTAAGGATTTCCGAGTGCCGAACCACGGACGCATTCCACAGTTTCGCTTCTCTCCTTCTGAGGGCGGAAAGTGTTGCCATCTTCTTTCCTACGAGATCTACTGGGAGGAGGTCCAGTACGGTATCCTGGACTTCCCCTGGAGTAGTGCGTAGCCCGTCAGTTATGCATAGCCCTGCCATGCGTTGAACTCTACTAAGTCTGTTGAGACAAGTTCTTTTGTCTAGGGCTTGCCACCATACTACCACTCCATAGAGCATGATAGTCCGATTGCTTTCCTACATGTGTAAAAGGCCACTGTGGCGTTTGTTACTCTATTAGGCCAAGGGTACTTGGCATTAGGACTCCGCACTGCGTTGACGTCCCAAGTCAAACCCTAGGTACGTCAGTGCAGCCGTTATGGCGGTCGGAAGGATGTTATTAAAGGCACCTTCTATGTTCAGAAAGGCTACCAGGGAGAATTCCTTAAAGTTAAGGGACGCTTCGATGATCTATGTTATCAAGTGTAGGGCTGTTTCGGTGGATCTTCCCTTCCGATAGGCATGCTGAGGTCAGCGATCAGACTGGGCGGAATACTCGCCGTGAGATGCAGCCCCAGGAGCCGTTCCATCGCCTTCAGAAGGAAAGACGATAGGATAATAGGTCTAAAAACTTTTGGGGCAGTGTGCGAAGACTTGCCTGCCTTGGGAATAAAAACGACTTTGGTCTGAAGCCAGGTATCAGGGATGCACTCGCGGGTGAAGACTCCCTCGTAAATTATTTTGAGCCAATAAATGACGTTATGTCCCGCGTGATTCAGTTGGGCTGGGATAATGCCGTTTGGGCCCACGGACTTGTATGGTTCTGATCGCCATGGAAATTTTCTCCTGGCTTAGCAGGCTCAGGATGGCATTTGAGACGACAGAAGGAGGCGCAAAGTAGTTGCGTCTGTTTTCATCGCAACCAGGGAAGTGGTGGACGTAGTCCACGATTGGTCGGTGTTCTTCAAGTTTCCCAGGGTGGGTGTTGTATTCGAGAGAACTCTGCGCAAGCGCGAGGCTTCTGAGTTATACTCGATTTCGATGCATAGCTTACGCCAGGAGGCGCGTTTGGCATTTCTAAGTTCTAGTTGTAAGCACCTTCACCGATTTGACCATTAACAGGAGGTGACACCTCGTTGTTTTCCAGCACATCACCTAAAAAGTTCCGAAACTCTTCTAACTTATGTGAAACATATGTTTGTAATTTAAGTATTATTTTGACTTAGTATCAATTTCCATCTTTTTGATAAAGAAAAATCTGAATTTTCAAAATTTGCCAACCCCAAATACTTTCCGATTTTCAAACGCAATAACCATTTTACTTATCGTTATTCAATACATTTTGTGAACACAAAGTAAAATTTTGTCGAAAATAAGTGGTTAGGGATCTATTGACCACATCGATACATCGGAATATAATCTCAGCTACAGATAACAATGGATTTTCTGCCCTGAATACTTACTTCTGCGCTTAACATACCACATTTTGATGTTGACAAAATATTGCGAAAACGGGAGCTCCGAAAAATTACAGCGGACCGTTTCGGTTGAAGGCGTAAAACACAAAAGCAAGTGAAAGCCGATTGTTCATGTGGACCAGGAAATATACAATAAAGCTCTATCAATCTTTCTGCGGGCAGACGCTCTACCAAAGCAACAAAAGGCAATGAAGAATAGTTCCGCCTAGAAATATTTCAAATCGTAATTCGAATTGTAAGTTGTTTGAAAAATACAACAGACGCAATTGAAAATAGAGAGACTAGTAATTGGTGGGAATAAGTAAACATATGTATTTGTATCTGGAGATACAATCTGGAGATTGTTCGGAAAATGCTTGAAGTCCAGAAGGAGCAACAGAAATTACATGCAGGTTTTGACGGATTGTGGATGGTGGATGTTGCCAGTGTGAATTGGCTTTTTAAATCTGTCATATTTTCCACCGTTCCCCTTACATTTTCTGTGTGAGAAAAGGCTTGTGACAATTTATTATACTATCGTGTTAAAACATCGAAATTTGATTTAGTATCGATACATTGTTACAATAACGAGCCCTAAAAAATCATCATTAGATTGGTCCACGTTTTGGCTAAAATGGTGGATACACAGGTTATTACATTAAATATCATATTTTCCTTTTAAATCAAATTTTTTTATGTTACAGTTGTCTAGTGCCTTGCGGGATTTGCCCAATAGGGTATTAAACGTTCACGTGGAGGAGCGGCAGCAATTGTTTCAAAATGTTTCTGCTGTTCTGAAAAATCCAGGTAAGTGTTGCAGTGTTAATATGTATATAAGTAAATTTTATGTAAGCACATAAACATATATAAAACACGATGAATCGATGCAGAAAATTATTGAAAACCAAAAGCTACAAACGGCAGAAAAGCCTTACAGTTCCTCGTATCGTAAAAGCGGTGCATAAAGTGAGTTTATCCAACGATATTATCTGGAACTCCAACACCCAATTAGAATGATTTGTACATATACATCCATATGTATGTATTATTATTTGACATACTCTACTCGTCACTGGAATGGGACAGTCACATTTTGTCTTGTAAAGTATACACCTTTTAAAATACTAACACAAGCTACGTACAAACAGTCTAGAAAAACAGAAAAACAAACAGTCAACATACAGCACCAATTTTTCAATATATCCGGTTTTCGCAATCAATCCAGCAGAACATGTATGATTTTCTTTGGATCAGTGTCCTGTTGTCCTGGCGGCTCAATATAGCCGCCGATGCTTTCAAATTTTCTTTCAATATCTTATACTGGAAGCCATCCATATTTCCTTCCACAAACACCAAATTGCCGACGCCATAGCGCCCCAAACCATTATACTACCGCTTCCATGCTTGACGGTGGGTATCAGATTCTTTACAGAATTCAATGGTTTCTTTAGGTGAACTTGGCTCATGAAACCATCCTTGTGCAAAAAATTGGCAATTGTTCTTGGGTGCATAATGACTCTTGCGCTTATTTTCGGGTATTTACTAACTTCCTTAAGGATGCTTTTCTCGTCGCGACTCGATAGCTTCTTTGGCCTTCCTGATCTCTTCTTATTTTCCGTGGAACTGTTGTTATTGTTGCGAAAGATGGTCTGGACGGTGGATCGACTTAATTTAACTACATCCTCGATTTCGCCATATGATTTTTTATCATGACGAAGACTAAAAATTAAATTTCGAACTAAAGACTGTATTTGCTTCCTTTTTTCCCCCAAAAAAGAGTAACAATAATACTTTTGTGGACCCAATACACCCACTTGATACGCAACGAAGCTAGGCGTCAAAATAGTCGAATTTCACTTTTTGACGTTCTATTTCTTGAATAATTAAAGGGAATTCCCACGCTGCATGTAGACTTTTTTCCTTGAACATTTAATGTTTTTTTCCTAGTTTAAAGTTAAATAGTTGTTATATATAATTTTTTAAAGACTTTTTTCTGAAATAAAGATATTTGTTAGTCTCCTAAATAATGGCACACCAACTTTTGTAATTTTCATTGCGAAAACCCGAAATATTGAAAAATTGGTGCTCTCAGGCGGTCGCTGCGTTTTTCACTTACTTTTCCGGTTTACCTTTTTCTCAAAACGTTCCGTTTTAAGGTGCTCAAGTTTTCAAATATTTTTGTTATCGATATGTTTCATCTTTAATCTTTTTTGGCAAACAAAAACACCTGACCTGGCTGCTTTTTTCAATTGCTTGTTTTGAAGCAAAACGACGGCAGAAATTACATACGTACATATGTACATGAAATTCCATTCCACAAAGCAAACAAATAATATTTTACATAATAAAAATTTGAAGTAATCGTTGAAAGCATTTCGTAGCGAAACCTTTTGTTTGTATCACTCTTAGAAGCAGTTTTCTTAAAAATGTACCTGCCTTTGCAACGTGGTGTACGGAAGACAATGCAAACAAAACAAAACTGAAACTCTTTTTAAGCAACAACCAGGACAAAGAATATGCACGTCGACTTTAGGAGCAGAATCATTTCTATTGACCTCAAGAAAAAAACAAAATGGACCGCTCCACCAGCCATTCAGGCTAATACATTCGTTTAATTGGTGCAGTAAAAACGGGACTAAAATTTACTAAATTTCCAAGTTACCATTAAGTACCATTACCAGTACATATTCGCGGCATCATCGCTGCCAAAACGCTTGCCTGACTGACAAGACAAGTCGCCATCGCCGCAAGCAACTGAGACTCTCCTGGTCCGGAGTCCGCAGTGCTGGGGGGGCGATGAGCGACCCGCCTGTCAGCAGGTGCCCGGGTGTTAGAGCCTCGCCGTCGCTTGGATCTTGGCTGATGGCTCCCAGCGGCCTCGAGTTCATTATGACCTCGATGCCGACGAGGACTGTGGCGAGCTCTTCGGCGGTTAGGAGCGCGCTGCCTACCGCCCGTAGGAGTAGGCTCTTGGCAGTTTTTACACCTGCCTCCCATAGCCCTCGTTCTTTGACGCAAAGTCTCGAATTGCGTCTCCTTGCTCCTTGAGCCTGATCCGCAGAGCGCTGAGATGGCGGCTCGCTCCGACGAAGTTCGTCCCGTTGTCGCAATGGACGACTTGGGGATATCCTCGGCGACCGACGAACCTTTGGAAAGCCAACAAAAACAGTCAGTGGTTAGATCGGAAACTATTTCTAGGTGAACCGCCTTGGACAAAAATCAACGTCAATTGAAAATGGGCGGAGAGCACGGATTCGATCTGCGGTTAAATTCCCCATGAGTTGCGTCAGCAATCGAGGCTTGCATTTAAAACAGCGCATACACGATCGAACTGTCTGACGGCAGTCCTCCTGAGCGTTCACTATCCAAACGCTCTGTCAAAGTATGCTCACAAGTGCTCGTGGGCTGACATGTAGATTAGAATGGTGCAGATGACGAATAAAGCTTCGCACGAATTGCGAGCGGTTAGTGAAAAGCACAGGAAACTTGGCATCGTATGATATAGGAGCTTTGGCTAGTCGCCCCCTCACTCGAAACAAAGAAAACTTACACCAATTCCCTGTGTCTTCATGGATGAATGGGTTTAACCGCTGAAGACTAGGACCAATTGTAGAATATCCGGTGGTTGTATGTAAACTGGATGGAATAGCACCGTTAATCTCATTCAGTTGTTGATCCCAGGTAGTGTGATCTTTCCCACACACGGATCGCTGCCAAAACCGATCGCTTTAAGCGCTCGCTTGCATTCGCTTGAGCCGAATAAAAAGCGGTACAAATATGTTTAATTGAAAATCGAGTTAAAAAAGCTTCAAAGAATCCTGATCGAAATTGAGAACCATGGTCCGTTAAGATGGATTCCGGCACTTCAAACGTAATGAAAATAGTGAATCGAAGTGAATCGTTTCAATGGGCAGAGTATTTTGTACAATGATCCGCGATTATTAATAATCCAATATTCCCTGCCTTTGAACGAGGGTACGGACCTGACAGATCCATGTAGAGTCGGTTAAACGGTCTCTCTGATTGAATTGTCTTTCCCAATGGTGGTCGTACTACTGCATTTGGACTTTTGGTCTGTTGAAAAATTACACAATTATTCACATACTCTCGGATTTGAACCAACATCTTAGGCCAGATCAGGTATCTCTTAAGTTTTTCCACGGTTTTACCCATTCCGCCATGTGATGCGCTAGGAGAATCATGGGCTTGTTTAATAACACTGCTGAGAGGGAACCCATAGTTTTTATGACTGGTTGTCAGATTTAGGATCTCCAATCGGTTATTTTTAAATCTGGGAGTGTTTCTTGGTTCTGCTGAATGCGTTCAATTAAATCAAGATATTCCAACGAAGCGAAATGCTCGAACTCTAAATCGATGATCGCACCTAGGTCTATAAACTCATCGACTGACGACTCATTTTTCCTTGACAGAGTGTCAAGCTCGAATTTCTTAATTCCCTTAATAACTGCTATACATTCTAGTTCCGTAACGGAATAATTCCGTTGCGCTTTGCATAACTTAACCGACATGTATCCGATTGGCATTTCGAAGCCTTCTTCATTCTCTGAGCTAAGCCGCACCCAAGGCCAAAAGAACAAGCATCGTACAATAAGATGATATTCTTAGAAAAATCAGGAGTTCTGAGGATTGGAGCTGATGTTAATCTTCGTTTCCATTCTTCAAAAGCATTGGTTGCGGTTTCATTCCATATTAAGGAGGTATTCTGTTTACTAAGCATCTCGGTCAATGGAAAGCTTACGGAGGCATAATTCTCCACGAAACGTCGATACCATCCGGATAAACCGAAAAACCGCCGTAACTGCTTCACCGTTGTTGGAATTGGGAAGTCGTTGATTGCCTAAATCTTAAATTGATCGATATTTATCTGACCATCATGAAACCGAGATATTTAATCTCTCTCATGCAGACCTTCGATTTTCGAACCTTGGTGGTGATATTCGCTTTTCTTAGGCATAGTGCGATTTCTTGCAAAAGAATCAAGATATACAAATACTCGATTCCGTAAATGTGGGGGTATGGCATGGTCCATTAAGCGGCATAACTGAGGACTGAGGTGCATTTGTCAGACCAAATGGCATGACCTTATATTGGTACAGCGGACGATTAGGAACGGTAAACGCAGTATACGGTCGTGATGGCTCGTCCAATGGTATTTGCCAGAAAGCATGTTTCATATCATATCAGTTATATACCGCGCGGGGGTAAGCGGCTTAAGATCCCGTCAATATGTGGTAAGGGGTAAGCATCCTTCCTCGTGTATTTATTGATTTCGCGAGATTCTACACACAACCGAACCTTATCACCTTTTTGAACAAGGACACAATTACTACTCCAAGGACTGCAAGAAGGTTCTATGATATCGAGAACATGTTATCTACCTCAGCAAAGGCCAGTGTCTTTGTTTGTTTAATCGCCTAATGCTAATCGCGCCTAATCGAAATAATGCTGTTTCGGCCTAACCCTTCTCATTCGTACGAAGGAAAAATTTCAATAACACCTTGCAGTATTTTCTGCTCTCTACTAGAATGTTTGTGTAACTTGGGTGAGCTTTCTTCATCCACCGTGGGACCTACATCTGACTCAAGTTTAAATTTTCTAAAAAAATCAATTCCTAAGTAAACCTCTTGGGTTAAGTCTGGTATGATAAAGAAATCTATACTTTCCGTGAGTCTACGATATGTAATAGTCACTGTGAAAATGCCCTCAACCGAGCATTTTGTTGGGCTGTTTTTACTCTAACCGACGCTCCAAAATCTAATAAGGCGTTGTAAACATTGTCTTCAATCGTGATGGGTGTGTACAGATGATTATCTCCTGTGCTGAATATACCCGATACTCAAAATGAGTATTGGGGTATATTAGATTTGTGGTAAAAGTGGATGTGTGTAACGTCGAGAAGGAATCGTTTCCGACCCCATAAAGTATATATATTCTTGATCAGCATCAATAGCCGAGTCGATTGAGCCCTGTCTGCCTGTCCGTCTGTCCGTCTGTCCGTCCGTCCGTCCGTCCGTCCGTCCGTCCTTATCAGCGCCTAGTGCTCAATGACTATAAGAGCTAGAGCAGCGACATTTTATATCCGGACTTCGGTGATATGTCACTGTTGCAGGTATATTTCAAAACTTTGCCCCACCCCCTCCCGCCCCCAGAAAGGACGAAAATCTGTTGCATCCAAAATATTGCAGATTTGAGAAAACTAAAAACGCACAATCATATCATATGACCATATCTATCCGGTTGCTGAATCTGGATCAGATCGGATCATTTTTATAGCCAAAAGGAACAAGGAACAAATCAATTTGCAGTGGCTACGCAGCGACTGACGTCACGCTCAGACTGATTTTCTGTTCTTTGTCGTGTCGCTTAATATTAGCGGCGTCTGCCGGAGGAGAGCCATACTGAATGTAGAGTTGCGGTGTCCGCAGCAACTCACAACGTTCCCCTTCGTTTTTTTAATGGAAATACTTCTCCACAAATCAAAACCTAGATGGACGCTGTTTATATGGACTCTTTCCAATCATTTGCAACTGTAAAGTTCTGGTCTGCTGTCATCTAGTTGTCTGGAAAAAGAAAAAATGATCACAGAACGGATTTATTTTGAAAATTGCGGATAGACGGTCAGAAACCTTTCGGACCGTCCTATTCAAAATACTATTTTTTGTTACCTGGTACTCGAGGAATGTAGGGGTATATTAGGTTTGTTGTGAAAGTGGATGCTGAGTGAAAAACATTAACAAAAGAGAAGTGTAAAATTCGGTCTTAGCTTGAGCGAAGAGCGAGTTGAGCGAAAACATATTTTATCGGGTCTTTTTTGTCTCATTCAATACATATGTCCATAAATGAGACTTTTCGTATGTATGTATGTTTGGTTCTGGGAAATATTTGGTTTTTAGATATTGTTATCAAACAACATTGTTATCAATACAAAAAATGTCTAACTTTATTTTTATTTTTTTTAGGGATTAATTCAACGATAATTCGAGGGATATGTAAAGTGATTGCTACAACAATAAACAAATACAAGGATCTTCAATCACAACTCATCGTTCGGAGCCTCGTGGCTGATCTTGTCACTATTCATCATGATTTGACAGTAGAACATATGTTAAATGTCTTCAAAACACTTTTGTTTAAGGAATTTAATACGGTTTCCCCACAAAAATCTTGTAAGCCGGCTGTTGTCGCATTGGGATGGATTGCTGTAATATTAAAGCTTGCAAATCGCCAATCAAATATTTATAAAACCGAAAAAGCAAGATTGATTGAGTATCAAACATTGCTATATCAAATGACTTTATTGGGGCCACATCAACGCTTTGTCGATGCATCAACGAAAATAATATTTGATTTATGGTTGGATAGTAGCACTACTTATGATGAAACTCTGGCCACAATATTTCAAATGGAGTTAAATACAAATGCGACCATTATGATAATGGTTATGATCAAATTTGAAGCTAAGAGTAGCAAATCCATTATATTGAGATCACATACAGAAAAAATTGTGGAATATTTTGTCAAAAGCATGATTTCATGCAAATACAAACCCGACAAGTCGTTCATTCTGGCTTGTCGTCCATTGTTGGAATCACTTGCTGAATCCGAATTTGATTTTCATATATATCCTCCTTTAAAAAGGTCTATATTGCGAAGCCCTGAAAATACTCTAGAAAGTATTGGATTAATTTTTGACATGGTTAATATTGATTGTAGTCGGTACGCTTGCGAAATAGGAAAAGTTTTAATTAAGAACTTATACAGCAAGGGTGACAATACACGACGCGAATCGCTTGAATCGTTGAAACTTCTTTCGCAAAAATGCTCTGATGCCATTATTATTAAAGAATTATTGGAAGAAATTTTTTCTGTGTTAAACGGCGCTGATGGAAAAATAAACGTAGTCGAATACAGGCTCAATTTAATACAGGTAAATATATCTTTTCCTACTCTTATACTTATAAGAAAGCAATTTTGGGTTGTGGTTGGTCCTTTTAAAGAACGAACAATCGACAATAAAAGCATTGAAGGAAATAGGTCCATCAATAATTAAAATAATAACAAAAAATTGGTAAAAATGTGTCTAAAAAATCTCAGCTTAGGGAAGAAAACTTAGGAAAACTTACATTTTTTAATAGAAAACAAAAATAATTTTTATACCCGATACTCAAAATGAGTATTGGGGTATATTAGATTTGTGGTAAAAGTGGATGTGTGTAACGTCCAGAAGGAATCGTTTCCGACCCTATAAAGTATATATATTCTTGATCAGCATCAATAGCCGAGTCGATTGAGCCCTGTCTGTCTGTCCGTCCGTCCGTCTGTCCGTCTGTCCGTCCCCTTCAGCGCCTAATGCTCAAAGACTATAAGAGCTAGAGCAACGATGTTTTGGATCCAGACTTCTGTGATATGTCACTGCTCCAAAAAGATTTCAAAACTTTGCCCCGCCCACTTCCGCCCCCACAAAGGGCGAAAATCTGTGGCATCCACAATTTCGACGATACGAGAAAACTAAAAACGCAGAATCGTAGAAGATGGCTATATCTTCTAGAGTGCAAAATTTGAACCAGATCGTATAATTATTACAGCCAGAATCACGAAAACAATTTCACTCTTTCTTGCTCTGTCTCACTCTAACACACAGGTTTCATGGTCGGTTTTGCCAATTGCAAAATATGAGTTCAAGGATCTCAGAACCTATAAAAGCCAGAGCAACCAAATTTGGTATCCACACTCCTGTGATATCAGACCTTGGCCGTTTCATGTCCAAATTTCGCCACACCCCCTTCCGCCCCCGCAAAAGACGAAAATCTGAGGCAACCACAAATCTCAGAGACTATTAAGGCTAGAGTAACCAAATTTGGTGCACACACTCCTTTAAGATGTCACTATAAAACGTATATCTCAGAATTTCGCCCCACCCCCATCCGCCCCCACAAAGGACGAAAATCTGTTGCATCCACAATATTGCAGATTTGAGAAAACTAAAAACGCAGAATCATAGATAATGACCATATCTATTAGATTGCTGAATCTGGATCAGATCAGATCATTTTTATAGCCAAAAGGAACAAATCAATTTGCAGTGGCTACGCAGCGCCCGACGTCACGCTCAGACTGATTTTCTGTCTCTCTCGTACGCACTCTTTGTCGTGTCGTTAAATATTAGCGGCGTCTGCCGGAGGAGAGCCATACTAACTTAGTATCGGGTATAACCGTAGAGTTGCGGTGTCCGCAGCAACTCACAACGTTCCCCCTCGTTTTTTTTTAACATAGAAAATGGCTATACCATTTTGGCTATAAATAATTTTCTGTGGGAAAAACAGTTCCAGGGAAAAAGTTTTAAGGAAAGTAACTATTAGTAATTATTGGAGTTGACCATATACTCCTGAAGCTTCTGCAGCCTATGGAGCATTGAACCTGACAAGTTTTGAAGAGTTTATATTTTACTATTGTCCCATTCAGCAACGATCGCTGCAAGTCAGCCCCACAGATCCACACTTAAAATATACCAATTGTATGAAAGTACTGATTGAAAGAAGACGAAAGAAAAACAAACGGGACATCAAAATCAAAAACGACCAGACGCGTGCTTTTCTTAAATCTTCTTTGCAGTCATTCGTTTACAAATTTTCTTGGATCAATAACAAAGGAGCCGACTAAAATTATATGGCGAAAGCAATGTATGCTGTTGAATGTCTTTTGAGGACACTCTTCGCTGCCAGCTGAAATAATCATGACTCCATTACAGCTATTTTGCTATTTTTTCGATTCACAAATCTTGAATATGATCGTCGAGGAAACAATGCGTGCAGCTTTAACCGACAATATAGCAAATAAGTTCAAAGTGAACAATGATGATATCCACCATTAAAACGGTATTTTGATACATATGTCCATTTATCGCTACCCGAATCTAAAAAACTACTGGGGGAAAAACGCGTTTGGACCTATACAAACCTCCATGCCCCGAAGCAAATTTGAGGCAATTAAGCAGTACTTCTCACTGAGTGATGAAAGAGAGCGGATCAAAAAGGGGTAACCAGACTATGATCCACTGTTCCTCACGCGCAGATTTGTCGACTGTCTCAATCAAAGGTTTGACTCCGTGCCAAAGCAAGCCCGCCTTTGAGTGGACGAACAAATGTGCAACACAAAAATTAAGCACCACTTGCGCCAGTATATGCCCAATAAGCCACAAAAGTGGGGTATCAAGCTATTTGTCTTGTGCGATTATTTTGGCTATGCATACCGCTTTGAGATCTATAGCGGTGATCCACTGTATCGGCGTCAATCACCAGTCAAAGCATTAGACCAAATTTTTTGAGGACCAAACAATTGACGTTTTAATGTGGCTTATTCAATTTTCCGACTTAAATCCAATCGAAAACTTGTGGGGAGATTTACGACACGAAATTAGCTAAGTTTTTATTTTCAAATAATCAATAATTTTCGGAGGGCGTCCAAAAGTTGGGTTATGAGACACCTGCCAGACGCTTATAAATACGCTCAAATAAAAGCGGATTCATCAGATATTTAATATTAAATCCTATTTAGGAAAAAAAATATAAAAATCAGTTAACAAACTTCTTTCATAACAATTCTTGAAGTGTACCTATTATTTTTAGCAGCCTGACATTGACTTTGAAGTATAAATAGAGCTATTTTCTATTATAACATTGTCCTATAATATAATCAAGTTTATTTTTATGGAAAACGAATACTTAAGGAATAATTGAGAACTAATTTTAAGTTTAAAATATTGTTTTGTTATGTTATATGTGTACCCATTATTAAGATCAACTAAATAAGGAATACCCCTGATACAAATGTACCACATATCTTCTTGCCATGTTCACCCGATCAATATTTTTGTTTCCTTCAAATTTCTGTGTCGGCCATCGTGTATTTTGGAATGACCTTTCCGAGTTGTGTTTTTTCTATTCATAAATACTACGATATACTACTATAATACTAAAATATATATATTTGTATTCTTTATTTCAGGGAGCGGGCTTTTTAAGTTTTAACAACATAAGCCAGGACCAATGTTTAACCGTTTTAGATGAGGCAGTGAACTTGTTTTGGAAGGCTTTGGAATGTGAGACACAGGAAAAAGTTATTTGCTGTACTTTAGACATGTTTGCCTTATGGACTCAAAAGCTACGAAATGAGCTTCCCAGTGTTATTATTAATATCTTTAAAACTGGAATTCATCAAAAGAACACAAATCAAATCATAAGGCAAAGTTATCTGGAATGGCTTCTTCTATCTATACAAAATACAACGGCTAACAATCACAGTTCCATTGTACCAGATCTAATCTCTTTGTATACTAAAGCCTTAGTTAATGCTTCCCAATTATGTCACGCATCAGAAGCAGCCTGCATTGCCTGTATTCTTCTGATATTAGAGAAGCCTACCGAGAACTACAGCCACTTTTGGACAACGGTGTTTGATATGAACAAACAGTATTTCTACAATGAAAAGTTTATTGCAACAGCACCAACTGAGACGCTGTGTCATATTTCATTAATGGCAAGAACGCTGATTTTATCATATTCAGAAAAAATTAAATATCAGTTTGGCCCATTAATCCGGACGTTAGTTCATAACTTGTGTAGCAATTCACTTAAGGTGCGAAATTTTACAAAAATTCAGGTAATGAAAATTATTAGAGCCCCTAAAGGTGTCGACTTTGTTAAATTAGCGCTTAATGAATTTAGTAAACGCATTAATACGGTGAACATTCAAAATGAAGGCGAGAATTGTATTGACCAGTTTGGAATCCCAACACAAGCATACGTAGACACATTACAAGTTTTGACTGACTTACAGAATATTAGTTATGAAGACTCTGTCGAGGTTGCCATGCAACTACTTCTTATTTCCCACCATCCGGCTATCGTAATCAATAATCCTTTTTTTTGGGAAACCACCATATTAAATAATTTTCGGCTCAAACCAGAAAATTTAATTTCATGTAAGAAAAATAATATTGTTGTTGAATATATCGAGAATTTTATAGTTTGTGCGTCTTACGAAAATACCATATCAACATTGGTGCGCCTTAGTCCCGACCTTATTGTTCCCATCATTATATTTCATTTTAAAAAGTATCTTCTTGATTCGGACAATTATAGTATAACTAATGAGGAATTCTTAACATATATGACACCAGATGGTGAATTGTATGATAAAACTGTAATCCCACATGTAGACTCACAATATGCTACAACTCGTGTCAAACGAGAAAATAAAGTTTACAGCTATAAAGAACAGTTAGAAGAGATTGAGCTTCGTCGCGAAATTGATGAAAAACGACAAAAAGAGGGTAAATCTAAGACGACTAAACTTACCCAAAAGCAAGAGGAACAAATTAAAAATCAAACAGAAAAAGAGCTACGCATCAAGTTACGAGTTAAAAATTTGAATGAAAGACTGCTTTGTAAAATATGCTTACTTAAAGCTTCAATTTGTGGAAATGGAAAATATGTTTCTTTATATTTTTACACATTTTTAAATGATATCTTAAAAGCCACGGGAAGCCCACTTAGCGCAGAAGCTCTGACTGAACTTTATATATCCTTGCACACCATTTGTTTCAAAAATCAGCCAAAACTTGCCCGGGATATTGCGATCGCGACAGTTAAACTTCAAAAACCTTCGTGTAATTTAAAAGATGAATATAATTCTATAGATTTACACAAAGCAATCGAAGAAATTATGTCTACTCTGGAAGACCATACCAATTCAAAACATTTGGACTCTTCATCATTTTCATATGCCTTTGAATTTCTTCGACGAGCATTATTATTTTTAAAATGCGACTCAAATAATAAACTCATCTCTATAGGCATACAAATGATCGGTATTCACGCGCAAGTTCGAGATGAAACTTCAGATTGTGAACCAAAGTTTTTGCCTAGGCTGGGTATGTTTGAAACATTATTGAATATATTTGAAAATAATAAAAATCAAACCCAAACGGCCTGGGCAATTTTAGAAGTTGCGAAATCTTCCACCGGAGCTGCTAGCCCGGATAACCATATAATTATGGTATTTTTAGAAGCATTGCAATGTAATATAGACTCTGTAAGAAACATTGCATTGCGTGCATTAAAAATAATGATAGAAGCCATTGTTAATCATTTAAAAGTTCACAATGACCTTCAAAAAGAAATTATTGTCAGGCTTTGGATAGCCAAATTCGATGTTGCTGGTGAAAATAGAGATCTGGCCGAAATTGTCTGGAATATGGCTAATCTACCTCTCCCAGAGTTTAGTGAAATTATATTTAATATCACACACTATGAACTGTGTATCCAAAAGGCAGCTGCAGAGTCACTAATTCCACTTATAAAGACTGACGAAACGTTAGTTCAAAGTGGAATAAAGAAATTATTAGACATTTACAATGAAAAGCTTTCACTTATACCTCCTGTAGTGGATCAATTTGACCGTGAAATCGAGCCAGCAACAGACCAATGGAAAGCACGAAGAGGTGTTGCGTTTGCATTTTCCCAAATGGCCCCATACTTATCTGTTGAAGATATTAATTTCATTATGCATTTTATGGTATCCCAGGGTCTTGGAGATCGTGAGGATATCGTGCATAAGGAAATGTTAGCGGCTGCATTAAAGATCGTTGACATACATGGTAAAGAAACAATTGTAAGCTTATTACCTGTATTTGAAGAATTTCTTGATAAAGCACCGAAATCCCAGAGTTATGATAACATTCGTCAAGCTGTCGTAATTTTAATGGGATCTCTAGCTAGACATTTAGAAAAAGATGATAAACGAATTGATCCAATTGTTAAACGGCTACTAACTGCACTGTCTACTCCGTCTCAACAAGTACAAGAAGCGGTATCAAATTGCTTACCTCATCTAATTCCTTCCGTAAGAGATGAAGCTCCAATTATGATTAAAAAACTTCTACATTCACTAGCAAAGTCAGATAAATATGGTGAGAGACGTGGTGCAGCGTATGGTATCGCTGGTATTGTGAAAGGACTTGGAATTTTATCACTGAAGCAACTAGATATAATGTCTAAACTAACAGCTTATATTCAAGAAAAAAAAAATTACAGATCCCGAGAAGGAGCTTTGTTTGCTTTTGAAGTATTATGTACCACACTTGGTCGCTTGTTTGAACCATATATTGTCCATGTTTTACCACATTTGTTGCAGTGCTTTGGCGACTCATCCCAATACGTCAGACAAGCGGCGGATGACACTGCTAAAGTAGTGATGGGAAAGCTTTCAGCTCATGGCGTTAAACTAGTACTGCCATCACTTTTAGATGCTCTTGACGAAGATTCCTGGAGAACAAAGACAGCCTCTGTAGAGTTGTTGGGTGCAATGGCATTTTGTGCTCCAAAACAGCTTTCATCTTGCTTACCTAGTATAGTCCCGAAGTTAATAGAAGTGCTCGGTGATTCCCACACAAAAGTACAAGAGTCCGGTGCGGAAGCTCTTAAAGTAATAGGATCGGTTATTAAAAATCCGGAAATTCAAGAAATTGTTCCTATTTTATTGAAAGCCTTGGAGGACCCGTCTAATAACACATCAGCATGCTTACAATGCTTACTAAAGACAAAATTTGTGCATTTCATTGACGCCCCCTCATTAGCTCTTATTATGCCAGTGGTTCAAAGAGCTTTTATGGACCGATCCACAGAAACAAGAAAAATGGCAGCACAAATTATTGGAAATATGTATTCGCTTACAGATCAAAAAGATTTGGCCCCATACCTACCAAGTATTATTCCTGGCCTGAAGTCATCTTTGTTGGATCCAGTTCCGGAAGTGAGAGCTGTATCTGCTCGAGCTCTTGGGGCTATGGTTAAGGGGATGGGCGAAACCTCATTTGAAAATTTATTGCCATGGTTAATGCAAACTTTAACATCAGAGTCAAGTAGTGTGGATCGTAGTGGTGCAGCACAAGGACTCTCTGAAGTAGTTGGTGGGCTTGGAGTCGAAAAGATGCATAAACTTATGCCCGAAATAATTTCTACTGCAGAAAGAATTGATATTGCTCCACACGTAAAAGATGGTTATATAATGATGTTTATTTATATGCCTGGCGCGTTTCCTGAGGAATTTACACCCTATATCGGACAAATAATCAATCCAATCCTAAAAGCATTAGCTGATGAGAGTGAATATGTGCGTGAGACAGCTTTAAAAGCAGGTCAGCGAATTGTCAATTTGTATGCAGAAACAGCTGTAGCGCTTCTTCTCCCCGAGCTTGAAAAGGGACTATTTGATGATAACTGGCGAATAAGATATAGCTCAGTTCAATTGCTAGGCGATTTACTGTATCGCATATCTGGCGTATCTGGAAAAATGACTACTGAAACTGCTAGCGAAGATGACAATTTTGGAACTGAACATTCACACACAGCTATTATTCGTTTTTTGGGTGACGAGCGGCGAAATAGAGTATTGTCTGGACTTTATATGGGACGCAGTGATGTTTCTTTAATGGTTCGGCAAGCTGCGTTGCATGTGTGGAAAATAGTTGTAACGAATACTCCGAGGACTCTTCGTGAAATTCTTCCTACATTGTTTGGTTTACTACTAGGATGTTTAGCAAGCACTAGTTATGACAAACGACAAGTAGCTGCTCGAACATTAGGAGACTTAGTAAGAAAACTTGGCGAAAGAGTACTACCTGAAATCATACCAATTCTTGAAAATGGATTAAACTCTGATCACCCGGATCAACGGCAGGGTGTATGCATTGGTTTATCGGAAATAATGGCATCCACATCAAAAGAAATGGTCCTTACATTTGTAAACAGCTTAGTCCCGACAGTACGTAAAGCTTTGTCCGATCCTCTACCAGAAGTTCGAGAAGCGGCAGCAAAAACATTTGAATCTTTACATAGCACAGTAGGATCTCGAGCTCTAGATGATATATTGCCTTTCATGCTTGAAGGTCTTTCCAATCCGGATCCTCTTATTGCGGAGAATACTTTAGATGGACTGCGACAAGTTATGTCTATTAAATCAAGAGTAGTATTACCTTACCTCGTTCCCCAATTAACTTCTCCTCCAGTTAATACCAAAGCTTTATCTATTCTGGTATCTGTAGCTGGTGATGCATTAACGAAATACTTGCCAAAAATATTATCAGCATTATTAGATGCCTTATCAGAATCGTATGGTTCTGCAAATGAACAACAGGAGTTAGATTATTGTCAAACTGTCATATTATCAGTAACTGATGAAGTTGGTATAAGAACAATAATGGATACCTTACTAATTTCAGCAAACTCGGATGATCTATGCACTCGAAAGTCCTCGGCAAGTTTGCTTTCTGCATTTTGCATTCACTCACCAGGTGACTACTCACAATACATTCCCCAACTCTTACGTTGTCTACTTGGGCTAATGGCTGATCACGATAAAGACATCTTACAAAAATCATGGGAAGCTTTAAATGCTGTAATTAAGGGACTAAATTCGGCACAACAAATAGCTCACGTATCTGATGTTCGCCAAGCAGTTCGGTTTGCTGCGAGTGAATTAAAAGAGCCTGAGCTACCAGGATTTTGTTTACCCAAAGGCATAACTCCATTGCTGCCTGTTTTTCGAGAAGCAATTTTAAATGGCTTACCAGAAGAAAAGGAAAATGCTGCTCAAGGGCTGGGTGAAGTTATTTATCTCACTAGTGCACAATCCCTACAACCATCTGTAGTACATATAACCGGTCCATTGATTCGAATACTGGGGGATCGGTTTAATGCAGCGGTCAAAGCTGCCGTTTTAGAAACATTAGCCATTTTGCTTAACAAAGTCGGTGTTATATTAAAACAGTTTTTACCACAGCTTCAGACCACTTTCCTTAAAGCATTGCATGATCAAAACAGAAACGTTAGGATGAAAGCTGGTAAAGCCCTATCGGAGCTAGTGGCAATCCACTCTAGAGCAGATCCTTTATTTAACGAAATTCACAATGGAATAAAAAATACTGATGATTCTGCTGTCAGGGAAACAATGTTGTATGCTCTTCGTAATATTGTGAGTTCTTCTGGAGACAAAATGTCCGAGTCAATAAGAAAACAAGTATTTGCCACCTTATTAACCATGGTTGGACATCAAGAAGATATTACTCGAAATGCTGTTTGCGGGTGCTTAGGAGCTTTGTTGAAGTATATGCCAGCTGCACAAATTGACGATATATTAAATAATTTAATACTTAACAACAATACAGACGATATGCTAATTAAACATGGGCACACAGTTATATTGTTTGTTGCTTTGAAGGAATGCCCTAATGAAGTTCTCACATCAAACTTAAATGAAAAAATAAAGAAAAATATATTGTGTAATATTGTATCAGAAAAAGTGCCAATTGCTAGTAATGCTATTAGAGCTGCCACCTATCTTTTGGAGCACACTCTTCTTAATAAAAGTGAGCTTCCTACAACCATTATAGTAGCACTAGCTAGAGCAATGAATCATTCTAGTAATGACGTGAAACAATTGGTTGCTAAAAGTTGTACACATCTTTCAAAGAATTTAACAGCAGAACAAATTGGGGCAGACGTTTTAAAATATTTGGTTCCTATGTTGGTAAATGGCACGAAAGAAAAGAATGGCTACGTGAAATCCAATTCAGAATTAGCCCTTATTTCCATTTTAAGACTAAGGACCGACGACTCAACGTATTCCAGAATATCAGAAGTCTTAGAATCGGGAGCTAAAGATTCATTAAGCGAAGTTGTAACAAAAGTTCTAAAACGGGCAGCAGCCCAGTCAGTAGTAAGGGAAGAAGACTTAGACGACACCTTGCAAACCTAATTTCGACCTAAATCGTATACTTAGCACGATAAAATAGTAAACAAAATATATAGTCTCAAAATAGTTATAAATATTGCAATTTTTAAATACGTTTTGTAAACAGTAATAAAGATTTGTATATTATTCGGTTGCCTTTTATTTAAAAAATGAAATATGACCGTTTCTTCCAAAGTAACGAAAATCGGTCGTAGGGGGTGGATCGACTTTGAGAATATATTAATAAATCAAGATGAAAGGTCACAGTAGACTTCGGTTTCTTGCTTATCGATTTCTAAGTTTTCAGTAAAACCACTACATACCGTGCAATACTACAAAGTAACCATTGTGAGCAACAGAGGTCCCGCTGCGGTGCCACGCGGACTAAGGCATATATATACTTTATTTACCTTTGTTGCTCACAATGGTTAAAACAGCCAAAATTGCTCGTAAGAATTAATATCGTCGATGTTAAAAAACACATGGATGCCATTCTTTTTACTGTAATGTGTAATGTGTAAATCATAGAATTTGTATAGCCGATACTCAAAATGGTAAAAGTGGATGTGTCGCCCAGAAGGAAGCGTTCCTGATCCTGATATTCCTGATCAGCATCAATAGCCGAGTCGATTGAGCCCTGTCTGTCTGTCCGTCCCTATTAGCGCCTAGTGCTCAAAGACTTACTTGTTTGAGGTTTGTTTGCGGCGCAAACAAAGGCAGCTGACTAAGTGTTTGCTTCAAAGCAAAGACAATTTGGAAATATGGAAAATAGTCGTACAGGTATGTAGATTCCACGTTGTATGTTGGTGTGTTTTGTGTTTCGAGTGTTTTTACAACTGAAATTTAGCAAATGTAGTTGTGTTCTGTGGAGTGTAACTTATTCGGCGCGCGCTCTTGCTAGCAACTATAATTGGTATATTTTTCGTTAAAGTATTACGGTTATTAGATTACGGTGATAATAACATCTTTTGCCACTTTTTGCCCGTTTTCGAAAAAAAAGATGGCATATAGAAGCCAAGTATGAGTTTCGCCGTTTAATATTGCTAGAGGTTTGGGACAACAACGGGCGTGATGACTCTGCCGTAACAAAGTGGGTGTTGGAATAAATTAACAAAAATAAAGTTAGCAACTCACACGTTGATAAAATTGAGGAAACTCTGCACAGTTCAAGTAGTCAAAACGATTTGCAGACCAACTCAAACAAATCTTTGAATATTTTGCTCAGGTTTCAATGCAAATCCTTTTTGACCATACAGTTTAAAGAATATTAGTCCTGCAAAAAAAAGTTTTATCTCAAAGGGGAAATGTTTCACGTTGCAAGTGAATAGGAAGTTACGGATTTGATGGATTTACTGGTATAAGCAGAAGTGTCGATCAGAAAAACCTGCTTCCCTGGATCTTTCCCTTTTTGTCAGCACTATGATACCATTAACATTAGAAGATGCAAGCCAACAAGTTCTTGGAATGGTAAAATACTTAACGCTTTAACTGGTACGCCATCAACTCAGTGTTGTGCAATATGTGGGGTCAAACCTAAACAACTTCTCGAAACCACTGATTTTTACTCCGAAAGTTTTCAGCCAAGACCTTCGACTCTAAAATATGGTATCAGTCCCTTGCATGCCTATATTCGTTTTTTTGTAATTTGTATTAAACGTATTCTATAGGCTTCAAATTCAACAATTAATAAACAAATAAAATGAATCAATCTATACAAAAAAAATTATTTCATATAAATCGGTAAGTTGGTTGAAAAGATATTGTTGCGTGACCTTCCATCTATGTCGGCGATGATTTGTTTTATTTTATCGTAATTATGAAGTCTAGTGTTAGTTAGGCTAGGGCAAAGCGGGAGCGCAATAATTTTCCATGGAGCCCCCGGGTGGACTGTAAAGTTAAGTATAGGCAACAACAAGATACAAGGTTGACACAAGAAATTGACATATATGCAAACATAATCGTTGTCCGCGTCGTGGTGTGTGTGTGAGCCCTGCGATAAAGCCAGGAAAGTAACAGTTGGATTCAAAAATCCAAAAGAGCAATCAGAGGTATTTGTGCAGAAAATTGAAGGCTGAGCAAAAGACATTCAGATCTTCCTGTGAAGTGTCTTGTGCTGAAAACATTGCACTTGGCCTTCTTCAATTCTAGGCACAGACGTATGATATACATATAGTAGAGCTTGATTGCATGCATTTTATTAGTAATTGCATATAAATATAACTAAACACACATAAATACATACACATAATACATAACACATTCACATATGTGAACCGCTTTTTGAACGCAACAGTTATATATACATACATCTATCGTTTACTGCAATTACTGACACAATGTACAATGTAGAATGCTTCTTGAATGTTGCAATTAAAAAGTCGAACCATTTGCAAGAGCAAATCGAGGATATAACAGGTGATGATGCATATGCAGCCGAGTTGGAAGAGCTGCCGATTGTAACCAAGGGAAAGATAATGTCGCTTATCACCGCCTTTGATGTAGCAAGCGAGACGAAGCCAGTGTCTTTTTCAGCACCAACTTATGCTAAAGTACCGAAATTGGCACTACCAAAATATAGTGGTAAACACTCGGAGTTCAAAAATTTCTAATCGATACTGTTTCGTCAATTTATGGATCGTTACTGTCGATCGGAGACGATACAAAAATTTCGAATGCAATGCTCATTCATCTCGTTTTAAACAGAGTCGACCCAGTGATGAAACAAAAGTGGGATGAACAGCTTACTTATGAGAAGTTGCCGCTTTGGTCCGACTTTGAGAAAGTCTTGAATCGTCGATACCAGCATCTGTCTGCTGAAGAATCGACGAAGCCAAAGCTAGACAAAGTCATGCCAAGCAAGCAACATAATTGCAGATAATTTGCTTGTTCTTCCACTTCCACCAACAGTAGAACTCAGCAAACTTGTAGCTATTGCAATTCAGGAGACCATGTCGTGTCAAATTGCCCTCCATTTTCGCGTCTCTCGGTGATGCAAAGGTTTAAGTTTGCCAAGTCGGCATCCTTATGCATTAATTGTCTGCGAAAAGGCCACGCTGTTGTAAAATGCAAAGCCAATAAACGTCGAGTGTGCAACCGCTCACATCATACATTATTGCATAGATACACAGTGTCGGCTAATAGTCTCGCGGTGCCACCACCACAAGAGAATACTTCTCCTCCATCAAATCAGGATCAACCTTCCACGTCACATGTTCTGAATGCGACAGCGTTGGACAGGGTAATTCTGGCTAGGTCGATCGTAAGCGTCAGAACTAAGAGCGGTGAACACATTTTGGCCAGAGCTCTGCTCGACTCTGGATTACAAACAAATTTCTTTACCGAGGACCTCGCTCATCGGTTCCAGATCCGTAGAGAGGAGTCCTGTATTAACTTTCTTGGAATTGGTGAATCTAAGTAAAGGATAAAATACATACAGTGGTGAAGTCGCGAATAAATGGTAGTGAGTTCTCCTTTGATTTTTGGATCCTGAAATCAATTTCAGGTTATCACTCTGACCAGTCAGTGAATGTGACTGACTGGCGAATCCCAGAGAACCTACCACTGGCAGACCCTTATTTCTACAAGCCACGCAGAATAGATCTGCTAATTGGAGCAGAATCGTTCTTTGAATTATTAGCTGTTGGTCAAACTTTGTAATGTAAACTATTGCCAGTGGTTCGGTCCAAAGGAAATGCATTTTGTTGTTGTTGTCATTTCCAACGCCCACTGTAAAGATAATTTGTTTCCACATATGCATATGCAGCAGAATTCTTTCGTCTCCTTATATCTCAATCTCTCGTACTCTGCTTAGCAGCAGTCCCGAGCAGCTCTAACGCTCTCGGGCTATCCTACTCTCTCGCTCGCGTCTAAGCTTGCTGCATAGGGCCCGGCAATTTGGCCCGTCAACCCTTGCATATTTAGTCTTGAGCTAATCGTCGCAGCTATTAGATTAACATCCTCGCATCATTCGTTCGCCCAATCACCCCCATATGTACATATGGGATAAGTTGGTTTACATATGCCAATAAATTGTGAATTATATACAACCTCTCGACTTTCATTAAATTCAAAATTGCAATAGTTATTGAAAACGCTTAAGAGCTTAACATTAGGTGACCCCGACGTGATTGTGCAATAAATAATCCATCAGTGCAATCACAAACTAATATAGCATTCAAAGGTTTAAGCTAATTGTCATCTCAACGAGTGTCATCGAGTTATCCACACATATATACACCGGTGTCCCCTACATATACGGTAGTCCACGTACATATGTAGCTGTTGGCTTTCGCTTCTGTTTTCGGTCATCTTCCCGCAAGAAACGTTTCTTACACCGGCCGCCTTTGTATATACGGTTTGTACATAGCTGTTCGCTTGCTGTGCTCTGTTTTTGTCGTCTATGGAATTTTCTATGGCAAGCTATGCGTCGAGCAGTCAGGTGGGCAGAAGTAGAAAGCATAATAATTTTAGGTCCACATTGGTTACAACGAAGTAAACCGTAGCACGCTGCGCGCTGTGCAACGATAGTGTTCACGAGGTCTGGTACTGTCAAAAGTTTAAAGCGCTGTCCCCCACAAATCGCCATAAAGAAGCCAAGCGGCTCTTCCTGTGTATAAATTGTCTAAAAACAGGGCATCGATTAATTTAGTGCACCTCGAACCTGCGAGGGTAGGCACCATACCGTCCTGCATTTTGGTAGCCCTGAAGATACCGCAGCCCAAGGGAAATCAGCGCCGTATACTCTATCTCAGTCTGCACTGTCTGAGTCAACGCCGTCTCAGCATACCACTGAGCCCTCTACTTCAGCGTCTACCTCGACTTCCCTTATTGCCCTATATCTCAGTAATGGCTTGATCGGCTTGAGGTTCTGGAAGGTAAAAAATTGCATCGAACCAATAGTAAAGTCTACCAAAGAAGAACTAGATTGTGAATCACACTTTTTCCAGCATTTCCGTCGATTACATAAAGGCGATTCTCTTGTTCGTCTGCCAGCTAAATATAATTTGGAGATCCTGGGAGAATCTTACAATCAAGCGCTTCGTAGATTCCCTTGAGAGAAAGTTTGATCGCCGCCCTGATGTTAAATACCTTGATTTGGGCCGTTATTTTTTGCCTCACCATTGCGTCATGAAGAAAGATAGTTCTACGACCAAGCTTCGCGTCGTTTTTGATGGATCCGCTTCAACTTCATCTGGATATTCCCTGAACGACGTTTTAATGGCCGATCCCGTAATCCAACCCAAACTGTTTCATATTCGCTTACGGGAGATATCTGTAAAATGTATCGGTGTGTAAGAGTCTCGACCGAGGATAGCAACTTGCAGTGTATTCTGTGGAGAAACTCCAGGGAAGAGACTTGCGTGTGTTTCAATTGGACACCGATACTTTTGGGACGAAGCCTGCCTCCTATTTATCTGTGTGAGCGATGCATCAGTTGGCAATGGACGAGCAGAGGGTGTTTCCAGTTGGAGCTAAAATCCTTCGCCGTGACTTCTACGTGGATGACTTGATATCTGGAGCCAGCTCTCAGGAAGAGGCTGTCCGAATTCGGGAGCAAACTGCTGGAATTTTGTCTATAGACCAGTTCAAATTGAGGAAATGGTGTTCGAACATCCCTGCTGTGCTGGATGGAGTTCCGGAAAAGGACAAGGAAACATTTTTGAAGTTCGACGATGGCAGCCATGTGACTAAAACTTTAAGACTTGCTTGGTGTTGCTGTTATTTTCGTTCTCGGCCCTACAATCTTCTTCGAATTCCTACAGGCGCTCTGTTTTGTCATCCATAGCGCGATTCTACGATCCTCTCGGACTAGCTGGTCACGTAATTACTAAATCCAAAATCTGTTGAATTTGTTCTGTTGACTTGAATTTCCTCGGCTTTTACTCCTTCCAGACTCTACGCTGGAAATTCACAGATTTTACGATGCCAGCATCGGGGCTTATGATGCATGCCTTAATGTCGCGTCAAAGGGTCAGCATTCTAGCTGGAGCTTTGGAATGAATGTCTTCAAGGGAAGGTGTTACTGTTGGTGTGATTCTGCCGTTGCGCTCTCTTGGATTCGGGACGAGCCTTCAAGATTTAATATATTTTTGTTGCAAATAGAATGGAAACGATTCAGGAAATTACCGAAAAAATGGAATGGCGTTATGTCCCCACAGCTTTAAACCCAGCCGACATTCTGTCTCGAGGGGCTCATCCAACTGAGCTGAATGAGTCACCTCTTTGGGTGGTCCAAATTGCAAATTGTCCTTGCAGTTCCTTTCTTGGGCCTGCGAATAAAATATCATGTCGGTGGTCCCGCGGAGTTGCCTTTAACAGCACCAAATGAATCCGCAAGAGCAATTATTGTCGCAAGTTGCCGCTGCTGCTGACTGCTGCAGGTACTGGAAATTTTTTATTCTATAAAACCTAGCACAATATTGCCAAATAATCTTACCGCAGTATGTCCTCCTTTAACCAGTGAAAAAGTGAAGCTTACAGTTATGGCGGCACCTCATGGTAGCCGAAAGTATGCGCGTTCATTTGTGGCTAGAAATTCACCTTTTATCGACATACATTAAATACTAGATCTAATACAACCTCGCCTATCGCGGTGATAGATTTTTGGTGAAAATGGATGTGTCCAGAGGGAAGCGTTTCCGAACCCATCAAATATATATATTCTTGATCAGCATCAATAGCCGAGTCGATTGAGCCATGTCTGTCTGTCCGTCCGTCCGTCCATCTGTACGGCCCTATTAGCGCCTAGTGATCAGAGACTATAAGAGCTAGAGCAACGACATGTTGTATCCAGATTTTCTGTCACGCTAGCACGCCCTGGTTGTCGCTCAATGTTAGCGCCGTTTACCGAAGGAGAGCCATACAGAGCCATACGGTTATAAATGTAGAGTTGCTGTCGCAGCAGCAACTCACAATGTTCCGCCTCGTTTTTAATAATACTGTGTTTCGATCCAGAAGCTAATATTATATCTTACTTAATGAATAGAATTTAAAAATTTAAAATTATAAATTTAAAAATAAAAAACAATTTACTTTAGAATATGTTTTCTATTTCACCGCACAAAAATAATAAAATTACATTTTCATTACTGTTCGTAATAATGCCTTAATAATGTACTTAAGAAAATTACGATTGCTGTTTGTTAGTATAATAAATTTATAGATTTATAAAGCAATAATGAACCACCTGTGTACTGTAAACGCTGAAGTTCGGCAGCGCTGCGGCGCACTTTCGTTGGAAGGGCACTCTGCAGTTTCCGCTTCGGCTTTTGTTTTGATCTGCTATCATCAAAATTAGTTCTATGCTAATCTCTCACCGCATTGGTTGCATATCGATCTCGCGTATTAAGGTTTAACTGGCCGGGTAAACAAGCAAGCAATCTTCAGCTAAGCCTTCGGTATAAATAAACATTATTGCGTTCGACCCTAATCGTTTTATTCAATTTCGAAGTAAATAGTTGTCAAAAAAGCTTGGCATCTTAATAAATTACATTACATTCAACCGCAAAATAATTTAACTATGAAAAATACTGTTTCAATAATAAAGTATAAAAGTTTATTCTAAGAGTTTGAAATTCAGGATACAGAGAATATTAATAATGTAATCACAGGGGAGTGTCGACCACCCTGTGGAATTTCTATAGTCATACAGTGCTGTCGCGTTTAATCATTAATGGAGTTTGGACGGTAACCTCGTCATCGGAAAGATTTTGTTCAACTGAGTGAATTTCATCGCTGCCGAGTCCTATACAGACTCTACCGCTTTGAGATTGGTTTATATGATGCAAGGGTATTGTTCTTCCTTGTGGCTGAGGTAAAACATTTGATGGCGAAGGAATAGAGCTATTCGAAGCTAAAGATGATGCAGTTGAATGTCCAAGCAATGATTGTGAATGGTTATGGCTATGCACTCTTGATTGTGGAAAAGAAAGTTGATGAAACGTTGATGTTGGTCTAATTCCGCTTATGTTGCAATTATACTTTGGCCAAGCATTGTGCAACGACTGGCGAGGTAGTGTACATTGGGAAATTGAGCTTGAATATACATGTGGAGTAACGTTCTGAAATAAAATAAAAAAATATGTTTTAGAATGTTTTTATTGTTTAGAGTTTTAAGATAAGAATATAATAAGTAATGAGTACTTAATAATCTATAATAACTAGAGGATCAAGTAGGACGAGAACGTGGAGGTCATCACAGTTCTACCTTATTCCACTAAAATAGCTAGGAGTTATTCGGAACAACACCAAAATGAATGCTTCGCCAACTATATTATATTATATAACTGCAAAAGCATTAAGATGAGATGGCATAGGAGCGTGAATCCGTACCACAAAAGAACAGTTTAACCACCACCCAGCGTCTTAACTGGGGACGATTTCAAGCTTTAACTTAAGCCTAATTAAATCTAGCACTTCGGCATTATTTTCTACACGTATTCAAAAAAAGCAGTGTTTTTTAAGACTTTGAGTATCCTTTGGCAACAAGTCTAGCCTTGTAACGTTCCACTCTTCCATTTGCATCGTGCTTGATTGCGTACACCCAGCGACATCCAATTGCTTTTTGGCCAGACGGCAATTGCGCTCGCTCCCATGTCTCATTTCTCATCAGCGCGTTGTACTCCTCTAGTATAGCTGTCCACCATTCACTGTTGTTATCACTCGCCATGGCTTCTTCCACGGTCTCTTCACAGTTTAATAAATTTACATAATTATGCTGTTTTCCCGGTCTTCCCGGTCTTAGTCCAGTTCTTATCAGTTTTGGTCTGCCTCTGCCGCTGCCTTTGAGTGTTTCGTCCCCCTGGCCACCCACCTTGCTACCTGATAAGCCAGCCCTTGAACTTCGCCGGAAGGCTCTTCTGGGTAAATCGCCCTACATATACATGGTTTCTGATTCCAAGTATGCGAATTCATTTGCTTCCTTGTAACGCGTTTTCGGATGCATTCACAAGTTTTGTAACCGAATTCGGCGCCCCGGACTCACTGTCTCAGACATTGAACATGGAACCCAGGTATTGCTGCGACTAGTCCAGCGTACTCAGCTATGGGAGGACATGAAGTCACTGCGGGCAAGGGGAGCACACTCCTTATCGAGCTCAATTGCATTATTGTCGCCATTTTCGCCATCACTTTGGACTTCTCAGGGTAGATGGTCAACTGAAAAACTCTTCGTTGGATCTCGATCCAATCTTGATCTTTCGACTGAAGCCCAGGATATTGGAGCATTTTATTGCAGATCTTCCAAAGGAGCGGCTCGACGGCTCTCATACCTTTGAGATCACAGGCGTGGACTTTTGTGGGCCGTTTTTCTACAAACCGGAGGAATTCTCTTTATATTGCCTCTATCATATTATATCCACCACTTATTCTCTTCCTCTTATTAAATTGCTAATCCTCACTCACCTTTCTAGTAATTAGTAATTGTAGTGGTATTCGTAAATGTATTTTGAATGCATGTTTAGTTTCTTAACATACGCATTTTGTTCGGCTACGCACCGCGCGTCATGCGGCAGCGCTTCTCGGTCGGTTCTGGGCTGCGTTTTGCTACTTGACGGTGCAATAATTGCATCGCCTCTTGTAAGATGCAAACATTGCATGTCAACGTCCATATAAATCTGTCGTACTCTGCTTAGCAGCAGTCCCGAGCAGCTCTAACGCTCTCGGGCTATCCTACTCTCTCGTTCGCGTCTAAGCTTGCTCCATAGGGCCCAAACATTTGGCCCGTCAGCCCTGGCTTTTTTCGGTCGTGAGCTAATCGTCGCAGCTATTAGATTAACATCCTCGCATCAATCGTTCGCCCAATTACCTACATATGTACATACGCGATAAGTCGGTTTACATATGCTAATAAATTGTGAATTACATGCGAACTCTCGACTTTCATTAAATACAGAACTCGCAATATTTATTAAAAGCGCTTAATAGCTTAACAGAGATGATTTGTTCTACTTGCTTAAAAAAAATATGTACTTACAATTGAGATTTCTCCAGCCATAGCCTGTACTGGGCTATGCACTCCACTGCGTAAAGTACAATAGCCCATGCCGTGGGAAGTGCGTAATGTCATTTCAGCAGCTGTTATATGTTGCGGCTCATTTAAAGAAATTCCTCTACTAGGACTGTGGTCAGTATGGATTGTTGAAATCTGTTGTCTGTTCCTTGTACTGTCGGGCTAGAATGATTGTGATGATTAAATATTTCCTTATGTTCCCGATATATTAAATAATTAATTTAAATATCTTTCCAGTGTGTAGTAATAGCACTATTAGCACTATGCGACAAAATGTAAACTTTTCATAACTAGTAGCTGGTTTTGAAAAAGGGCCTTTGCAACGGCAATACAATAGTAGGATGAGCAACGCTCATACATTTGTTAACCACTTTATGTGTATACTCATTTTTGTTAAAGATATTATAGAGTACATATACGATTATAATGAGCAGATATACATAAGTAAATACATAATATATTTCAGACATGACTTGACAGTCGAATAATTGTCATTAGGGTATTCAGCGTGCAATGTGTAAATCAGCAAACAATTTTTAAATACGTTTGCATGCATTAAAAAGTAAAAATGTACGTGTGCGTACATTTCTGAACGATTTAATTCCGCTTTCATTACTGCTGTTGTCACTGTCGATCTCGCTATATAGGGCTCGGGCGTTGATGAGGGTTAAAGTCTCCTCTGGAAAAATACGATCTTCTTTGTTTTCATATTACTGGTTCGGAGCCTATTTCAAACTATGGGAGGCAACTCGTTCGTTCTCTTTCGTAGTGACTAGACATATTGTTGTTTTGAGCTACGCTGGTGTTTTGCCGAATTAATTATATATTTCGTACGTCGGTTAGTAGTGTGTTTGTTTTGTTGTTTTTTGTAACTACGCTCTCAAATAACATATAGCCCGCTCTCTTGTCGTAGCTCTTCGTGTTTATCGTTCTCTCCCTATTACTCAAAACTCGCTCACGAAACTTTTTTCTTTTATTAGCTCTCGTTTTAACCGCTGTCATATCAGTCTTAATAATCTGATAGATATTTGGCTTAAAATTTTACTTTTTTTTTGTTCTTTTTAAAAATTTCTAATTGTAAAAACGCTGTTGGATATAATTTTACCGATTTAGTTTACCGTTCTATATATAAGCGATATATAAAACGGAGCTGTTACAAGAGACACGTAGTGGTACGGTTAAACGTTTATTTGAGAGTAAAGTGGTATATACATTATGAGCACGAAAAAAAAAGTGTTGCCAGATAATTGTTGCTTATTCAAACAATAGTATCGATTACATTTTTAACAAACGCCATGGTCTGTGTCAAAAAAAAATGCAAAAAGGATATAACTTATGATCCCTTGCTGGCTCTGCAATAGCGCAGTGCACTAAAAATCAGGCCTGAAAACCCTCGTGTGTGTGATGCTATCGCGAAACGAAATGGTTTGACCGACATGCTCAAATTCATGAGGCAGACGCGTAAGGGCTGCAAAGAGCTGACCGTTGTCAGAAAGACAGCTTCCTTTAAGTGTAGGTACACAATATTTAGAAAGGACCGTTCGTCTCTATGTGCAGGTTTTGTTCTCATTGCAGTGGACTTAAACTTCACGTCTGAACATTTAAAAGTCTAGGTTCAAAATGACCTGGAGTTCTTGTGTGTACAATTGACTTCATTACTTCATTATTTGCTTGTATATTCCAACTTCTTCGGATATCTCCTCGCTAGCAGATAGGGATCATATGTTCCATAGTTCCAGACCATAGTTCTTCGTGGCTTCATTTTGCCAGGTATTGTTTGGTCTTCGGTAAACGTCGTCAAACTTTGCAGTTCTTAATGCACAATGCTATAAGGATAGCAGGATACGTTTTTCTCAGGGCCCTAAACAGTTTTACTGCTTCGTAAACAGTAAGCGTAGAATGTCCGCACACCCATCCTCGCTGTCATTTCGTAATACGTCGGCAAATAATGATCAGGCAATTGCCGATCTTTTTGCCCAATTTTTCCAAACCACCTATTCTGAGGAAAGCTACTCTGGTCATCCGTACCCATACGGTTTACCTAGGTCGAACGGCATTTTCAGTCCCTTGTTAAATGAATGTTCTTAACTTCATGATCTTCGACTGGTTAAGTCGGTGCGTCACCGGGTCCAGACGGGGTTCCAGGTTGTGTACTCAGGTACTGCGCCGAGGTTCTGTGTGGACCCTTGCTTAAACTATTCACCCTGTCCATCGATTCTTCTTGCTTCCCCCCGATCTGGAAGGAATCGTTTATAATTCCTCTCCATAAAAAAGGTTGCAAGTCTGACGCAAAAAATTATAGAGGTATAGCAAAACTATCCGCTATTCCTAAAATGTTTGAGAAGGTATTAACTCCGCACTTGCAAGATCTCTGCAAGTCACTTATATCTCCCGCTCAGCATGGATTTATAAGGCGGCGATCAACCACCACGAACTTGTTAGAGTTTACCTCTTTCATTATTAAAGGCTTTCAAGGTAACTTACAGACGGATGTTATTTACACCGACTTTAGTAAAGCATTCGACTCTGTAAACCATTCCTTTATCGCATAAACTTGACCCTTTAGGGTTTCCGCCCAACCTCCTGAGATGGATTATGTATGCGGACGATGTTAAACTATGTATCCAGTATAAGGACATTTCATTTCATTCTCGCAATCTGATCTCAATAACTTTCAGTCATGCTGTTGTGCTAACTTGTTACACCTTAATGCCTCGAAAAAGTTATGACATTTCATCGTTCTAGCACCTTGTTGGCTCCCTATACACTATTTGGTGGTTCTCTTGAGAGAAATACCCTGGTGGATGATCTTGGGGTTATGTTAGACCCCAAGTTAAAGTTTTCTGAACACATTTCAACCATGGTAAATAAGGCCATGGGCGTGCTTGGGTTTATAAAGAGGTGGTCAAAGGAATTTGACGACCCCTATATAACAAAGACTCTCTATACCTCGCTAGTTCGTCCGATCTTAGAATACGGCTCCTGTGTATGGTGCCCTCCGTACAAAGTACAAAAACTTCTTACTCTTTGCTCTGCGGGCCTTGACTGGGATGCGGGTGTGAGACTCCCATCGATGTGCAACATGTTCGTTGAATGAACTGCCACATCTATATACTGTATGGTTAGTGATCGAACCGATTTCTCTAGATATAATTAATACTTAAATGACTCGACTCTTACCTGATCATCTGAATCAATAGTTTCCGGTACAACATCGGGATTTTTTTCATCATAATCCTCTAGATCCTTACTTGCAGAACTTTTATCGCTTGGTCCTGGAGATTCACCTCTTGATATATTCTCATTAGACAGTTCTTTCTGACGCCTTCTGGATGAAGCTGTGCATGGTATTCGTAGAGCGAGTATAATCGCTAGTATGGCGACCAGTACAGCTAAGGTTAATCCAATTGTTAGCGATACAACTGGCGAGAATAAAAGCTCCGCACGAAGATTATTAGCTTAAAGTTAAAAAAAAGCATGAAATTGTTCGATTTGTTATTTAGAGTATATTACTATTATGTTGATAAAATTACTTCTTTACTTATATATTTACTCGAATATTTACTTGATAAAATATTATACAATATCAATCAAATATAATAAATATATACCCAGAAAATATGCCTTGACCTGCCCAAGACATACAATTTTATCCGTGATTTTGCATGGAATAGTTGAATATTTTTTAAATTGTTAATCCTTGAAATCGTAGTTATGAAGTCTAGTGTAATTTTGTAATAAAATCTCGCTCTCTCGCTCCTAGCGAAATCTGCCCGTTTGCCACCGAAGGTTAGATAGACTAAGAGATTAAATTCTCAAAAAATATACTTTGAATTTGAAGAAAATCGAGCGCACACATTTTTTCGTCCCGCCCAATAAATTTCAAACTACAGGCACCAAAAGTTTTCGGTTCTTCATTTTAGAAAAACTCTTCTGATTTTGAAACCTTCTACAGTTCTGCTACGTATATAGACGCACGCTCCAGTGACTCTCATGGAGGCGTCTGCAAAGGCATGTACTTGAATCGGTGACATGGGATCAGCATGCATAAATCGAGGTATGGTAATCTTCTCCAACTGACCCAAGGATTTTTTTAAAAGGTTCCATGCTGTTCCCAAGTTCATTGGAATTGACTCATCCCAAAATAGCATGTTCAGCCAAAGCTCCTGCATTAGGACCTTTGCCTTAATTACTAAAGGACAAGACTAGGGGGCAAACAGCTTTGATGTCACCGATAATATGTTCCATTTTGTGGCTCGGAGACCCATAAGTGACGTGTCAGACTTTTTAGAAGACCAAAACTTTTGTAGATTGTTTTCGATAAAAACTGATATGTACTGACTCTTCTAGACAACTCAAACAGTTCCTCGTTTCTTGGGTGACAGTCACCTTTGGAGTGTATTTGCCCGACACAATCCAGCCGCGAAGCATTTTCAGCAGTGTTGTAGAGTCAGGACCTTGTCTAATTTGACCAACAGATAAAAGTTCGAAAGAATCAACATATCTATCTTAGGTGGCTTGAATAAATATGGGTCTGCAAGTGGTAAGTTCTGCGGGATTTGTCAGTCAGTCACGTTAAAAGATTGATCAGACTGATAATGATCAGACTGATGGACCTTAAAATCCAGAAATTATTTTCTTCACTTGTTGATGCACGACTCCTCCCCACGGATCTGTAAGCGCTGTGCTAAGCCATAAGTGATAAAATTAGTTTGAGACCTAGAGTCAAACAGACCTAGAGCCGTCAGCCTTCGGGTGCTACAGGGGGATAAACGGATGTCGGGTCGGCTCGTCACAACTGTAGACTCGGAACGGGGCACATGGCACATGAACATCGGGTTCATGGCTTGCCCTGGTTCCAAAGCGACTGTGCTCCGCGTCATAGGAGGGCACGAGCGAACCGGCACCCGCCGTAACTGTACACACCGTCGGAAGTGCGACTATACTCTCCCCGTGAGGGCGGCTGGAAACAGGTCCTGGTATGGTCATGTCTCTGACAGTATGCTGGCTAATTGTAGTCGGGCGGAGAGAAGAAAACTCTCAGTGAAATAACCCCAATCCAAGGTGACACTGTCATATGCCGAGGGATGCATGGCCGAGGGGGTGCTCGGTCGCTTATATGCGGACTCTGGATACCTGTCGACCTCCAGTTTTAATAAGGCTTCCCGGGGCACTCGGGCTATGCCCCGGGCGACTAAACCCTTCTCGCCTACTCGTGGGACCAAATATGACAAATCTAAATATACAAACAAAAAACACAGCAAAGGAGCTCGGCACTTCTCCTAAAGTGCCGGAGAGAAAAGACCATCCCTATACAAACGCATCTGGGACACCAGTGCCCAAAAAGACGGGGAAGGGGACTAAGTCTGTCTAACGTCTCGAGGCAGCAGGCGCTGCGAGGAGAGGACCGAAAAGCCAATCGGGCCAATCCACGTCGGGGGGCCCCATGGGCGACCCGGTTACCGGGGTGGCAGCCATGCAAAGCGATATCGGCTGGCTGACCCCTTGCGACCGGGGACCACTTGACAACGCCACACAAGTCCAACAGGCCAAGAGGACGAAAACACCGAACAACCGCTCGTTTGCCGAGGTGGCGAGAGGAAAAACCCTGATTGGAGTCCTAGATAGGGGCTCTAAAGACGGGCAGATTCCTTGGGAAAAATGGCACCTCGTGGAAAACGAGCTCCAAGACCGCTTCCTCCAGGAGTTGGAGGAAAATGGAGGACCACCGCCCAAGTGTGAAGACGCCGGGTGGCTCCAAGGCAGGGCGAAAGACATCGCCTGCCAAGATGCTCGTTCGGCGGCCCTCTACGCGAAGGTGGTTGCATCGCTCAAGGAGGTCTTCCCAGAAGCCCAGCTGGAGGCCGTGAAGTGGGAGGACATCCCCAGCAAGCCGAGGGCCAGACCGTGGGTCTCGGCGAAGCCTGCAGAGCCGGATAAGATTCTCCGGATTCTGCAGGTCTGCAACCCCCACCTTCCCACAGCCGATTGGAAGGTGGCCAAGGTAGAGGAGAGCAACGGGCAGAGGCGCCAAATCATCCTCGTCCTGAACGACGAGTCTTTTAGACTTCTCCACGACACGGAGGGCGCAGTGGACTACGGCTACAAGAAGGTAGTCGTAGTACCGTACAAGTCCGACTCTAAGGGCATGCAACCGACGTTCGAGCCAGACCTAGAGCCCCCGGAGATCCGTAGCATGGAGAACAAGCCTGTGTCGGTATCGGATGTGACATCAGTGGTGTCGGATGACATCCTAGATGGTTACGTGTCAGACTTGAGCGATCTTACTAGAGGATCTCAAGCACATCGGGGTCGGGGAGGAGCTGGACAATGGTGGAGGTGAACCTCAGGAATGTCACTGATACTCCTGCAGATAAACCTCCACCATTGTAAGGCAGCATGCGCTGCTCTCTTGCTCCACCTAGCCAAGGGTGGAGCCGACATAGTCCTCATTCAGGAGCCCTGGGTCCTCGGAAACAGGGTCTCTGGTCTGAGTACTCCTGACTATAAGCTATACGTAGCTGACACCGCAGTTAAAACTCGCACCTGCATCCTTGCAAAAAGAGATTTGCACTTATTTTTGCTCCCAAATTTCAGCAATGAAGACCAAACAGCAGTGAGCATCGAAGGCCAGGGGTGCTCGCTGAGAATCTGCTCCATGAATCTGCTCCCCCTCCACAGGCGCTCAGGGCGCTAATCACAGACTGCGAGGCCAAGGACACCGGCCTAACCGTAGGATGCTACGCCAATGCACACCACTGCCAGTGGGGAAGCACTGACACCAACGAAAGGGGTGAGTACCTTTTCAACTATTTACTGACCACTCAGATGGTCCTATTAAATAGGGGGAGTGATGCCACCTTCATTATTAAAAACCGCAAGGAGGTCCTGGACCTCGCACTTGCCTCTCATGAGTTACATGGCAACATCGTATCCTGGAGGGTCCTGGAAGAGCACTTCTTCTCGGACCACAGGTACGTGGATACCGTATTCTCTTTTTCACTACCGAGACCAGCTCACTTCCGGAACCTTAGGCTGACAAACTTTGCTCGGTACTCAGACCACCTCTGAAATAGACTCATTTCAGATTAACGTGCGATGTAAAAAAAAGGCCCAAGTGAGAAGGGGGAGGCTCCTACGCCTTTCCAGCGACCAACTTAATCTAAACTAACCTAAGATTATTAAAATTATATTATTTTTGTGTATATGAAATTAAAGAACTTTACTGTCTGTTTAAAAATTTGAAAGATCTTTTTGATAAGCAAGCAAAATAGAGGACTGTAATATATCAAAGGTAAGCCAAGCTTAAGTAAAAAAAAAATGTTGCTCACTCTGTTCTGATGTTAGCTGCTTTTCTGGCATTCGGAGCATAGCCGCATTAAGTATTTCAGGATCAGATCGGCCTTTTGTATTAAAGGAAAATATAGATAGCTTATACAGGGTACCTGGAGTAAGACCCGAAACCGTAAATCTTGGATTCGTTGATGTAATATTTGCTTTCATTTCCTGAAATAAACAAATTAACATAGCTTGTAAAAAATGTTTTGAATCAATTATTGCTATAAATATATTGAGTTAAATTACGCCAAATTAATTGATTAAAAATGTGGTCTGTTTCAAAATGTGGAAACGTTTGCATTTAAGAAGGACGTATCTAAATTTTTTTTTTCAAATTTTTATGCGTAATTTCTGCATATCTAACATCTAAAACAAAGGTATTTTTACTACTTAACCAAATGCCGACCAAAAAAGAATCGCCGACATTTATTCATCCTTCGGTGATATCAGCATATTGTACAACTAAAAACTCGATACTCAAATAGGATAGGGGTATTGTGAAAGAAGTAAATGTCTAACATCCAGAAAGAAACGTTTATAACCTCAGTTGTAAGTTTGCCAGTGTATTTCAAAATTTTACCCCGTCCTCTTCCGACCCACAAAGTACTAAAATCTGTGGCATCTAACCAAAAACGCAGAATCATTAAAAATAGGCATATTTAGCAGATTTCTTAATGTGGATCAGGTCGGATCATAATTATGTTTTATTTCTATGTTTTGGGCCTGTGCTATTACGACGATAATTATGAGGAAGATTTTAATGGTGTTGAAGTTCGCCGAAAAAAAGGTGTTGAGTGGGGATATGTGTTAGAGCTCGGATTGTGGTAATAAAGTACAATTGTAGGCTGGTTTTCCTCAATTCTACAACAACTTCCGACCAAAAAACTGTTAATTACCACTAAGAATTGATTTCTATATTTTCTTTAACAAAAAGTTGCAGCATGACCAGTTTTTGTTGACCACTTTCCGAACTAACGAACGACCAGTGGATTTGAAAAGGTTTGATGCGAAAACTTTTCTGGCATTTGGTTCGCTTTAAAACACTCATAATTTCGATTGCTGTTTTATTTCGGACTCAAATTAATATACGATTTTCATGATTTTTCACCTCTGTATGTATATATTAAAAAAAGCTTTTGAAGCTAGGCGAGGCGAGGCGCGAACAGGAGGGAGCGTAATTAAGCGCCCAATTCATAAATTGGCACAGCTACCAGAGGATTGAAGATCGACGTGCGGTCGTTCAAGACGGCCGGAATGTCGGTACAGCGGTCGATGCAGTCGAAAATTTGAGATAAATTAGTTCAAATTGTAAAGGAAATGAATGAAATCTTAAGTCTTTAAGATCTACCGCCTAACATAGTTACATTCGCCCAAAATAATGAAGCAACATAAAGATGTTGAGCAACATTCGCTGCAGCATAGCTTAGGGTAATAAACTGAGAGTCGCAATCTCACATTGATGAAGAACGGGCGCGCCTTTTTATGATTTCTCGTCTCCGCCGCAAGCAGCTCTGGTCCACCAGAGCAAAATTCTACAGTGGCTATTAGGGGTATTCACCAAGGAAAAGATGGAAAATTTAGCATAGTAGAGAGTAGAGAAAATTAGCAGAGAGATTTGTCGACTCGCTCCGATCCCTATAAACTGAGTTCAAATCTGGATACCTTCAAAGTGGCCGGTGTACAGTCACTTCGCTAAATATGCAATGTTATTAATAATGAATTCACTTACATTATCAAAATATGAAAACAACCTACAAATCAGTTGTATAACTGATGAGAGATGAGAGCATAAATGATACGCCTTTAAGATCAATCTCTTCAAAACAATTCCAGAACAAGGAAAAAAAGAAATACTAGATAGGATCTCGGATAACACAGTGGGATATCAGGAAAGTCTGGACATAAAAGTTATTTGCTCTAGCTCTTATAGTCTTTGACAATAATGCGCTAAACAAGACAGACAGACAGAAGAGTCGTTCAGAATCTATTAATTTATCATGCTGAACTGGCCGAAAGCCCGAATGGCTATGTGGGTAATTGCCTTAAGCATGAGTAATTTAATTTGTAATAATTAGTTATTCATTTTATTCAGTATCACTTCCTTATTAGTTTTTTTGCAAGCGATCTTCTCTCCCCTCTCAGTTTATATAATATTAATACGAGTATGTTTGACGGGTGAGGAATAATGTTGAACATAAAATATTTTTAATCTAGTGTATCTTACATGTGTATTAGTGTCCGTCAGCTCCATAAGAAAATGTTGCGGTAGACCGCCATTGAAACCATCACTACAAGTAACCGTTAATGATGACACAGATATATTGATTAGAGTACAATTGTGCACTTTTTCCGGTCGACCTTAAAATATATAAGAACAATTTTTTATAGACAATAAAATAATTACATTCAAAACAATTCTGGTATTGCGAGTGATAAAAAGGAAGGGTATATAAGAAGCTGATCATATTAGATAAAACTATAAAAAAGCCTCATACAACGTTTTTTTTTATTTAGTTTATAAAAAATTTTATATCTTTATTTATATATATATAGTCACAAATCCATAATTCTCCACGTCCCATACACATTATGTTTATGTCCAATTCATCCACCTCATCCACACTAGTACCCCATCCACACAAGTAACAGGACACCACTGAAGAATCAACAACTGATTCTTCCCACACTCCAAGCTAGGGCCCCACATTTTTTAAACAATGGACCCCATTGATTCATCAAGCCAGAATCACGCCACTCGCGGTGTCGGGTCAATCAGCTTAAATATTGTAAATTATTGCCAGTGGTGCGGCCAAAAGGAAATGCATTTTGTTGTTGTCATTTCCAATGCCCCCACTGTAAAGATCATTTGCTACCGCATATGCACATTCAACGGAATTCTTTCGTCTCCTTATGTCACAATCTCTCGTACTCGGCTTAACAGCGGCCTCTCGGGCTATCCTACTCTCTCGCCCGCGTCTAAGCTTGCTGCATAGGGCCCGGCAATTTGGCCCGTCAGCCCTTGCATGGTCAGTCTTGAGCTAATCGTCGCAGCTATTAGATTAACATCCTCGCATCAATCGTTCACCCAATCATCCCCATATGTACATACGCGTTAAGTTGGTTTACATATGCAAATAAATTGTGAATTATATACAACCTCTCGACTTTCATTAACTTCAAATTGCAACAGTTATTAAAAACGCTTAATAGCTTAGCACTCGGGAAATTGATTCGTAGAATCATGCCACTCATGAGGACCAATCAGAGCTAGTCATAAAATCAAGGAGTATCACATTCCTAGCTCCCTCATGTAATGCAACACCGATCGCCAGCAGCGAATGCCTTTGATCAAACGCCGACGAATCCCCAAATATCGGTCCAGGCACGTACGCCACCGACACGAATATGCAGCCGAGGAAAGCAGCACCCGAAGCCAGAGTCGAGAGAAGGGCTCATGGAAACTAACAAACAATAGACAAATCAGTTCCGTTTGAGACAAGCAGACGTAAAGTTAAGTCGGGGACGATTTCGTTTAAAATTAACACCTATATTTCGGTAATGGTCAGCTTGTGTAATTTATAATTACTGTGATCACGTAATACCGGAATCGTTAATAAAATTGTGAAATCCGCCAAAGAATCTATGTGCTGCAAGCACATACGATTTGCAAAACTAATTTAAGTGAACTGAAGTGAGCGGAGATAGTGAATCACCAAGGACAGTGAAACACTAAATACAAAATCAAAAAAACTTACAAGTGAACCAAAATAAAGTTAAAAACTACAACAAAACAAAACCAATCAACACCAACAAATACAACATGGCGTTACCACCACTGACATTGATCGAAATCCACTTGAACCAGGCATTGCTGTCGATCCGACAAATACCTGCCTTTGATGGTTCATCTGGACAGTTGAGTTCGTTCATCAACCGAATCGAATATGTATGCAGTTTATATCCAACTGAAGATCTTCGACAACAAAGGATCCTATTTGGAGTGACCGAGATCCAACTGACAGGAGAGACACAACGCATATCGCAGATGATACAACCCAACACATGGCACGAACTGAAGGCGGCGCTAATCAAGGAGTTCAAAACTCACACACTGTATGAAAAACTCTTGCGACAACTATACACCACCAGATTCAACGGCAGTCTTCGTAAGTTTATAGAAGAATTAGAGATAAAAGCATTATTAATAAACAATAAGCTAAAATTAGAAAATATACCAGAAAATAATGTCATTTATACAAATTTTCTGAATAACACAATTAAAGATGTCATTACTCGAAAACTTCCTGACAGAATGTTCATGACCTTGCGCTCGAAGTTTTCTTTGCTTGAAAATATCCCAAGGACTCTAATCTTTGCTTTATAGGCAAGCGAACAGAGTATTCCCCTGAGGGTAAGCTAGTGTGATGGTTGACGAAGTGTTCCTCCTCTGTTGCCCTTGCGATTGGCTCAAAGAGGTTTGTGCACTTCCCAAAATTGACGAACCAAGTCATCGAGCCAAATGCTGTGATTGGTGTCATCCGAAGATTGGGTTGCGATAACCGACGAAGAGTTAGGGGCCGAGTGGCCGACACCAGATAGAATCCATCCGAGATGTGTCTTCAGCAGCAAAGGTAATCCAGGCGCCAGCTAAATTTGTCTTACACACAGCAACTCAAAGAAAAGTCCGGCTCCGATCAATGTGCTGCGGCTTATGGCACAAAAGGCCAGCAAGCTGGATATTCAAAGGTATAGGCCAATTAGCAGTGCTAATTGAGACGCAAGGTTGACTATCCGTAATCTTCTGGGCAACGACGGCAGTGATGCTAGTGGTGAAATCTGAAATCCGCGATTTCAAAACGAGATCCACCGAGATACCTTCAGTTGAGAAGCTAGCATCTCCTATGCCAGAGACTGCAGTAAGGGACTAAGTTTTACGCAGTTAATGCTGATTAGATAGACGAGTTGTTACGAAATGCAATTGCGAGCCCGAGTCCAACGACGACGGTGGCTAATAAAACAGGCTCAGACGGATGCTGGGATATATGAGCATGCGGCGAGGAGGGCGAAAATGCAACCATGGCGGTATGAATATCGAGTCTACCTATTCATAGTTGACTAAAACCAAAGCATAAATTCCTGTGAAATATGATTTTAAATGAACCGTTAAACAGCGGTCGGTACTTCTGGCACAGTGTTGTTTTTACTTTCTTCGGAATAGGACCATTTTTTTTCTAACAATACCAACATTTTTTATTTGCAACAGTATTTAATGTGGTAATGTGGCATTTGGGAAGGTACTCTTCTAGGGACGGGTTTCAAAAATGTTTTTTTTTCAGTCAGATTTCCATATCACATGACTTCGGCATATCGTTTGTAAAAACGCTATGAAGCCGTTTGACCAATTATCCTCAAATCACATTTTATCATTACTTAATGGTACATTACAATACAGGCTTAAAAAATCAAGATATATAATAATTTCAAACTTACATCCAAATAAATATATTAAAAAAATATTTTTTAATTAATATTTTTCATTTAAAAAATAACAAAAATATTTGTTTCTTGCTTAGTATAATTTGTTCTCAATCGTTGATTTTTTTTAACTTTTTCAACTTGATCAGTTGTTACCGCATATGTACATCAAGCAAAACTCATTGCACATATCTGATAGCTTTAGTTTTTTGTCAGATGAATCTTTTCAACATTAAAAAGGTCAACATTTTTCATAAGTCTATTTAATATTAATTTAATTTAACAGGAATAGGTTCTAAGTCACTAGAGTTTTATAAAGAGAATTATAGAATTGTTATTGATTATTAAAAAGTAAAATTTACCTGCAGCAATAATGTGAAATACGCAGGGTACTCGCTGCTTTCCGATTTTATTCGTAGCTATACATAAAAGGGTACCATAGTCCAGTTCAGTTATTGGAGTGTATGTTACAACGGAAGATGTGCCTAAAAAGATGTAATATATGATATCTAGCTGATTTCAAAGAATTTTGAAATATTAAAATTCGCTCATTGTACTGAAATTTACGAGGCTGTTCTATAGTCTGTGACTTTTTAAATGCAAAACAGATTTTTGGATAAACCATAATTGTATCTTTCAACTTAGTCTACGTTACCACTTTTTTACCATTGAAATTGATGGTGCACAGTTCCCATAGTATGTATTAAGCTTCTCCTTGGCTTGAGTAATGTTTTAAAAAAAAAAAAAAAAAAACTTAATAGGGGTTGTTCTTTTGCATATCCTCATTAAATTGACCCAATAAGCTGTAATAATATTCTCCATTGATTTTTTTTAGCTTTTTGAAGAAGTCAATGTAGATAATACCGCGTGCATCCCAAAAAATGACTTAATTGGCTGGAAAGCCCAACTTGCTCTTCTTTGGTGCAGAATCACATTGAGAAACCGAATTTTTTGACTGCTGTCCGCTCTCTCTTCAAACTTCCTGGTGTAGAGACCAGACAAACCGAAATTGTGCAAACCACTTTTTTTATACCCGATACTCAAAATGAGGATAGGGGTATATTCGATTTTTGGTGAAAATGAATGCGTGTAACGTCCAGAAGGAAGCGTTTCCGACCCTATAAAGTATATATATTCTTGGTCAGCATCAATAGTCCTCCGTCCGTCCATCCGTCTTGTTGCATAAGTTGCTTCAAAAGTAACAACATACAACATCCGACCATTCGTCTTGAATCGATCATCTTACTACGAGCCACTGAACAGGAGCAGTTCTTATAGTTTATCGGCTTGCATGTGTGGTTAGGCAGAACTTACCCGATTGAATAATGTGATTTTTAGCAACGTCAATACTTTCCGCCGAATTATTAAATGTCCAACTAAATTCGACTTCATGTGGGTTTGCATCGACAACACACCTTATTTTAGCATCTTCGTGTTTTGCTATCCCATAGATTTTCTTCTGGTTCTGCAAACATGTGGGAGAATCTAAAAAATGAAATAAGACAAAGTTCAACTTTAAAAGTTGGTAAATAAATACTGTTAAGGCAAATCAGTTGCCTGTCTATATATATATATGTAGTTAAGTATGCGACACTTGAGTTTAAGTTTTAAAAAAAGATTTATTATTTCACTTAAACTTAGCGTACAATGGTTAGTTAGTTTCCCCGACGATGACTGAGGTCAGATGCCTTGAATGGAATTAACTTGGGTGAATTCTTCGACGGTGTCGCGATTGGCGTTTGTCTTGAACAGAACTGACTTTCCTATTTAGATGTAGACTATTTATATTATGATGCTCAGATTGTTTATGGGGGTTCGAAGCTGAGGGTGTCGGATTGATTATAGTATTGTGGGTGCAGGGTAATAGACATAGCTAAGGGTATGCGGAGCATGGACTATAGATATGTCACTATATATATCTATAATTATACCTAAGAGACATGTATGAAATCACGCTCTTGAATTGTAATGTCGTGCGCTCTTATACCATGTTGCGAACGGAGCCTATGCAAGCAGCAGCCGCTCATGAAGAGGGCGCCGCTTTAGAATGAACGCACTTATAATTGAAAGTCAATTGAGTGCACAAGTTTGATCTGTCGGTCTGTCTGATTCCAGTGTCTAATTAAACCCTCAGAAATCGTGCCTAACGGCAGGCTATTTAGCACATTCATTTTTGGCGCCCCGGGTGAACACTGATTTTCTGGATTGGACAGAAGTTGGATTGGATTAATCTTGGCGCTTCGTTGGATATCCCCATTGGATATCATCCCTCGCTCGTTGCTGTTGCTGTTCCTGCAGTTGTCATTGGTGGCCCGCTGGACTTCAAACTTCGCTACTCTTGAGAGCTGCTCGTGGGTATTCCTGGTTGGTATGAACTTGTGGGAGGGAATGCATCGTTTTTCAAACAACCCTTAACCAGAGCCACAGGTAAATCACAGTGCCGAATTATTTCAACAAAAATATATAAATAACCACGTATAAAAAAGGCCTGTGAATAAATTATTCAATAAATGTGATTCGGCCAGGTATCTGTACGTACACACATTCAAAGTTATTTGATTATACAGTGAGTGATCACTGTACTTGTGGTCAACGACATTCTCAAAAAAAGCCGACAAGCAAAGGAGAAACGGCAATAGTTTCGCGCGCAAGCTCTAACCGCTGCGAATCAGCCCGTCTAAAACTACTGTCTATTTTATTCACTGCTACTCCTCTCAGCGGCTACGACGGCTAGGGTTTATTCCAGGCTCGCGTACCGGCTGAGTTTCGTTCACCAGGGCTCCATTTTAAAGTTTTAAAGCATTTTAACTTTTATACCCGCGATGGAGTCTATATATGTCCCATTGAATTCTTTTAATGGTTATACGTTTTGTGTTGTTAGACTTTATGTTGGTCTTAAACTGTGAAAACGATTTTACTTTTTAATAATTTAGCTTTCTCGCACGGAAGTTAGCTTTTTTGTTTTACTAAAAATAAATATCTATAAAAACATCCTACGAGAAAAACTTACACAAAATATTCAAGGCAAACGGGGCACTGATTCCTTCTCCTTCTGCATTAAATCCAACGCATGAATAGTTACCAGCAGTTGATCTTGTCACACCTTGCAGAACCAAAGAGTGGTTACTAATTATTATCCCTTGAGAAATGTTATGAAACAATGGTTGATCCTATAAGAAAAAGAAAAAAAATTTATAATAGTTTTTCTTAATGTGTGCGAAACCAAAAGCTGCTTGGATATACATATTCAAGCAGGCTCCTGTTTTAACTTTCACAACAATTTTACAAAACGCTAGATTTCTCAGTTTTTTAACTGTTTTGAAAATAGATGACTTTTTGATGCAATAACAAAAATTTGACACCATTTACAGAACATACTTTTTTTTTGTAACCAAACCTATGAAATAATTTGTTAGGTCAACAGCGCGTAACGAATTTTCGCGTAACAGCATAGACTGTGCTCGTAATATACTAAATTCTGCTTATTAAGATCGGTAAAGGCAGCTATTTCCCGACATATTTAATTCAATTATTTTCAATATGAATGCTGATACTCACAGCTTGTCAGACATTTTAAAATACACAGATGCTGCATCTAAAATGACTTGATCTTCTTAAATTGAAAGAAAGGTCAGAAAGTTCCGTTGTTTTGCTTTAATTTAACAAATTAAGGTATTTTATCACGATTTATATTTTCGAAACAACCAAGTCCGTCAGAAAATTAAACTTATTGTAGTATACAACGTAATGAAGTGGTGGAGGGTGAAAAGCTTCTGCGCTTAATCTAGTCTTATTTCAGTCGAGAGGTGGGATGAGTAAGAGGAAGGAGACTCTGCTCTATTTGCTCGCTTTTTACATAACGTAAAAATGGATAAAACGAAGGGGGAACGTTGTGAGTTGCCGCGGCGACCGCAACTCTACATTCGTACCCGATACATAGTCAGTATGGCTACATTGAGCGACAATGTGTGCGTGCGGGAGAGACAGAAAACGAGTCTGAACATATCGTCGGGCGCTGCGTAGCCACTGCAAATTAATTTGTTCCTTTTGGCTATAAAAATGATCCGATCTGATCCAGATTCAGCAATCTGATAGATACAGCAAAGCCGAGATGTCATCCGAGATGACAACAATAGTCAATTTACTAAATCTTCATTCATTACAATATATTCTTGATCAGCATCAATAGGTGTTGATATTGCTATGTGTGTCTGTCCGTCCCGATGAGAGGCTAGATCTCAAAGATAAAATTTTTTCAGGCTTATGAGGTATCACACTGTTTCAAGTGTACTACAAAATTTCGCCCCGTGTCCTTTCGCCCCCACAAAGGACGAAAACCTGTGGCATCTGGAATCTGCAAGATGCAAGAAACTGTAAACAGAAAATCATAGAAAATCTAGCCAAATCTAGTTGATTTCCGATCATATCGGATCATTATTATAGGCTTAAGGCACAATAAAATTGCAGGGGATCCGCAAAACATTTCACGCGCTTACTCATTTCTTCTTTCTCACACTTTCTTCCTCGTGCAGTATGCGATATCTGGCGGAGCGGAGCTAGACAGCAACTCACATACGGAGTAAGCATCGGGTATAAATATAGAGCCGTGGGGCTAGCCGTGTATAAAAATACAATACTATTAGTATACTTAATATAATTAAAAAAATGGTTTGTAAGCTCAATACTAGTAAATTTTGTCATAAATTTTGAATAGTCTTATGCTTCCAACCCGTTGCAACGCTCCAAATATCTTGACGTCTGGGTCGGGTGCTGCTCTTGCCCCCACAAAGATATTTTTTAAAAAGTCTACAAACCCGTTTTCTCCAATTTTTTAATACTTACGTTGTGACGCCATTCAATTCGAAAAACATTTGGATGAGCTATCACTAGACAATCAAAGTAAACATCTGAGCCCTCACGTAAAGTATTTGCATCTAAAGACGTTCCCAATCGAACATAGGCCTCCGGAACATCTGAAAAAAATTTAATAAAATTATAAATCATAAGTAGCACAACGTGTTGATAAGTTCAGATTGGCAGTCTGAATGTGCAAACCACTGTCGCGAAGCCATAGTAAGAATAGGGCCTCCCAAAAATATTGTAATTCAATTTAAAGATGTTCTTGCAGTTAAGAACACGGACTTTATACGTAATAGAAACTCAAAATGTTGGATTTAATAATTGTTGAGAAATGAGCCTCGTAGTTTTAGTTCGATGTTCATGTATATTACAACCGCCCTATTCATACGCTCATGATTGTATTGCACCGCTTAAGTAACTATTTTTATGCGCATAACTGTGCTGTTATTGCTTGTGTCCAAAACATAGCTGTAATGTTCTCACGTATAGCTTAAGCCCGCAGCTGCATACGCATACAACGATGTGTACCGTTTTGCATTGGACCGTCGCATTGCCTGATCTTTCAATTCCCTTTTGTCTCGACTTCTTTTGTGGAGTGGAAGTTAGTAAAAATCTCTAGATGAAACCAACCGCACGCATAGTTTATACCGCTGCATCATAGCCCCCCCCCCCCCCCCCTCCCCCACGTTGTAACATAACCGGCAATCTTAAACAATCAATATATGTAAATCAATAAGCTCAATATATTAAAAGATTATACAGTCCACTAATTCATAACCATAGCAAATTTGGTCCTTCGAGCCGGATTTCCGCGTTTGAGTTTCTTTTTTATACATATATATTGAGTGATATCGTTGGCCACTGTTCACCATGAAGGCTCTAGTGCATCGTATAATTCAGCAACGTGGTGCCTGCAAATCGCAACTAACTCGCGTGGCTACGGAGGCGCAAGAAATTGTAAAGTCATGTACTTCTGTGCAAGCATTAGAGCACAAATTGGGCCGACTGGTTGCAACTTTTAAACGCTTTATGGAGCTCTCTGAAGAGCTGGTCCAATATAATGATGAAGATGAATACGTGGATCCGGATTTGGATATTCCCGAATATGAGAAAAAGTTCTTTAGTGCGCATAGTATTTTCACCGAAGCCATACGTGACCGGAGCAGTCACGATTATGAGCACGACAACTCAAATCTACTGCTATCAAACACTGTGGAACGCTTATTTGAGGGACAAACTCAACTTCTGGAGAGGATTCGGGACTCATCGGGAACCACAGAGCTGCAGTTCGAAAAAATACGCATTCCGACGTATTCGGGAAGATACGAGGATTGGTGTCAGTTTAGTGACTTGTTCTTAGGCTCAGTCGACAAGAAGAGTACTCTGTCCAAGTTCTTTCGTTGCCAACCTCAAAGGGTTTAAACATCGCCGAGATGCGTAAAATAGTTATAGTATTTGTTAATGGGCTAACAAATATCCGCTCACACCCGAACAGTCATAAATGGTCTACTTTATATAATTTTGAAAGAATCTAAATGAATTTTAGATATCACGTTTATTTTCAATAAGTGAACGAATACAATAATGTGTTCTCTGTGATAGTCAAGTTGCCTTAAAGATAAGTAACTGTAATGAACCAAATTTGTACTTATTAGAAAAAATCCACCATAACATAGACAGTGCCTTTACAAGCAATTTCATTATGCACTGAATAGCAGGTCATAAAAACATTGCTATTAACGAAAAGACTGACCAACTATCCAAATCAGCCAATAGTGTGGGTAGGCTAGTTAAAATACCTCTAGTAATTAGATCCGTTAAGTCCAGATAGTCGAAGACTGGAAAAATGAGTATAAAGATAACTCCTCCTCAATTTCTAAAGGAGTCTTTTTGGCTTCAATTTATAATGAAATCCCTGTCAAACCATGATCAAACACTGTCAAACACTGATCAATTGACTGGAGCGCCAAAAAAATTTAAGAATTCAAATTCAAATTCAAAAATTAAAACATTCGATGTATTTTGTTATAAATAAATAATTTGTACACTTACATTGAATGTCAAGCTTCCATCCATCTTCTAGAGGCTCCGATGGGACAGCATGGTTGTAAGCTTTGCACGATAAAAACTTCCCCGCATCGGCTTTACTTAGGCTGATGGAAAGAGTACTTGTTGTCTGGTTACCATCACTTGACGTCTAAAAAAAATCATAAATAGTCAGTATAAACAATTGGCGTACGTTAACTAGGTATCTTGATCTAGGTATATTTGATTTGTATTTTAAAAGTAACAAATAAGCATTATTCCGTTAGAAATAAAAGTTAAGATAAAAGTCACTGATGGTTTTCTTTCGTAGTGATCAGACGCGTTTTTGTTTTGCACTCCGCATTTTTTTCTTTTGTTTTGAATAAGCAGCCGGTGTTTTCTTAAATTCTACAAAATGGAATTATATTCTATTCCCCGTACACTATGCCTTTGGAATTGTGTTAAAACATTATTTAACTTTTTATTTTTGTGCTGTTGCTTGTAAGTAAGCATTGCATTGCATTACAGTCCGCTCTTGTCTTGCAGCTTTTGATGTTTTATCACTCTCTCCCTATCACTTAAACTTAAACTTCCCCGCTATGGGGATAAAGACTATCTTTGCCTTAAGCCCCCACTGCCAGTATCTTCCTGAAGATGCTACTGCGCAGCTTCCCTTTAAGAAGGATGTGCGCCATCGAGGCTAGTGAACCTTCTCTTGGAATCTGTGCCGGCTTGATGGTTGTGTAACCAGGGAGATGAGATATTTTGAATATGTATGGAATTATTATATATTTCTATACTTTTTGAGTATCTTGCATAAAAAGTCGTGTTCATTCCAGATTCGCAAACTATTTTATTTTAAATGACATAAGTGCAAACACTTAATAAACATAAGAAAACTGATTGTATATTTAGCATTGTATAGAAATTAATTTTTACTTACAGTTTCCGTTGTTTTTTCAAGTCGTATTCCATTTTGCCACCAAGTAATTACTGCAGGCGGTCTGGATCCAGCACTTTGACATAAAAGATCATATCTTCGTCCAGCAGAGAGAGGCTGATGAGCCCCTAACAATCGGATGTTTAAGGGCGAAACTACAAAGATATATTAATATAATTTTAGTTTTGTTTATTAGGTTACCGTTAATCTGGTCTAATTAGATCGTGAGGTGGTTCAAAATGAGGCCTAGCTGAGGCCACCACACGGATCTGCGTATAGTGGCATCCCTTACGTACCGAAACAATCAGTCTTGGACAGCCAGCGGGTGTTCGCGAAGAAGCAACACTGACGATGCGCTTGTGGTGCCGGCTCATATATGGAGCTCACACACTCCCCTCCCTACAGGCTACCTACACACATCCCAGCCCCCCACACCCACCCCACACCGGCCCTGACGAAGTGTGTTACTTGAGCCGTCCCGAGAGTTAGCCTGTGGGGGAGCCCTTTATAAAAATGATCCCAGTCGCTAACGGAGGGCTCAGGGACTTTGTAGGGACTTCTCGTGGGAAGAAGATGTATAAAAAGCAAATAAATAACAAAATAAACAAAAAAACAAAATGCGGAACTCACCCAAACGCTAACTGGGAGCCATCCCAAGCATGGGAAAGCAGCAGCACAAAGGCCTGGCCAAACCAGTTCTAAAGCAGGTAATACCTGTACGGTGGAACCCGAAGGAGTCCCATCCCGAATCTGGAGTGGGTGGTAAGGAAACTCCCGAGGCTTGGAGCTTGGAGAGGCAGCGGCTACCCGACCTACTGGTAAAGCGGAGGGGATGACTTGCCGTCGACAGGCGCACAAGCCAAGTGCTACACCTAAGCCGAAAAAAGGAGGTCAGGGCACATACTCGGTCGGTAACATGCGAGCACGGAGGCCAGCCCATCAGCCGACTGGCTTAAAAAGGTGGAGTGGGCCCCTGCTGAGTTTCCAGAGTTTACCTCGGAGCAAAAGAAGGCTCCTCAAGCAAAATGGCAGCGGTCGCAGGAGACGCCTGTACCGGTTACAAAGTGCTCCAGAGTCATGCCCAACGTCTCCTTTGCGCTGATTGCCAAGGAGAAAACGCTGATCGGCGTCTTCGACAAAGGCAGCGTAGTGGGGAAAATACCTCATATGGATACCTCAATGAAAGTGGGTGGAAGGCCGATCGCTGCTTTGAGATCCTTGACTCCTTGAATCCTGAGATTCAAGACGGTGACATCATCGATGGGATCGTCCGCCCAGTAAAGGTATGTCAACAGAGGCACCCCGCAAGGTGGTGTTCTGTCTCCTCTTCTGTGGAACGTAGCAGTCAACAAGGTTCTATGTGACCTGGACGATGTTGCAATGATCTTCTCGGTAAAATACCCCCAAACACTGTGCGACTTAATATCCGCAAAGCTCGCGCAACTGTCGGAATGGACAGTATCGCGCGGCCTGGGAGTAAATCCGTCAAAAACGGAACTCGTTTTATGCACGAATAAATACAAGGACCGCCCTCAACCCACCAATATTATATGGATGCAGGCTCTCCTTTAGCGAAGGTGCCAGTTATTTAGGGTTGGTAATTGACAAGCAGCTTAACTGGAACCTGAATGTCAAAGAGAGAGTGAAGAAGGCAACGACTGCACTCTACACATGTAAAAAAGCTATCGGGCTAAGATGGGGTATGAATCCAAGCATAGTCCAATGGATATATCTAGCTATACTTAGACCAAGACTACTCTACGGAGTTACGGTGGGCCGGCCGGTCCTATCAAAAAGGGCGATCACCAAGCAACTGGGCAAAGTTCAGCGAACTCCCGCCCTATGCATCAGCGAAGCTCTTCGCACTACCCCAAATTATGCGCTAAATACCTTCCAATGCCTCCAGAGCGTTGACCTGGAAGGAAAGGAACGGGCAGAAGCGCAGCAATACGTCTAGAGACCCAAGTCAATAGGTGACCCAGTGCATAGGTCACTCAGCCATATTAAACAATAGCAATATCGTCCCTTCAAGAACGGAATATTAAACTTAATTCACTTAAAACGAAGTGGAGCCCCGATTCTATAAGGAAAAGTTAGGTTCGTACCGTATGAAATAAAATTCGACTTTTTCCATAGTGTACTTATCGCAATCGAAAAAATATATTTTGAAAAAACTTACAGTTCATATCAATTTGAACAACAGCTTCAACGATTGGTGCACGAGGATGGCTCACTGCTCTGCATGTAAGTCGAGAGTTAAGGTCTTTTCTTCCAAGCGATGTCAATGATATTACACATTCGATCATTTTTCCTCCTTCTGAATGAAAAACATCGCAAGGCATTTCCACACCATCTCGATACCAACTAATTGTAGGAACTGGGTAGCCTAAAATATTAAAATTTTGTTAGCAAGTGCTTTTTTTATATTTCTCGAGTCTGTGTAATTTTAATATTAAATGTTCAAAGGAATTAATACTAAGCTGATTTTAATTATCAACATATCTTATAACATCCTTGTTGTTTGAAATGAATTGCTTGTGGAATTTTATTTAGAAGCCATGTATAAATCGATGTGGGGCAATAGACCATGACAAAATCATGGGATGGGAATTTGGGTGATCCTGGTTGGGTTGGAAATGGCTGTTGCAAAAAAGTCAGCACAGCTGAGAGTTAGGTCTGATAGACATTGCGGATGCTAGTTTTCCTTTTCCTTGATAAATTTTTCCGTCACCTCGTTCTTTTTGGTCCAACGGTCAAGAGCAAAGATATCTTTGTGCGAACAAAATTAATAAGAGTCTGCATCGAAGCGAACACGTAACGGGCACACCTACTACTACTTCGCTGGAGCCAGCGAATGGACCCTTTCTATCGTAAGATCTACCAAAAGATCTACGGAATCCTAGGCGTTTGAACGTAAAACCCGATTCCCTATGTGGAGTTAGATGGGAGGCACGGACAACCAGTTATGGCTATATGCTGGCTAATAATATTTGTACTTTATGGGTTTTAAAACGCTTCCTTCTCAGTTTTTGAAACATCTAAAATATCAGGAATCCTATCAACACTTGTGACGAAAATGAGAATTTTTTGAGCCAATTAAGTTCAGCTTTTACCGTGGCAGCCAGTTGTTCTACAACATAGACTTCGCTAATTCCAAAGCAAAATCACATCTTGTCAATCAAATCTATGTCACTATTCATACAATTAGTTCACTAATTAGTAATTAATAATAAGTCAATGAAAGGTTTGACGATTTTCGAATGGTGTATCTATACATTTGTGTATGATTCAATTCAAACTTTGATTTTTAAATTTAGTCATTCTAGGTCAGTAGAATCGGCGTCGTTTGTCTCTTAAGATTAGTTCTTACCTCCAACTACTTGACATTTTAAGATCACAATGTCGCCTTCACTATATGGGCCTACCACTGTAGATCGCTCAACGTTGTCATTATCTCGAATAATTACTTGCTTAGGCGGAGCTAATAAAAAAAGAGTAGAAAATATTAAAATATGATTAATGACACTTTGAAAAGGGTATCGAACAGCTAATATCTATAAATATAATGGCTATCGCTGTAGGCAGGAGTAGAGGGAGGGGACTCGCACGGCCTGGTATGTTTGGTCAACGTTCGTGGGAGAGGCGTTGTAGCGAACGCTTTTAGGTTCGTTACAATATTATAAGCAGTGTTACAGCGGTATAGTAAATCCATACTATTGTTCGTCATTTGTATTGCCCATTGTAACAGGTAGTCTTGTTTTAATAATTTTGGATTAAATATACCGAGCCTGGTTAATTGCATACCTAGTTCCATATCTTCGATATATTCTGTGAAATGTTGTAGATTGAATATCAAAATTTATATTTGTTGATTCCTGTCTTTTTCTTCATTTAGTTTGTTTATGACGTTTATTCCGCTATTTACTGCATCTATTACTAAATTTATAATATTACTAAATATATAATTATAATTTATAATGCGCTCTTTTTGGTGCATAGATATTCCTTTATTAAATCCTTCCCTAAGGTGTTAGTCATTTCTTTATACGTAATCTTGATGATTAGCTTGTGAAAGTAACGAATTGTTTCTACCTTATCTTCATTGCCTTTTATTAACTCGATTTGCCCATTGTAATAGTTAATCGGTCTTTCCGTGATGGCAATGTGATTGAGATTGTCTTCCTGTGCGCTATGTACAGTTGCAAGTAGATTTGCATTAATCTTTACCCTTGATAAGGCATCCGCTACATGATTTTCTTTGCCTGGTAGATATTTTATTTTAAAGTCGAACTCATTCAGGTTTATTTTCTATCTTTGTAATTTCATATTTGGCTCCTTGAGGTTGTTCAACCAAATCAAGGGTTTATGATCGCTTTGTATCTCGAATGTTCTACCGAACAGGTATGAACGGAAATACTTGGTTGCCCATACGATCGCCAATTATTTCTTTTCGATGGCTGAATAGTTTATTTCGTGTTCGTTTAGGGTTCTGCTAGCGTAGCAGATCGGTTTGTGTTCTTGTGACAAAACCGCTCCCAATGCTATATTACTAGCGTCGGTTGTTGCCGTAAACATTTAGTCGAAGTCTGGGAATGCAAGGATAGGGTCTGAGGTGATGAGTACTTTTAGTCTCTCAAATGCGTCGGCGTTTGATCAAAGGCATCCGCTGCTGGCTATCGGTGTTGCATTACATGAGGGAGCTAGGAATGTGATACTCCTTGATTTTATGACTAGCTCTGATTGGTCCTCATGAGTGGCATGATTCTACGAATCGATTTCCCGAGAGTGGCGTGATTCTGGCTTTATGAATCAATGGGGTCCATTGTTTAAGAAATTTGGGGCCCTAGCTTGGAGTGTGGGAAGAATCAGTTATTGATTCTTCAGTGGTGTCCTGTTACTTGTGTGGCTGGAGTACTTGTGTGGATGGGGTGGATGAATTGGACATAAACATAATGAGTATGGGACGTGGAGAATTATGGATATGTCACTATATATATCCATTGTGAAATATAAATCACTTAGTGGTGACTATATTTGAATATTCAACATCATACAAAACATGTAATCATCAGATCAGAGATATATATGGTATTGCTGCAATACCATTGACCAAATATCGCATTTTTCATCTTTGACCTCAAGTCGGCACCTCTAAGTGTTATTGAATCGGGCTAAAACTTTAGATTTTACTGTTTTATACCAAATGTAATATTTTTAATTGATTTTCGCTCAAACGTAATATTATGTTTAATACAAAATACTACTTACTAAATATTTTAACAACAAGATTACTTACATATGACGTTTAGCCTTACACGGCTGTTTACTGTTTGTGCCTTCAAGAAATCTACCCGGCATCTAAATGTTCCTGAGTCGGATGGTTGGGTGTTTTGGATTGAAAGTTTTCCAGGCTCCTTGTCAAAAATAAAATAAGCTCTATCTCCAAAGACAGCATCATCAGACCATCTTTTTGGTGCTTTGGAAACACCTGCGCGTATGTCAATACTTAAAAATATTAAAGAGTTGAACTGTTAGAGATAAACATAATGCATTTTATATGTGGATAAATAAAAACAATGATTTCGTTCTAAAAATATTTACGTACAAGTAAAATTTGGTACAGTCGTCGTATGATTTACAGTCAAGGAATCACTTTATCGATAATAGATAATTCTTTAATACTTTAATGAAGGCAAGGCAAGTACAAAGTTGTTACTGCCACTCTGCGGATCTCTAAAAACCATCTTACGATACCCAACTCCCGATCTCGAGCCCGCACTCGTCACAACGAAACTCGTGAAGGAACTTCTGCTCCAACCTGCCTGAAACCGCAACGGTTGGAAGCAGTCCCCCATCCACAGTTAACTCAAGCTTTTTGACGGACATCGGACAGAGGGCAGTGACTACAGCACTAATGAAAGCTCACTTCCCAGGATGCACTGAGGTCACTGATACTAAAAAGGAACACCTCAGGGTAGAGTCGTGTCGCCCTTGCTGTGGAGTATGGTGGTCGATGCCCACATCAAGATATTTGACAGCAAGGACCCAAAAAAAAACATATTATGCAAATGACATAAGCGTACTTATTAAGGGTTTATGTCCATCTACCCTCATCTTCTTGACCAAGGTACCGATAAGGACCCACCGAAATCGACCAAACTAGGGTAATCCCAAAAACGCAAATCAAACAACCTCGGCACAGTACTGGACAGCAAGCTGGCATGGAAACCCAATGTAGTGGAAAGGGTGAAGACGGCCACTATTACGCTTTATGCATCCAAGAAGATGCTCAGCAGCACATGGGGCTTGTCACCAGCTCTATTGCACTGGATTGACATCTTGGAGCTGCGACGATCTCTAATTAATGGGGCCTTAGTATGGTGCCACGCTATCGAAAAGAAGACATACTATAAGCTTATAGACAAGATTCAGCGACAGGCTATGCTCTGTATTACAGGGGCGCTGAGGTCAAGCTCAACAAAAGCACTCGAACTGTACTTGAAAAAGACCCCCTGGACATTCACGTTCGTCTGATTGCGGGAAAGGCAGCACAGCGCCTAATCGCATCAGAAAACATGTCGCCACAATGATACGTGCATAGTTTAATCGGCAGGGACATGAAAAGATCTACTGAATTTTGGATGCCACAGATTTTCGACCTTTGTGGAGGCGGAGTGGGCGTGGCAAAGTTTTGAAATATTCTTGTAACAGTGACATATCACAGAAATCCGGATATAAAATGTCGTTGCTCTAGTTCTTATAGTCTTTGAGCACTAGGCTCTGATAGGGACGGACAGACAGACAGGGCTCAATCGACTCGGCTATTGATGGTGATCAAGAATATATACTTTATGGGGTCGAAAACGATTCCTTCTGGACGTTACACACATCCACTTTTACCACAAATCTAATTCACCCCAATAGTCATTTTGAGTATCGGGTATAAAACTGGGTATAGGCAGATACCGATGGCCCGCTGTAAAGGAACTTCGACAATATGTAGGCATGGCCTATTGGTACCGCAGATTTGTCCCCAACTTCGCAGCCGTAGTCCAACCTGGGAGAAGGGAAAGAGCGGGTCATCGCATACGGCAGACGAAAACTACTCCGCCATCGACAAGGAATGCCTGAACAGAGACTCCAACAGGTCCACGACGGTCCAGAAATCCCCGGACTATGAGAACGGGCACCATTACCGAAATCTAGGACACGGAGCTAACGACTATAGTATAACGACTATGTATAGTAGAACAAGGGTACTCCGCGAGTGGAAGACGGCGTCCGGAAGACCATCCTGAGGACAGCGTACGCTGCCAGAACTACAAGGCTACACAACACAAGCCCGGGGGCAGGATGCTTATACGCAAGGCCGAAGAACCGTTCGCAACAATATGTGCCGATTTCGTAGATTTTGTCGCCTTGCAATACGGTTATTGGTACTCTTACTATCCCCTTCGACGGCCCCCAAATCAAGAGCTTTCCGTCACCAAATTGCGATTAGCAACGACCTGAAGGAATTCCACGAAAACGAGCTAGCCGAACCCACCGACCCGGCACAGAATGCTGACACCACGAAGGCACGGCCAACAATGACCCAGATACGAAAGGAACAACGTAACACCAACATGAGCCCCGACCACACGCCCCCCGAACTTCGTTGACGAGGCAAAGAACGCGGAGCGGCGCCACAATAATAAGACGAGGGCGACGCCGGCGAAGCACGAGTCCGGTGGCGCAAAATCCCCGAGACCATACGGAAGGCACCGCCCACGATCACGAATTGAACAAATCCGTTGACAAGGCGAGACACAAGTGACGGCAGTCTGCAGAAGAAACACGATACCTAAATAAAGAGACCGCAACGCGGAGAAGGACGCAAAATAAGAACACGAAACGGGCGACGCACCGCCGAAAAGAAGTCCCGCCCTCAATCCAAAGCTAGAAAAGATTTAGTGGAAGCTCCAAAACACACCCATGATGCGTCACAGAAAGAAGAAAGGGAGGAAGAAAAGCTTACTTCGTAAGTATGGACCCCGATAGACAATATAAATAGCCCAAGCCCCAGCCCTTATCGATCAGTACGCTTCCACCAAAGGAACGAAAGCTAGAACCCAGACAACTCGGCGTAACCATCACACAAAGATAACCTCCGCCTGGACAAAGGAACGCAACGGTCACATTGACCAACTATACCAACGCTAACTACATCCTGATCGTCGATGGAGATGTCCTCATCTGGGACAACCCCGGATATCTGAGCCACACTACGAACATAAAGTCCTACGAAAAATTCGTCGACAAAATCGAAGACGCCACCGTAACTCAAGGTAAGCCGAATGGCCCACGTCCCTTCGCCATCATAAGCCTAGTGGAACTCTTCGTGGTGTCGAACGTCAGTGGGTCTCAAAACTCTACGACCTACTACGCTTATTGATAAGATTCCGTCAACCCAAGCTCGACTACAAGAAGCTGCTGATATATACAACATGCCAGCAGGACTTCAGTGACGGAGATGTAGAAGCGGAATGCGGAACTCGGGCCCTCAACATCTGGAATTTCGAATCCAGCGTTAGCGCAACATTCTGCGAAGAACAACGAACGACCATCTGCGCGCAACAGCCCGGATACCTGAACCCGATAACCATAGTCGATAACGGCACACTCATCACCAACGACGCCAACATAATCATCGTCGATGGCACAGCGGCCACCCAGAACGTCGGGGGAAAGTACTTCGTCACACATTCCAATCAGGTCTCGCTCAATGGGACCACTTGGGCGACTCCAAGAGGATGGCACAGGTGCCTGTCATAACACAAGTCAACGTAATGGACCACAGGGAGAAACTAAGTGAACCACTCCTGCGATAACTGAGCCTGGAGAACCCCTCCTCGTGACAAGAGAAAAAGAAAAGGAGAGAGGAAAACGAACAAAAGAAAGTAAAAAACAAAAACATAATCTGCACGACCGTGCATTTTTCACTTTAATAAGCAGGGCCGAACCCGTTCGAGAATAGACAGAGGATCCGATTACGCTCCGAGAAACCGCTGATGGAGACCCGGCGAGCAAGACCGCTGTGCGACGCCATCGCACCAGAAGCATCCTTCCGCAATCTCAGCAAAAAATCCCGATAAATAGCGCCACTTAAGACGACTGAGATCATTACAGACGCCCCCGATACCGAGAGCTCGAGTTCACAATGGATTCAGAGACTTCACCCGAACCCAGAAGGTTTGAAGATTCGCGGGACAGCCCCTCGCCTTTCTCTCCCCTATGACCGCGAGACAGACCGCCGTTGCCCGCACGTCACCAATCGTGGGAGAACCCACCACCGTTCTATCGCGGCCCAGCCAAGTTCTGGCGAGAGAACCTGTGGTCGCCAGCGCCACGGACTTCGCCAAAGCCCACAACCCCATGGTACTCTTCGACCTCCTAGGGTACGCAGAGTACCCAGACGAGGTCACGAAATCCGATGAATACTCATAGACTCGCCTCCCGAGGCGACCGGAAAGAGTCCCCTCACCAACGAACATGCTGGATATTAGATTGGATAATAGCCCGACTGAATGGCAAACCAACACTGCTGGCCGGATCATACCGAACACCGCCCAAAATATGTCTTATTATTAATTTTATGTATATCACTTATAGCCAAGAATGTATCCTATTATTATTGCATACATATATTACTCAAAGAGCATCTGGTCTGATGGGCTGGTGAGGTGGCTCAAAGGCGGCCTAGCTAAGGCCACCGGACGGGTGGCAGGTTGTGATAGCGAACGACCTACCTACGCAGATAAGTCAGCTCCGAATAAGAGGGAAGAGAATAATCCCTAAACAGAGGGTGTTCGTGAAGTAGAAATACTGACGAAGCGCTTGGGGTCCCGCCTCTTATAAGTAGCTCACACACTCCTCTATCCCTACACATTACCTACCCACTTGGCAACCCCCACACTCACCTCACACTGGGACGGACTAAGTGTGTTATTCGACCCGCGCCGAGAGTCAGTCTGGCTGGGGGCCCGATATTAAAACTAGCCCAGTCGCCGTCACTACCTATTTCCTGAAACTGATCAGTACTGCATGCGTTTTGTGCTCGGCCAGTTCGAGCCCTGCCAAGTTTAGCCAACCATCTTTTTGATAGCGTCATTTATGGTGCTTTTGGTCTCTGTGAGGTCACGACCGTGACCAACAACTTTCATTCACTGTCCAGGAGGCAGATGGGCCTGTATGCCCATGGATCTTCCATGTCTTCCGTGGTTTTGGGATAAGCGCCAGCTTTTTCTGTTTCCATCTCCCAGGAAAACAGCTGTATGTGAGTATGCCTGCCATAAGATTTCTGGGTTCGACCTGGTGGCCAGTTAAAGAGCCCGATCGGGAATGTCGTTAGGTCCTGGTGCTTTGCTGTATGGCACTTTTTGGGCTATTTTTTCTACCTCTTGTGGAGTCACTGATGGTACTCGATGACCTGTGTCGGCGGTTCTATCTACCTGTATATCTTGGTCTGGGAATAGGTGCCTGACTATCGCCTGTAGTTTTGAGCTTCCTGTTGGCGCCGAGTGTTTAAATGTTCGTTTCTTTCTTGTCAAATCTTTGTAGGCCTTACCCTAGAAGTCGTTTTCTGCTTCTTCAGAGTTCATAGTTGTGAGCCTTCCCCTTTTGTCCCCAAGGACCTGGATCTACGGTGTGCCCTTCTAGCACTAGCAATTTGCAACAGTTTTTAGGCCTCAGCGGATACTTCAGGAAATTTATTGCTGGATATGCCATTATTTCGGAGCCCTTGCGTAGCCTATAGCGCAAAGACCAGAAATTTAGGTGGGAACTGCCCCAGCAGGATGCTTTTGCAGAGTTAAAAAGATGCTTGATAAGGAATCCTGTTGTCGTCAGCTACCGCCTAGATGCTGATCATGAACTACATACGGATGCCAATGCCGTTGGTTTAGCCGGGGTGTTGCTTTAAAAGGAGGCGGATGAAATGAAGCCAATTGCTTACTTAGTATAGCCGAGCAACTACTAAACCAGAGAAAAACTACCACAGTTACGAGCTAGAAGCTCTTGTCGTCGTCGAGTCGTTGGAGCGATTCAAATACTACATCTATGGTAAGAGAATCAAAGTTGTTACCGATTGTAATGCCCTGAAAACATCAATGTAGAAGCGATATCTGATACCCCGAATTGCAAGATGGTGGTTGCGTATTCAAGAATTTGCGATAGACATTATTCATCGAGCTGGAACACAGATGAGTCACGTTGACGCGCTAAGTCTAGCTCCATTTGAGGATGGACATGAGATGGAAACAGCATGCATAAAAATTTCAAAGACCACCATCGACGAGGCTGATTGGTTATTCACTATACAATTACAAGATGCGTAAATCCAGAAAATTGAAGCTGATATGAAAATCGATAAGAGATCTGAGAACGACGAGTATGTGATTGAGCAAGATCGCCTTTTTCGCAAATATGACATCAAGCTGTTATGGGTTGTGCCGAAGCAGTTAAGATTCTATATTCTACACGAATGTCACGACAAGTCAGGGCTCATGAGCACAGATAAAACAATTATTCGGATTCTAAAGTTGTTTTGATTTCCCCGAATGCGCAACTTTGTTAAGAGCTACATAAAGTCATGTGTGGGCTGTGCGCTATATAAGATACCAGGAGGACGTCAGGAATGCCAGTACCCTTATAATGACATCAAGCCGATGCCTTTTTCGACCGTACACATGGACCACCTGGGACCTTTTCCAAGGAGTTCAAAACGGAATGATCATATTCTTGTTATTGTCGACGCATTTACTAAATTCACCATAGTGCGAGCGGTAACAAGTACAGCAACTAAACACGTCATTGATACGCTGCAGGACGTAACCAGCCATTTGGGAATGCCAAACCGAATCATCACCGATCGTGGTAACGCTCTTACGTCGAAGGATTTTGAAAACTATTGTAAATCGATTAATATAAAGCATGTACTCAATGCAGTAAGGACACCAAGAGCTAACGGTCATGCAGAAAGAACGAACCGGATTATTTTATCAATGCTTCTACATTCAAAGGAAAATGAAAAACGATGGAACGACCAAATACGATCAATCCAGTAGAGCATCAACACCATGGTAAATATCACTACTAAATGCTCTCCATTTCAGTTATTGTATGGCTACGAGCCACGTGATATCCTTAAAAACACCTTGACGAGCGTGATCCAAGATCAGGATCCGAAAATGATGACAGATGCCGAGTTAGAGAAGCTACGAGCAGATGCCACCCGATGAGCCAGATGAAGATGGCGATATGGAAGGCGACTAATTCCAAGGATCTCGCGAGGACGCTGCGAATTGTCAGGAAAGGCCGACTGTGACGGGCTGTAACCCTACGGTGCTGTTATACGCACGGCAAGTCCATCAACCTCGATATCTAATTCGATGTCAGCATAGAGATCATCATCGATAGATTGTCACGCCGGAAAAACAACCCGAAAAGAATTAACAATTAAGAATTTGTCACCTATACATATTCCTGCTCTTTATTGGTATATAAAAACTACAATAATACTCGAAAAGCCATCCCTTCACAATATGCAATAATTAAATTCTGCCAATATGGATTGATAAAACATCATGCGCGTACGAATTACGTCGAATTGTTACAGTTAACTCAATGTTATTGTTTTTGAATCCCTGGACAAATGCACCATGCACGCGGGATGACTACGACGATTTGTACCTTAAAAATACATTTTTTTCGAGAGACAACTCGAGAAGAAAACGAGGGAGAACGTTGCTACGGAGACCGCAACTCTACATTTATACCCGATACTTAGTCAGTATAGCTACATTTAACGACAAAGAGTGCTTGCGATAATTTGGCTGTAATAATAATCCGATCTGATTCGGATTCGGCAAGATTCGGCAATCTAGTAGATATGGCCATTCTCTATGATTGTGCGTTTTTAATTTTCGCCTACTTCAAAATTGTGGTTGCCACAGATTTTCGTCTTTTGTGTAGGCGGAAGGCGGTGGGGCGAAATTTTGAAACACACTACAGTGAGCAAAAAGAAATACATTTTTAACAGTGAGTTCTGCAGTGAATTTACAATTACAGTGAATGCCACACATTCTCGTCCTTTGTGGGAGCGGAAGTGGGCGGGGCGAAGTTTTGAAATATTTTTGTAGCAGTGACATATCACAGAAGTCTGGATCCAAAACATCGTTGCTCTAGCTCCCATAGTCTAGGCGCTAGTCTAAGTACTAGGCCCTAATAGGGACGGACAGGCGGACGGACGGACAGACAGACAGGGCTCAATCGACTCGGCTATTGATGCTGATCAAGAATATATCTACTTTATGGGTTCGGAAACGATTCCTTCTGGACGTTACACACAACAACTTTTACCACAAATCTAATATACCGGAATACTCATTTTGAGTATCGGGTATAAAAAGACCATTTGGAAAATTTCATGAAGATTACTTCAAAACTGACTAGAGCGACTATAAATATGGTATTTATGCTATAGGTGATATATACAATTTATTTACCTGTAAATGGGTGTTCCCTTATCATCTCTGTACCATAAAACCAACACAGGCTCATCTCCGTCATAAGTAGTTATATTGCATGGAAGGAATATATTTTCTCCAACCAAAGATTCGATTTGGTGAACTGGTACTAGAAGTATACGAGGTGGTAATTGTATAGAATTCAAATGTGTTGGAAATCTGATTTTGTTATTATTGTTTACTAGCTGTTACAAGATTTTTAAATGAATAAAACCTTTTTTTGTTTTAGTTTATGTACAAGTATATTTTTTTGTTATATAATATTGCATAGTATAGTGGCCGAACAATATACAAAGGTTCGAGAAATGTTCTAAACAAAGGGCTGTATCACTCTTTACTCGAATCTTGTAGTTAATTTCGTCAATTTGTCATTATCGGCATATTCACCATAATACGCCAAACAGTTAAGCGGTGCCTTTATTATATTCATTCACGTGTAACTATCTGGATTTCAAAACGGACGAGGACTAAAGTTTTTGTGGCTCTAATGGAGGACGATGCACGAAGCAGGCCCTAGAGTCGTCATATTTGAATAAGATGCGGGGATAACTAAATTTTCATGCAGTTTTCACAAAAATAAATCCGAAATGCTAAAAAAGGATAAAAACCTGAAAAAAAAAAGTTTTCCTTTGGACCATTTTAAGAGGTATTCACCTCATTTGCATTTACTTGTAACAGTATATATATAACAATTTAATTACTATTTTGTTATTTTCAGTTCGTAACATTTTTAGTAAAAACTCGGCGTTTTCGTGATTTTTGATATTTTTGCGTTCCGTTTAAATGTTATTATTCGGTTGTTATGTATGTGCAGAGTTTGGAAATAATTCTCAAGCCTTTAAATGTCAAAAAAAAACGAGTGGGAACGTTGTGAGCAACTCTCCTCCACCAGACGGCGCTAATATTAAGCGACACGTCGTGTTGTCAGAGCGTGTCGTCGGGCGTTGCGTAGCCACTATAAATTGATTTGTTCCTTTTGGCTATAATAATGATCCGATCTGATCCAGATTCGACAGTCTTGTAGATATGGTCATTCTCTATGATTGTGTGTTCCTAATTTTCTCGTATCCTGAAAATTGTGGATGCCTCAGACTTTGATTCTTTGTGGGGGCGGAAGGCTGTGAGGCCATATTTTTAAATAAACTTATAACAGTGAGAACTAACACAAGTTTAACTTTAAAATTTTGGATGCTACAGATTTTCGTCCTTTGTGGAGGCAGAAGAGGGCGGGGCATGAGACGGGGCATCTTTCAAGATGCGATGCAATTATTGCCCCGTCAAGTGGCCCTTCTGAAACCAGCAGAAGGCTGTTACGCGAGCATGCAGGAAAGATATCTGCTAGACTAATATTCGATGAAAATTAGCACTAAACTTACTAAGTGAACTAGGCATGCATTCAAAATACAAATACCACTACAATTACTAATTACTAGAAAGGTGTGTGAGGATTAGTAATTTAATAAGAGGAAGAGAATTAGTGGTGGACATAATATGGTAGAGGGAACTATAATCCGAGCATAAGACCCTAAACGGTTCATACAAGGAATAATTCGATCTACAAAGTGGAAGAAGGAAGTGGAGTGGAAGTCTAATAGGAATCATGAAGTTCTTGCGGCACAGCAGATCAGGGCTGTCTATGTCACTCCTGAACCCTCCCGAAGAATCCTTGACTGGTGAAGAGAATGAGTTTTTTAAGAGGACTCTTTGAGACCTGGAACAAAAGTAGCTAGAAATCCACCTCAGGAGGTTATACGGAAACCCTAAAAGTCAAGCTTATGTGCTAGAAGGGAATGGTTGACAGATTCAAATGCTTTACTAAGGTCGGTATAAATAACAACCATCTGTAAGTTAACTTGAAAAAATTTAATAATGAAAGAGGTAAACTCGCCGAGTTTGATCGCCGCTTTATAAATCCATGCTGAGTTGGAGATATAATTGACTTGCAGATATGTTGTAAGTGCGGAGTTAAAAACTTCTTAAACATATTGCGAATAGCTAATAACTTTGCTAGCCCCGGTGAATATACCGGGTTATCTAGTCGAAGATCATGAAGTAAAGAACATTAATTTAACAAGGGACTGAAAATGCCGTTGACCTCGGTAAACCGTATGGGTACGGATGACCAGAGTAGCTTTCCTCAGAATAGGGGGTTTGGAAAAATTGGTCAAAAAGATCGGCAATGGCCTGATCATTGTTTGCCGACGTATTACAAAATTATAGCGAGTATGCGGACGTTATACGCTTACTGTTTACGAAGCAGTAAAACTGTTTAGGGTCCTGAGAAAAAAGTATCCTGCATCGAGATAGCATTGTGCATTAAGAACTGAAAAGATTGACCGAGCTATTACATAGCGAGATTGAGAAGTTGGAGAACATACTTCTTGAAGGACCTATTCTGACCTTGTTGTTTCGTAAATATACAGCATAATACAAAATTCCATAATTTTTTCAACAGCTTGTTTTGAAATTAAAATGACTTCAGAAAGTGCGCGATTCAAGATCACGACATCTTAGATGACACATGTGTGGTTTTAAAATGTCTGAGCATGTTTATTGAAATTTAAATTGTCGTCTTTTAAATTTTAACAGCTGTCTTTACCCAGATGTTCTGTTACGAGCAAGTTACGAGCACAATCCGATCTTTTACGCTCAACTTTGTGCTAATGCGATAACCGAATCGAGCTGCGTAGCTGTTAGCACGAAAACGAAAAGTGCCGTTGCCCTAAAAAATTATTTCAGAGCCAAAATTAGAGTTGGGCTAAAAAATAAATATTTATATATAAGCTTGAGAATCATAATTTGGCTGGTTTAAAACATCTGTACGTGTTGGTGAACAACGCTTATAGTTCTTTGACATTGAACTTTGCTAACTTTGCTGCGAAGAATGAGATAGCATGAGAGACAAAACGCAAAATTAATTTTCGTATCCGTCTCCAGACGCGTCTGCCGCTTATCAGTCGAATAACGGAGGCGCTTTTTGTGACCAAATCTGGAATGGACTTGAATCTGATGGAATATGTATATTAATCTCGATCAGCGGTGGCTTTTTATTTCAGAGCAGTCGAATAGTAGTTATAGTGTCAATCTATGAATATATGTATGTATGTATGTATGTACACATGTATGTAATCTTATGATTTATGTAACTTATTCAATATATTCCTGCAGTCCGTCTATACTCTTTCCACACATTCCGTTATATACATGCATACATACATGTATTTACATGAAACAAAAATTGTACGATACCCTTTTGGAATGTTTAAAATAAGCAGTCTCACATTTTAGCACCATTTAATCTATATGTATATGTATTTATATTCTACAATATAGATTTTTATCTCAGACTTACCATCTTTGCTTCCAATGTTGTATCTTATTTGTTGAAATGTTAATATTAACAGTAGTAATAGATCCATTTTGTATACCATTCTGGGTACTTTGGATTAAACATTTATATTTGTAGCTTTAGGTCTTTTGTTGTTTATTAATCCTACACTAGAACTTTAAATAAATTCCATTTACATGATTTATTCCACTGTTATCAACATCATTTTTTTTTACAGATAAGGACACTTATATACACGTAAAGAAACATACATATGGATATACACATGTACATTTATATTTATACGTGAACAACTAGTTTAGATGCACGGAATGTATGTATGTACATAAGTAAATGCTTATGTAGATAAACTACAGTTAAAATATTTATTTTACTTAATACATGTATGTATGTACATACATACATAAATAAGTGCATATCGTTTCACACTGAAAATTATTACCTCTTGAGCTATTTGGTTATTTTGAGTTTTGTATGCATTCTTTTTGAAATTGTTCCCAATTTTAATGTCTGGAAAACATTTCGCCTTTTTTAATATAAACATTTACATAAAAGTGTATATAGCACGAGAATAGTTCAAATAAATAAAATACATATAATTATATTATTTTAACTGACACTAAAGCTGAAACTATATTCCAATGTCAGAAAGTTATTTTAGTTCTTTTCAAACCGCGAAGGGAAACTAAACATGTAAATTCTCAATAGCATTACACCTGCAAGCGAGGACCAAAAAGCTTGCAAGTTGGCGCACGCGCCAAAGTTGAGCTTTTGATGTAAGCGTTGCAACATGACCCTTGTACTATGTACATATATACATCGGTATATGTACATACATATGTATGCTTATGATATGTTCACTGAAAATATTGTTTGAATAGAAATAGTAGTCATCATAGGATATCGAGATATCAAGATACACATATGTATGTATATATGCATATACATACATATGTACATACATTTTCTTGATCGGCGTCAATAAACGAGTCGATATACATACATATGTACATACATACATACACATAGCCATCTTATCCACCTTTTTGTCAATCTGTTCGTCTGTATAAACTTCTCTATAAGAGCTAGAGCAAACTAATTTGGTGTGCAGACTTTTCTGATATCACACTGTTACAAGAGTATTTAAAAAAAATATGTGTATAATAATTTGGATAAATTACATCAAACATAAGATAACATACATGAATATATACATAAATTGCTTTCGGTTGGGCCAAATAAAATAGAAGTAACGAATTTATTTAGTCAATGTGAAAGTTATTGTTCCTTGATCGGAAGTTTTAGAGAATCTATGTACATATGCATACATATGTACCTACAAAAAAGTAAATCTTGATATTAACCCAAGGGCAGACGATTAAACAATCTGCTGCCGCGGCTTATGCGCGGGCGGTATATTGCGCAGCAGCCCCGAGTTTCTGGGCTAGCGGAACGTTACCCGCAGCCGCACCCGCTCTTGCCACTTGCTCTTCGAATTAACTACTAAGTCTTATTGGCTTTGCACACTGAGCACATCCCTGGGGTCGGGTGGTATTTTTTTTAAAGATGTGAAACCCCGATTTACTCTAGCACCGACCACCATCTACCAACCGACAAAAAGCAGCTTATGAGCATAAAATTTGGTCTGAATTGTGAAATTCTCACAATTTTAGATTAGTAAATTGCTTATATTATTGAAATATAAATATATAAAATAGGCGTTACTCTTTGGACTACCTTAAAAATTGTAGCAGCTCTGATTGGAAGTTGGTTTTGCCTTGGCTGCTCGAAATTTGCTGGAGTATCCCTCGCTTTGTTTCCATTTGCTCATCCTGTAATTTTTGCTGCTCCTTCTGGACTTCAAGCATTTTCCGAGAAATTTCTTCCAGATTTTCCAGGGTAATCCGCTTTGGTGCGGTGCCATGTTTGCAGAAATAATACTAGAGCCGTAGTTGGATCTCTACCGGTCGTCACAAACGGAATTATTTGGGGCCCCCGCCAATCCACAGTACTATCATGCCAAAAGTTTATTGCGAGATATTCTATATATGCAGTCCATTTCGACTTTTGTGTATTTTTATTTATTTAATACTAATAATAAATGTATATAGGTTTACTTATTACAACCAATTTCAGGTCTCTCTTTCTTTATTGTGTCTGTTTTATTTTTTCTTGTTTATTCAGTCGACGATTTAAAATTCGAATTAAGATTTGAAATATGTCTAGGCGCGAACAATTTTTTATTGCCATTCATTGCTTTTTATGGTTGCATTTGAAAACCATTGGCTGACTATTGCATAGAAACGTGCGGTTTAGGAACATCGAAAATGGATGGTGGACTAACTGGGAAATTTTTGGAAGGGCAAAACATTACGGACCATCGCCGAAATGGATGGTCGATGTTCGTCGATGTGAAGTCTCTGAGCACTATGTGCTCATAGGGACGGATGGACAGACAGTGTTCTATCAACTCGGCTATTGATGCTGATCAAAAATATATGTATATACTTTATGGGGTCGGAAACGCTTCCTTCTGGACGTTACACACATCTTCTTTCACCAAAAATCAAATACTCATTTTGAGCAGCGGTTATAAAAATAGGCAGAGTGGCAAACTCTCGTTTTAAAAAATAAACAAACAAGCAGAACGGTAATCTTTCGTCGAAAAGAAGTATTTGTTCAAGTATTTGTTGAAACGTGAGATAACGAAATAAAATAATACTAGTTTGTGGTAGAGATATCTATAGTTCAAATTAAAGTAAATTTTAAAAGAAAAATAAATGATATGTTTCTTTGTGAATTACGAATTCTGTTCCTCAGTAAACAATTGGTACAATTAAGAACCAGACTTTAAAAATATTACTAATGGGCTATAGCTCATAAAATTCCATTAGTAACCTCAAGTCCTTTAAACGGTCCGATAGTTGCCTGAAGTAGCTAAAGCAAAGGCTACGGGATAAGAGCGGGCTTAACTCAGCATGAGCGTACTTAAAGCAACACAATCACACGATTAACCAACGCACAGAATTAACATCAAAAATTAAGTTTTTATGAAAACAATAGGCATGCACTCGCGTTAAAGAACTGATTTTTTTCTGTTGGTTAAGTGGGGATTTTATCATGGTTTATTTTGAAAAACACTGTATTTGTATAATAATAAATGGAAAAGAAGCAGAGCGCAAAACAAAAACACGTCTGGTCACTACGAAAGAGAACGAGGTTTCTTCCCCTTTTTACCCCATGGTATTACTCCATGATTGACATGGAGGGTTGCTTCTTGGTTGGTTGGTTTCTTGTCATCATACGCAAATTTAGCCTAGCTCGCGGAAGTTCATTGCATTTGTTGACAAATGGCAGTACGGCATCGGCTGATCCCATTACTTTACTCGTTATTATTATACCTTGAGAAAGAAGTGAGCTGTGATCGTAATTTTCAAAAATCTTGTATGCGGCGCGCGACGCTTTTCGCCAAGCCACATCATTTTGCTCAGAGTTGACAAACTCAAGAAAGAATTCTATCGTATTTAGCTGCTCATTGCAGTTAACGTTTTTGTCAATTTTTTTTGCCTGAAGTCCAGAAAAAGCAGCAGAAATTACAGGATAAGTAAATGGAAACAAAGCGAGGGATACTCCAGCAAATTTCGAGCAGCCAAGGCCAAACTAACTTCCAAACAGAGCTGCTGTAATTTTTAAGGTAGTCCAAAGAGTAACGAATTTGAATTTTTATTATTATAAGCAATTTAATAATCTAAAATTGTGAAAATTTCACAATACAGACCAAATTTTATGCTTATCAGCTGCTTTTTGACGGATGGTAGATGTTCATATGTATGACAACTCCACCGGTCCCCCGGGATGGGTTCAGTGTGCAGAGCCAATTAAAATTGTGGATGTTTCCCAATTCAAGCAAAAACTTTGTAATTTTATGATCATCAGCTGCTTTTTGAGGAAGATATGTAGATGGTAAATAGTACCAGTGTGAATCGGGATTTTAAATCTGTAACAAAATCAATATATTTTGCGCTTTTTCCACTGTTCCAAATGGATGGAAAAACTTCACTTAGTTATGTCTTTAAGTTAAATGATTATCGATATAGCATATCGACTAACTACAGAAACAGCTCAACAAACATCTCTAACCATTATAGATACTTTTAACTTTTTTTTTAAATATTCAACTATTTAAGAACAATGGTAAATGATTGCTGTTTATCATCTGTTGATGATGTAGAGAAGAAACTTATCCTAGCTAAGCAGTCCCTTATTGTATTAAATGATAATATTCGTCGATTTGTTGGTCGAGTACCAAAGGAGTTGAGGTATATGTATATATGGCTATTATATTGTTGATTTGTGTATAAAACAAATATTTGTCTCTTTTTATATACTTTTAGAATTGAGAAATACAAACATGCCGATGAAGCCAAAAAGAGTGATCATAACGAAAGATCATTTAAAGATAAGCGTCGTATGTTTGATTCGAATTATGCAGATGGTCGTTTCTCTGTAGACGAGAGCGAAACTCGGTCGCCAAGGATTAACTCTCGTGTAATTCGGGAATTACCATCTAGAAAAGAAGTTGTTGAAGCTCAAGGAACAGATTCCGAGTCAATAGCTCGAAATCGTCGCATGTTTGGATCTCTTATTGGAACATTACAAAAATTCTGCCAAGAGGAGTCGCGTCTAAAGATCAAAGAAGATAAAAAAGCTGAAATAGAAAAGAAACTGGAGAGGCAAGAACTTCAGGAAAGGGCCATGCTAAGAAAAGAACGAGAAACTTTGTTTTTAAATAAAAAACGAAAGCAATTTGAAATTAGAGCATTGGAATATAAAATGGCTAGACTAAAGGATTTTAAATCATGGGAATCATCCATCACTTATCAAAAACATCAAATTAGAACAAAAACTAAACCGCACTTATTTTTTCGCCCACAAACGCACACCGCGCGTACTGAAAAACTCTTACTTGAATGTAAAAATTATGTAGAGTGTTTTATTCAAAGCAGACGTGAAGAACTACACGCAGAGCTACGGGACTTGGAACGTATAAATTACATAAAAATGCAGGAAGATAACGAAATTGACGAAAGCATCTATGAAGAACAATATGATGAGATGGGAAGTGAATTTACATAATTAGAAAATGTAAGTTCAATAAAAATTAACATTGATCAGCCTCATTTTGAACAAAATTGTTTTTTTCTTGTAGCTCTCAGTTCTTCAAATAACCATTATTGTGGAATTTAGTAAATCGTCTGAACATGTAGATATGTTAGTAACGGTTCGGAGTTGGGATTTACCCATTTTTCCATTTAAGACCTCAAATATGTCCGACTAATATGTGGTTAAAATAGGGCTCTATCAGCTTAACAAACTATGTTATTTCTAACCAATCTATTGATTCAATTGAGGATACATTTAGACAAAGACATTATTTTTAATTCAATAATTACCAGGAGGAATTTGGTTGGTGTCAATAAAATAGAATCTTTTATTATTTGTTTTGATCCCCAAAACAAAAGTTTTTCTCGGAACAGATCGTATTTTAACTGATTGTTCCTGAGGTTGATTTATGATATGTAATGTCGACATAATTTACTCAAACCCAAAAAATGATTTTTTAATATAACAGAAATATGTTGTAATTAAACTCAGAAAATAGTTGAATTGAAACAGACTGTCGTATAGCTATCAGATCAGATCAGATGATGCTTGCTTAAAAGAGCTCAGATCTAAATATTGAAAGATTCTTTAGTTTATCTCCACTTTCAGCTCTTCTTTCGGTTAAAGTGTTCGGGATGCCATAAAGCTCGGCTGATTTCAGTATTTACAGGCAGGCTCCGGTTTTCACTTTCCCAAACATTTTCCGACTTACTTCTTACAACACATACATTGGTTCTCCCGTTTTCACAAAGCGGAAGATTTCTCTTTTTTCAAAAAGGAAACTTTTTTTTCCCCCAAAATGAAAAGTAGGCGGCTTTTTATAAAACAAAACTAATCTTAGTTGAAAAAAAAAACATGATTTATTGATGCATTAACATTAATTTGACACCATAACCAGGGCTATTTAGCATGTGCCTTCTTTATAAATAGTTTTTTTGTCCCAATGTCAAATTTGGCTCTGAAATAATTGATCAGGGCAACAAACTTCGTTTTCGTGCTATCTGCTGACGCTCTCCGATTTGGTTAGAAATAAAATATTGCGCAGAACAGCGAAAATGTTCGTAACATGCGCTTATCAGAATTCAGCATTTGAAATCAAAATGTAGATGCAACATGGCATGCCCAGATATTGTAGCCTTCTTCTGTTGAGAGCCGGGCAGGCGCCGAACAGGTGTTCCACCGTCTTTTCCTCTCTTCGTCTCTGTGTGATCGCCTACTGGTCAATGTCCTATAAGGGAACGTGTGACCACGCTGAACCCCTTCCTGCCTAGTTTGCAATGCTCAGAGGTGCGCTTCCTGGCTACGGTCGGCCATACTGGCCGATTTTTACGACAATGGTTGGGGAGCTTTTTCTTAACGTCTAGAGCTTTGCGTAGTAAACGGCTGGCTAATTTTAACCGCTCCTTTGAGGCAGGTGATCTATGGGCTTGCCATTCTCGCCGAAGCCTACTCTTATCGCGAAGCAACTCTTCAATATGTCTGTGAATATGACTGGAGTGGAATGTTTTGGCACTCCAGTGACATTATAGACACTAATGCGAGTGATCCGATGATAGATCCGTTTAGTGATCCACACGTATATGTGGTGCTTTATATATAAAGCCTTCAGCTTTCTTGTAACAGAAAAACAATCATGGATAAATATGTATCTGTGAGCCAATATGTAAGCCCGCCCGGAGAAATATAGACAAGCTTGTTTCGTGGTGTGGTTATAGCATTATATAGTTGTCGTCTTTTTGGGTTGCTAAGTCGAGATCCCCAATGGGTGTGCTTGCCATAGTCACCAGCTGCAATAAAGCGGTCGCCTAATAGGTCGAAGAATTTTGCAAATTGTGATTCGCAATCGCAGAAACGCAAAACGCGGCTTGGTTTAAGTAACCGCTTTGAGTTTCGATATGAATGGATGCGACCTGTAGATATACCGGAAATGAGCATGGCGTTGTTGAAATGTCATGTTGATCGAGGAACTGCAAGAGCTCGTACTTGTGCTGTGAAATGCCATTCGCATTCCAGAAAGATATATAGAGAAACCATTTGAGCTTACTAGCTACTTAAGAACAATGGTAAAATTTCTGTTTATCATCTGTTGATGATGTAGAGAAAAAACTTATCCTAGCTAAGCAGTCCCTTATTATATTAAATGAGGTCGCGTACCAAAGGAGTTGAGGTATATGTATATATGCCTATTATATGGTTGATTTGTGTATAAAACAAATATTTTTCTCTTTTTATATACTTTTAGAATTGAGAAATGCAAACACGCCGATGAAGCCAAAAATAGTTATCATAACTAAAGATCATTTAAAGATAAGCGTTTCTCTGTAGACGAGAGCGAAACTCGGTCGCCAAGGATTAACTCTCGTGTAATTCGGGAATTACCATCTAGAAAAGAAGTTGTTGAAGCTCAAGGAACAGATTCCGAGTCAATAGCTCGAAATCGTCGCATGTTTGGATCTCTTATTGGAACATTACAAAAATTCTGCCAAGAGGAGTCGCGTCTAAAGATCAAAGAAGATAAAAAATCGGAAATAGAAAAGGAATTGGAGAGGCAAGAACTTCAGGAATGGGCCATGCTAAGAAAAGAACGAGAAACTTTGTTTTTAAATAAAAAACGAAAGCAATTTGAAATTAGAGCATTGGAATATAAAATGGCTAGACTAAAGGATTTTAAATCATGGGAATCATCCATCACTTATCAAAAACATCAAATTCGAACAAAAACTAAACCGCGAAGCCATACGTTCCCTTACAGGACATTGGCTAGAAGGCGCACACGCAAACAGGATGGGTGCTCCAAAAATGCTCCATGAAATAACTAAGTGGCTCCTCCGAGAGGGGGTGGCCAGCTTTGAAGCCCGTAGAGAGTCGTAGGGGGATTCCGGCGAATTTTACCGAGGGCACTTATGCAGTCACCGGACGGCGCTCGCGGAGAATCCGCTGGTCCACCCGTTCCGTTAAAGGAAGGAAATCAGACCGGCAGGCATCCCCGAGTATCGGGACGGCGGCCAGGCTGCTCCTGCGGGGAAAATCCGACTCTGGGTTACCACAGGGTGCGGCGGCCACCTTGGGGCACCGACAGGCACCCCCGAACGCGCTTAGGCAATCGGCGGTCAGCACCCTCGGGATCTATCATGGATTGTTACGGGGATCGCGACCACACTGAGATGCCGACAGGTATCACCGAGATTACTTAGGCAATCGCCGGATAGCACCTTCGAGATCCTACCGAAATATAGATTCTGGGATCATGCGGGGACGCCGACAGGCATCACCGAGAGGGCTTAGGCAATCGCCGGATAGCACCTTCGGGATCCTATGGTACTACGTATTACGGGGATCATCGCGGACACCGACAGGCATCATCGAGAGCGCTTAGGTAATCGCCGGATTGCACCTTCGGGTTCCTATTCAGAATGCGAATCACAACGGAGACTACTCAGGCAAGTAGTGTAAGGTTAAGGAGAAGAGACAAGTCGTCTGATACCCGGTTTCCCCAGCCAATGGATACGGACAGTTGGCGGCGAGATTGTTTGTTCATTGTGTTCTTTAATTGTTTTTTTCTTAAATCCCTACCTATCGTACCGTTCAGCAGCTTCCGTGCATTCAGCATTCCTTTCTGCTGCTGCCGTGTGGCTTTGTGGCTGCGTTCTGCTCTCTCTTGATCCCCTGCTGGCATGGCGTTGCTGTGGCTGGCTTGTCTTATCGCTTACAGTTCTTTCTGGGCCTCGCCTCTTCCCTTCTTTCGGTTACTGGTGCTTCTCTGTTGTTGCTGGACTTCGTCTTCCTCTCTTGCGGTTGTCACTGCTTCGTTGTTGTCGCTGGGCTGGCTGCTTTCGCTGGGATAAACAACCACGAAAATCAATTGGCGTCTGCCGTGATCATGATAAGAGACTACTCTGGTAGTTAGAGACCCCTCAGGCCGTATAGTACGGATATGAAAGAACTTGGGCTTTCGTGGTTGAAATATTTCAACTTTTATTTATACATAACATTATCAATAAGGAAGTACATATTGATATTTTGGCTATAAGTTTCAAATTTAAATTATGTCCGACATTAAGCTTTTCTGTACCCATCGTGGCAATGCAAAAGCTGCATCATGTACTTCCGGTGTATAGTATTTTAAATTTAGCGCTTCGATATCAAAATTTTTTATTTTATTTACAGAGTTAATGAACTTTTGATTTTTGTTCAAAGAACCTATAACAAAACCTATATGACCACAAGGGTAAGAGGGAACTGAAGTTATGGCATAGGAAACTTTTGCGAAGTGCTCTTTGCAACCAGACATTGTTTTTTTTATGTAACTCAAGTCTAACCAAAAACTACCTCCTTGAGAGCACACGATTCCATCTTCTTTTAAAGCATGTTTCATTAATTTATAATAGCTTTCATTGAACAAGCTTACTGCTGGACCAATTGGATCCGAGCTATCCGTTATAATGACATCAAATTCATTTTTATGTTTTTTCATGTACTCAAAACCATCGCCAATAGTTAGCTTTAATTTTTCGCTCTTAAACCCGCATGCCATTTCAGGTAAATGTTGTTTTGAAAGTTCCACAACGCGTTCGTCTATTTCTATTTGATGTACTTCTTCAACCAAGGGATGTTTTACAACTTCACGCGCCACGCCACCATCGCCGCCACCAACAATCAAGACTTTTTTTGGATTCGGATGAGAAAAAAGAGGTAGAAATGCTATCATTTCCTGGTACGAAAATTCATCTCTTGACGTGCATTGTATTATTCCATCCAATATTAAGCACTTCCCATATGTTTCACTGAAAACGGAAACAAAAATATAATTTAAAAATCAGATAGAACAGAATATAAATGAAAACGAGGGTAAAAGTTGCCGCTGCTCCACATAGAGCAGCGGCATACGCCAAAATTCGCACACATTGCACGACGAAGAGTGTGTGAGAGAGAGAGAGACAGAAAATGTGTTCGCGTAAGGCAATAATAATTATCCGATCGGATGTAGATTCGGCGATCTGCTCGATATGGCCCATGTGAACTCCATGTGACTAGCGCATTAACAAAGAGTAGAAATACTGTCGCGTTAAGAATATATGTATATAAATTTACTATTACTATTTATATTTTCTTTGGCCAACCGATGCACAGTGCAAAGGAAGGTATTGCGCTACCGCTCACGTGCAAGTGTGCAAGTTGTTGGCACTAATGCAATAATATATGATGTTCTCGATGTTCCTTACGGCCAGGAGATGAAGATCTTTCACCGCTCAGTCCTTGGCCTTGGGATGATTTTTATTTAAATATTCATTTACATTATAGTTTACATCCAATAAGTCACCCATGAATTTGATTAAAAATTCACCCGGATATTTAAATAAATAGTCGCTATATAATTTAGTGATCTGATTAGAAAAGCACCTTTGTACCTTACGAAACGACGTATAGCGTCATGATGGGACTTTACCTACTTATGCCAGCAGGAAATCATTTAGCATTAAGGAAAGCATTAAATCAAACATATACATAAATAAGTTTGAGGTAAATGGTTAGAAATTTGGATTTTACGATGATGGTAAATAACACCAGATCAGTTGAATATTTGTTATACAATTGCAAAACTTAATATTCATATTTACATATTTCAATAAGTGGAAGTTTTGTTCCAAATATTGGAACTGGAAAACAACCAGGCTGCCAAATTACCACATTAATCAAATTGATACCGTGATTTATTATCTTTTAGTTAAGATTTTCTTATTGTCAGTTATCCACCTAACTTGTTTCGTACATTCTTTCTTTCAATAAAATTAATTAACTGCCAAAATTATGATACATGATGATATTTGACTATTCGATTCTGTTTCGTCTATGCGACAGCATCTTATAAGACTGGTGACCCTGCATATTTTACACATGCATACATATGTATAACTCACGTTTCAATTATTTGAATATCTTGGTATTTTGACTTTTCTTTATGAATGACATTTTTTACTTTCAAGGAAAATGCCTGTCCAGGCCATAGCTCGGCCTGAATTTCACTAAACCAGCCGCAAGATATCGTATCCATGTTATAATAGAAAAAAAAACAAAATGAAATTGAACTATTTAGTTCTATAAAAATTCAAGTCCCGCCTTTAATAGAAATGAGCTCAACACGTGGCTTGATGTTCAAAGATCTGCATTCTGACTACATTCTTGACTCTAAATATATTTGAAAAAAATACTAATACTTTTCCGGTATTTCATGTTTGCTTTGAAAGCACGGAAACACCCAGGCTCAGAAGACCTTTTTCAACATTTAAAAAAAATTTATGCGTAACATTTGCACACATAGCACATCTTGGGGAACCATTGGAAATTTCGAAAGATGTGAAAAACCGGTTCAAAAGTAATCATAAAAAACAGCCGATCAACATAACATAAACAACTCCGTTGAAAATTGAATCAGCTCTATTTATAAGTGTGCTCGCAATATGCTCGAGATATCCTCGCTTAGTTTTCAGATGCTCATCTCATCTGTCAAAAATTCCAGCCTTTTCCCTCTATGGGAAATCCTTTTTAAAGAAATTATATTAGTTCAATGATTAAAATACCTATTAATACCAGAAAAAGAACTGATGAAGAGTACGTTCATAGATTAAGTGAAGTGAACACTAGCAAATTTGGATAATATGCCTTGGAAACTACAGAGCTGTTAATAAAAAAAAGTTTGCCGCATTGTCAAATTTAAATTCTTCATCTACCATTGTAACGACGTCAGAAGAAACTCAGGGAACGAGATACATGTATTACATGAATTAATACGACCTTTATTTGAACGGTAAAATTGCAGATGGGAAGTCACCGAGCGATATCTGACGTTAAAATAAGGCATTTGTTCTGCACCTAAGCTGTTTATGCATAGGTTTTTACAAACAATTCTTATTTATTAATGTACCTATAAAAAAAAACAAAAATATATAGAAAATCATTTGTTTCCATTTTTCCTGCCTTATTAAAGAAAATCAAGAAAAAATTTGTCAAAAATGATTAATTTTGACTTTGAATGCTCCCAGACGGTAAGATGAAGATACAAAAGTCTTAGGTTGGATTTATAGCTGCATGTAACTTTTCAGAATTTCAAGGTTCAAAACAACCAGATTTAGGATAAGATTAAGTCATGTAAAAAAAGCTCAACCTGGATAAAAACTTAAAAAATTAATAGCATATTATAAAAATTAACGAAACCCACGCCATGAAAAAAAAAACAAATGAGGAAAAGTCGGTTTGGGTAGAAGCTGCAGAGTGTTATAAGGCTGCAACTTTTACGGGAATACCCCAGATACTATTTATAAAATGCGTATCAAAAGCAACACTGGAAAATTATTTAAAATTAAGACATACGTTGACCAATGCTATTGGTCTAATCGTACCCAATCAAAACGCTCCAGCGAAAATTTGAAGTGTCTTATATCCATCTCTTTTTAACACTCTCAAAGATAAATGCTCTGTTTCAGTTATATCTAGCTTGCCGGCATTTAGTAAATCTGCTGGACGAACTTATTTCAGTTGAGTGAGAACATTAACGCGATGTGTTATAGAATTACAATTCTTGCCTTATTGGCAATAGTCGGATTGATAAATGCACACATATATTTAGAGGAAAAATTTGATAATGGTATATAAATCGGCGGTTTTACTTATTTCGCCTGTGAATTGTTTTTCATTCTTTTCATTACTTTATGACAGGAAATTGGGATGATACGTGGATTTATAGCAAGCATCCTGGTAAGGAATTTGGAAAATTTGCCCACTCTTCCGGTTCATTCTTTAACGATGCTGAAGCAGACAAAGGTATGTACCATTTTACAAACATATACATATCAATATGATGATATTTTTAAATTAACACGTAGGCAAATTCTCACCAAATGTGTTTTTATGAATACGCACATTAATATATATGTATACAAATATATTAACTACATACTTGTGTCCGTTTACATATTCCAATAGGCATTCAAACTTCGCAGGATGCACGTTTCTACGCTGTTTCCCGGAAATTCGATGGATTTTCAAATGAAGATAAGCCTCTTGTTGTTCAATTTTCTGTAAAACATGAACAAAATATTGACTGTGGGGGTGGTTACGTTAAACTGTTCGACTGCTCCCTAGACCAAACAGACATGCACGGCGAGTCACCCTACGAAATTATGTTTGGGCCAGATATTTGTGGACCCGGTACAAAGAAAGTCCACGTCATTTTTAGCTACAAAGGAAAGAATCACTTGATTAACAAAGATGTAAGATGTAAGGATGACGTGTACACTCATTTTTACACGCTTATTGTAAGGCCTGACAACACCTATGAAGTCTTAATTGATAACGAAAAAGTGGAATCCGGTAACTTGGAGGATGATTGGGACTTTTTAGCACCAAAAAAAATTAAAGATCCTAATTCGAAGAAGCCGGAGGATTGGGATGATAAGGTATGTATATACAAATATAAAACGTCATATAAACCAAAAACTAATCACACCCATCTGTCATTTAAATCACGTTAGTGTTGTTTTTTTTTTTATTCATATGAACATGTTTTCATTAAACACAACAGTCTATTACACTTAAAGTACATATGTATGAATTCCTAGCTCATAGCTCTTAACATACGCCTTACATTCCAATATGTATTAATATAGTTTTCAAACTTTATTTTAATTTATTACAATTCAGCCTACAATTGCTGATCCCGACGATAAGAAACCTGAGGATTGGGATAAATCGGAACATATACCAGACCCAGATGCTACAAAACCAGAAGATTGGGATGATGAAATGGATGGTGAATGGGAGCCGCCTATGGTAGATAACCCTGAGTATAAGGGGGAGTGGCAACCAAAACAATTGGATAATCCCAACTATAAAGGTGCTTGGGAGCATCCTGAAATCGATAATCCTGAATATATACCGGATAATAAGCTTTATTTACGCAAGGAAATATGCAAATTAGGATTCGATTTATGGCAAGTAAAATCTGGAACCATATTTGATAATGTCCTCATTACCGATGACATTGAGTTGGCATTTAACGCAGCAGCTAATGTAAAAAACACTCAAGCTGGGGAAAAAAAAATGAAAGAGATTCAAGATGAAGTCCAGAGAAAAAAAGATGAAGAGGAGGCGAAAAAGGCCTCTGATAAGGATGACGAGGAGGAAGATGATGATGAAGATGAGAAGGATGAATCTAAGCCAGACAAAGATCAGAGTGAACATGATGAATTGTAAAAGCATTCTAATAAAATAATTCAAATCTTATGTATATTTTGTGTGTAATTGCTTCAGATTTAAAAAAAATACAAAATCCACAATTACAATCTGTAAGACTTATATTATAGTCATAAAAACAACGTGTATTGTTTTATTATACCCGATATTCAAAATGAGTATGGGGGTATATTATATTTGTGGTGAAAATGGATGTGTGCAACGTCCATATATATTCGTATATACATTCCTATATATATTCTTGATCAGCATCAATAGCCGAGTCAATTGAGACCTGTCTGTCTGTCCGTCCGCAAGGACGAAAATCTGGGGGTATTCACAAATCTCAGAGACTATTAACGCTAGAGTAACCAAAAATGGTATCCACACTCCTGTTAGATCTCACTATAAAACGTATATCTCCAAATTTCGCCCCACCAGCTTCCGCATCCACAATATTGAAGATAAAAAAACAAAAACGCACAATCATAGAGAATGACCGTATCTATGAGATTGCTGGATCAGATCGGATCATTTTTAAAACCAAAAGGAACAAATTAATTTGCAGTGGATACGCAGCGCCCGACGACATGTTCAGACACGTGATCTGTCTCTGCCGCACGCACACATTGTCGCTCAATGTAGCCATACTGACTATGTATCGGGTGTAAATGTAGAGTTGCGGTCGCCGCAGCAACTCACAACGTTCCCCCTAGTTTATAAGTAATGTGATGGACCTATTTCAGGCTGGGGTAAGCTCAGTCACGTGCATGGGTCAATCAACAAGAAATGTGTAGAAGTAGATGGAACTTTGAGGGAAACGTCGGGGTTGGCTTATCTTAGTGAGTGTGGATCAGGGGTGGAGTGGGCGCTGCTCGTCGTGTATGTTAAACGGTGTGTGTGGACTTGGGGTGGAGTAGTGTCGGTGCCTCGGCTAGTTGGAATGAACTTACGCAATTGGATATTATTCTGATAATTAGATACTTCATTACGAATATCATAGCAATTTAAATTGGACTAGTTTGATAACTCTACTGATCGCCGGTATCTTTCGTAAGCTCTAGTACAACGTCTGTACTCGGAGCCGGGATTCTGTGTAAGCTGTCTTCTGGTTCTGGCCAGCGTCTATTTATACGCCTGTTGTTGCTGCGTCAGCGGGGGTCACAAAAATGTATTTCCGCGTAGGGTTTGCTTTTCGCTTTGACCCGGTTTCGCTTCTTGTGTTGGCGTTCGTCGCTAGCTTCCGCGGTGTCATCTTTTCGGATCGGTCACTTGATCCGGAGGGGGGGAAGTCTGCGTGACCCGGTGTGTTTGGACAGAGATGTTGGAGTCGGCGCGTGTCGAGAAGTTATGTGTGGGGGGGGCTTAGGTTTATCATACGTTGGTCATACATTCTATGGTCTGCGTTGGAGTTTCTGCGTTCTCTTCGCTTCGTCAGTGGATTTGAGGGCGCGTGGTCGTGACGTCAAGTGAGCGTTACGTTACCTCTCTTGTTGACGTCAGCGCTCTTTTGTAGGTCAGTGGGTTCTTCGGACTCGTGATCGCGTAATTCCCTCAGGTCGTTGATATTCGCGACTTTCTGCTTCGCAATATTGTAATTTGGTGATATTCGGTGACGGAAAACTTTTGACCCAGTAGGGGCCATCGAATTTGGGGGCTAGTTTTGCTGCGAAGCCTTGGGCGGCGTTCGAGAGGTGGTCTTGGCGTAACAATACCAATGATCCGATGGCGTGGCGCCATAATCGCCGGCGGTGGTTGTAATGTCTCCCTTTCTCTTGGCCGGCTCTATGGATGTTGTTCCGGATGATGGCGAATACTTCTTTCAGCCTCGTTGCTTTGCTGGTGGTCGTCTCTGGAGGGCTTCCTGTCCCGGGCGTGACTTCGTCGTATGGGGCGCCGTCGAGCCGGGGTTCCCTTCCTTGCAGGAGGAACGCGGGGCTGAATCCGGTAGTCTCGGAGACGCTTGATTTGATTGCCAGTGACATCTCGGGTAGGAGTTCGTCCCATGTAGCTCATGGGCAGCTTAACGCCCGCGGTCCGTAGGATTGTTTTGAATGATCGGCTGGTGAACTGGGTCCCGTCGTCGCATGCGAATAGTTTGGCCACGCCGAAACTGCTTAGTATCCGTTCTCTGAACGCTCGCTCGACATTTGCTGTTGTCGCCTTCTTGAGTGGCACCAGTTCGACCCACTTTGAGAAAGTGTCGAGGAAAACCATCAGGATGGTGTTCCCGTGCTTGGACCGTGGTAATGGTCACACCAGGTCGCATGGTCTTCCTCATCGATGCGTGAGAGGGTTTCCAATGGTTGTCTCGATAGCGCGTTTGCGACTACGTTCTGATAGCTCGAGCGCCCACCTTGCTACGGTACCATACGGGCCTTCGAAGGTATTCAGCCACTTTTGTGGGAGGTAGTCGGTGATCACGTCGAATCGGTAGCCTTCGAGGTAGCATAGCAGTTTTCGGATCGGTTTTTATTGGTGGCGGAGTAGCTTTCCTCAGCTTTGTTGAGGCTCCGATTGACGTACGCGATGACCCGCTCTTTGCCTTCGATCTCTTAGGTGCGGACTGCACCCACTCAAAGGTGGCTCGCGTCTGTCTGCAGGGAGAATTTGACATTGAAGTCTGGGCAGGCGAGTACTGTGCGTCTTGTTGCTCTTGGCCCCATGTCCATGCTTTCCCTTTCTTCAGCAGTAGAGACATTGGTTGGACCACGGTGGACTGCATTGATGAAAATCTCGCTATAAAAATTTGGCTTGATAGTACTGCGGATATGCGGAGGTTACGAAATAATTATTTTATTATCGACCGGGACAGATCCAAATGGTGCTTTAGTATTATATCTGCAAGCAAAGCGGATCAAACTGAAAAATCTTCTAGAGATTGTTCGGAAAATGCTTGAACAAACCAACTTCCAAACAGAGCTTCTGCATTTTTTAAGAAGTCCAAAGAGTAATGTTTATTGTACATTTATGGATTGTTTTATTATAGCCAATAATATAGTATATTTAAAATTGTGAACATTTCACAATTCACACCAAAACGTAACTTTATGCTCTCAGCAGCGTTTTGACGGATGGAAGATGGTGCCAGTGTGAATCGGGGTTTCACAGATCAGTAAGCTGAAGACTCAAACGAAACCCAAACTCAAATTTTGGTTCTAGCGAGGAGCATTATAATAATACACACGCAAAATACCTGAGAATGTATGTGTACCCATTCATCCAAATATGCTGGAGGCACAACAGAGAACAGAAATCACAAAGAAAACGAAAAGTGCATCCAATCTCATATTTTTGTCAAAACATATTTTGTGCGTACTAACCCATGCAAAGATGTTCTGCGATTGTTTAATGTTGACGCGGCGGTAGATGAACGCCAGATCCGAACCCCATGGGACGGGATATTCGGTGTTCGACGTGCGACATTATCGTTCTATGGCTGGCACATCTATAGACTGTATGGTTACAGCTTTAAGTGAATCCGTTGATAATAAAAAATTTGTTCGGCCATATTGGATCCGATATTTTAAGTTTTTAAAATCTTTATTCATATTCGTAATTAGCGACTCCTAAAACCCTTGAGTAACGAGTTTTAAGTGTGTCCGACATAATGGCTTTTTAGGTTGTTTAAAATTAAATCAGATCTCCATTCAAAACCAAAATTTTTTAGTAGTTTATATATTCATAGACATTCTCACTCATATACATTACCCATAAGGTATCAATCTGGTCTCATCTTGTCTATTAACAGCTGTTTAGCTTAAAAGTTTGTTGCTACAACTATATCAACTGGCAAAACTTATACAAGGAAGATAAAACGATAAAAGCGGAAATAAAACTATTGCACATGCTTTATGATTGCCTTCTTGAAGAAAATAAGCCTGGTGAGTAGAGCTCCAATATCAGATAACTAGAGAAGTGAACTGAACTAGTTCACTTGGAACATCCCTAATGGATTTACGAACAAATATATAAATATCTATTGACATACATATGTTTGGACCTGTGTGTGCGATAGAGATTTACAACAGAGTTATCTTATCGTAATACGCAGAACTGTCGATAATTTTTTCATTTAGTTGATTCTTGGTGATGATGAAGGACACAACAATAATTTTGACAAAATTACGAGAGCTAATGCAACTAGTTCGAGTTCGAGACATCAGTTGCATTTCGGCTTATATTGTTCCTTCCGATGACGCTCATCAGAGTGAATATCAATGTCAGCATGACGAAAGACGCGCATTTATATCCGGGTTCGACGGCTCAGCTGGAACAGCTGTTATCACACGTAATAGTGCTCTATTATGGACAGATGGTCGATATTATCAACAAGCTGAAAAACAACTCGACTCAAATTGGATACTGATGAAAGATGGTTTGACAACAACTCCTTCATTAGGCGTATGGCTCGCCCAAAATCTTCCAAGAGGCAGTGCTGTTGGCGTGGATCCCCGTTTATTTTCTTTCCGGTTATGGAAACCTATAGAAAACGAATTGAATTCATCAGGTTGGTAAACAGAAGTAGTAATATTTGTTATACCCGGTGCTCGAACACCGGTACTGATGACAGTGAATGTCCAGAAGGAAGTGTTTCCGACCCCATAAAGTATATACAACTTCAAACGCAAATTAAAGGGACTTATAATAAGGAAGGAATAATTCTACAAAGTGGAAGGAACAACCGTATACAATTTCTAGTGACTCTAATAGGAATCGTGAAGTTTATGCGGCTTAACAGATCAGGGCTGTCTATGTCACCCGTGATCAAGTTGTGCACAAAAATCACACCAAGCATTTTCCTACGGTTAACTAAGGATGGGAGGTTTACTAATAGCAGTGCTTTATAAACCCAAGCACGCCCATGGCCTTATTTACCATGGTAGAAATGTGTTCTTTAAACTTTAGCTTAGCGTCTAATATAACACCAAGATCATCCACCAGGGTAAATATCTTAAGAGAACCACCGCAAAGGGTATAGGGTGCCAGCAAGGGGCTAGAACGATGAAATGTCATAACTTTGCATTTCGAGGCATTAAGGTGTTCGAGGTATTAAGGTGTATATTATTTCTAGAACACATTTTTCAGTTTAATAAAAATAACTACTATAAGTATGTATGTATCTACTATAAGTATGCGGGGACTTACTTATCAAGTATAAGATTACTTAACAATAAAGATTAATCTCTCAGCACAATAGAGTGAACAATATTCTTAGTTAGTCCGTCTTTAGCCAACACATATAGTTAGCTACATATAGTTGTCCGTGGGAAAAGGATGGTGTTTGAAAATCTATGCCACATACAGACAGTGTCTGCCCTGTTACGGGATCTCGTTGTTTATTGTTTACACTATATCCGTCTTGTCCCTTCCAGAAAATTTGTGGATATTGGAGAGCGTCATATGAACTATCACTAATAAACTGAAGATCATTATTTCTTCTTCGAATCACGACTTGTCGCGTAGCTGTACGGTCGTTAACCAGCAACGTCGTCGACAACAGGTGCATTGAGTCTACGTATATTCTCTCCAGCTGGTGTTCTATCAGGATTGATGACACTTTATAGTTTAAGCATGTGTGATTTGAATAATTTCAATAATTCATTGTGCTTTATTCACTTAACAGAGCGTCCAGCTCGCTTACAATACGCCTGGCAAAATATGAATTGAGATTATGATAGTTGCAACGTGCAACGTGATAGTACAACGTGCACTCGATTGGCGAGTGCACGGTCGGAGTCCTCAACAAATCTAATGTACTATAAAAATGTCCTAAACGGTTCCAACGATTTTAATGAAAATGTTAGCAAAAACAGCAAACAGCGATACCAAACGACATAAATTACATTAATCATAACCTCACATTCATATGAAAATATACTAAGTACCGGGCATAAAATAGGGCCGCGGCCCTTGCCGTGGCTCACAACGTACCCGCTCGATTTTTAATTTAAATTTTGTAATTTTATTTGTAGATTGTCATTTGATCCCAATTGAAAATAATTTAATTGATGAAATCTGGGGAGAGAATCAGCCACCACAAACCTTTAATTCTATAAAAACTTTAAAATTGGAGTATGCCGGAGTCACAGTTGCGAAAAAATGGGATCTCGTTCGTGAAAAAATGCAGGAAAAAAAAGCGGATGCTCTAATTGTTAGTGCTCTTGATGAAATTGCTTGTAAGTTAAAATTGTATTTTAATTTAATCTATTCGATTAAAATTCCCATCTATAAAATATTAACAAAGCAATATCTTTATACAATACACAGGGTTCTTAAACATGCGGGGCTCGGATATAGACTTTAATCCAGTTTTCTTTGCATATATGATTATAACAAGGGATCAGCTGTTAGCGTTCGTCGATTCTGAAAAATTGCCCACAGACTTTTCTAGCCATCAAACCGAAAACGAAGTACAAATAAAAGTTCTTCCCTATTCGTCAATAGGCCTGGAAATAAGTCGCATTGTAAGATTAAATCCACTTAAAATATGTTAATTTAAACAAAAATAAATATTAGTGTATCTTCAGGTGTCGACTAAGGGTACAAAAATTTGGATTTCTCCCACAAGCTCCTACTATTTAACAGCGCTTATTCCAAAATCGCAACGTCTACAGGAGGTGAAAATTACAGACATATCTATATAACTATAAAACTTTTGCAGATAAGATTTATATTTTTTTATTTCAAATTTACATAGGTTACACCAATTTGTTTATTAAAATCAATTAAAAATGATGTGGAGATTAAAGGATTTGTGAATAGCCACGTGCGGGATGGTATTGCATTATGTCAATACTTTGCTTGGCTTGAAAACCAATTAGACCATGGTGAAAAAATCGATGAAATATCTGGAGCTGATAAGCTAGAGTCTTTCCGCCGGTAAGTTCTTTAGACAGTAAACTTTTTAAAATACTTAATTGGTGAAGAAGGAAAAGAATTTAGAATGCTCTAATCAACACAATGTTAACAGCGGCTTCTCGGACTAGGCTCTTGTGTACTAATTAGGAACCAATATTGATCTAATTCAACACGCCGCAAGTTATTGAAAGAAATCTCTAAAAATTAAAATATCTTGTGAATAAACACAAATTTTTAAGATGTACAGTTAAAAGGCAATAGTTATTTGAAACTAAATACTTCAATAAGTTCCGACTGCTTAATTACACTATGCAACACTATATTTACGCTTCAAACCAAACTGACTTACTGATAGATTTGGGCCTTAAAATTTTTTTAAGAATTAGGATTTTTGTTCATGGTGTGATTGGTATTTTTAAAATGTTTTTTCAGAGATTGTGCTTCTTTTTAACATAACTTAAGGTTCTTACTTTTGGTGGTATTGAACTCAGCTTTTCAGAATTGCAAAGTTCTGTGTGGTCTGCTCTGTGGTCGGATTAACGTAGAGCACCTCCGGGGTGGTCTGGAGGCTGAAACACTCAATATAAACCGCTTCCTTAAAAAGATTAAGAGTTTTATACCAAGAGTTTAAACCATATTGTTCTCTTATAGGTACATAGACATATGTTTTTATGATATTAATATTATATTGTTGAAATATTTCGTGAATTTACGTATTATTTTTTTTTTTTCATTTAGAACACAGGATAAATATGTTGGCTTGAGCTTTCCGACAATTAGTTCATCAGGTCCCAATGGCTCTATTATTCATTATCATCCGACGAGTGAAACAAAGAGAAATATAACCCTTAATGATATATACTTATGTGATTCAGGCGCTCAATACTTGTAAGTACCAATAATAAATAAAACAATGATTTATTACCTGTCACAATAATTAATTTCGAAATTACACTACTCGAAATTAAATAGGACATAATCTGGAGTTATCTGAAACTGCCACGCCGAAGTAGTTTTCATTGCAAGGTTTCGGTTTCTTCTTTCCAAATTTTTTATAGCGTCGGTCGCAGCTGATTTCACTAAATAAATTAAAATTATTTTAAATATTTTTGGCGAGACGTGAAAGACTTAGTATACAATTTTAATAAATCAAATAAAGAAGTTCGTTCTCTTTCGTAGTGACCAGATGTGTTTTTGTTTTGCGCTTCCCATTTTTTCTTCAATTTTGTTTAACAAAACAAAAACTCTTTAATTAAACATTAAATCATTAATCTATTTTTAACCGCGAGTGAAAGCTTTTTAAATGTGAAAAAATAGAATTTAAATATTTAATCGCGCGTCGGCTTATCGTGTGTTTTGTTGCACTTAGCCTTCTTGTCGTAGCTAAATAACTGTTTTTTCTTTCTCGCTCACGAAACTTTCTGTGCAGCAGTGCCGTCTTATTAGCTTTTGATGCAACCGCTCTCCTCTCAGTTTTTACTGACTTTGCTTTAAGAATTTCTCTGGCTGTGGCTGTAACACTATGCAACCAAACCCAAACCGATAGATTTGGGGCTTTAAAAATGTTTAGTGATCAAATTTTGGTTCTTGGTGTCGTTTTCTTTCAATTTTTTTAAGTCTTATTTTTTTTTACTGGTTTTTAGGGTTGCCCTTTTTTTGTTTTTACCAAAATTAAAGAATAATACAACTGAATGCATTAAAATTTTACAAAAAAGTTTTAAACATTTTTGGAAGTACAAAATTGTGTTATTTAAAAAAAAAAAAAAAAGCCGTTGTATTTCGAATAACAGAATTTAAAGGAGAATTAAACGCCGCCCAATTAATAAACATATCAAAGAACAAAAAGAAAGCACAATATATTACATTTTATTAACTTTTCCTGAGTTTTAAAGTAAAAATATAACAAAAAAAATACACCATAAAACTTTCAATGTTTTTCCGTTAAAGACAAATATTTTTGTAAACGTCGTTAATAAAAGGCACACGATTTTTTTTTATTTTAAAAATCTAAAATTTTGTTCAATATGTTCAGTTAAAAAAAGAATATTTTCCCGGGTTTCTTCCACCCGTCAAAGAAACTAACTTCTTCACTTGTAGGTCTCACGCAGTAAGCTCAGCGACCCTGTGCCGCATTTTCATCCAACGTTATGGTGTTTACCGAGATCTGGTTAAAACCAGACATTCTTAGTCTGAAGTTTTGGCAGTTCGGTACACCAACTTTTAGAAATGATTCTCATTGCAGTGGACTTAAAGTTCACGTCGTAACATTTCACAGTCTAGGTTTTTTTAATTAAATTTCAAAGTTTTTGCTGTTCAGAGACGAAGGATAGACAAAAACAGGCATGAAGTAACCCGTACGGTTGTACCATTATTGATATTATTCAACCATTTTGATTTACTTAATTATTTTTTAAATCAATATAAATTATTTTATTCTAATTTTTTCATTTACAAATTATTGTAGGGATGGTACAACGGATGTGACAAGAACTTTTCATTTTGGCATACCAACTGAGTTTCAAAAAGAAGTATATACCCGTGTCCTCAAAGGCCAATTAACGTTTGGGTCTACAATTTTTCCAGCAAAAGTTAAGGTACACCCATATACAAATATAATCGGTAAAGTTAAGAGTTTCAACCTAGTCGTGCCGCTCAGAAAATGGTGCTACATATATACATATATGCCGCGGCTCTACTTTTATACCCGGTACTCAGTCAGTATACAACCAATTTTTGTAAATTTTGTTACCTGTACATTATATTCAATCCGAATTTGTATTGGAACCCAAGACTGCCGCAGTTTTTTGGTTCGAAAAGGGACGAGTTGATTTATTGATTAATGAAAGAATGGGGAAATCCATTCCAGGACGCGATCTCAATTTTGCTCGCAGCTGTCATACGAAAAACATATGGGCATTTCCGCGGTCACTCACACGACTTTCGGAAGCAAAATAAAACTTTAAATGTTAAATAAATCAAACAAAATTAAATTTTGTGAACTTCACCACTAATAATTTGTTGTAGTATTTTGAGAGTACTATCCATGGTAAAAATAATTGAGAGCCTCCGGTTTTTTTCTTTTGAGGTAAAAGCCACAAAAGAGCGGTCACTCACGCGACTTCAAATAGAAATGGCTTTAGACATCAATGCTAATAATCGGCAAACTCTGCGAATTGTGTGCAAATTTTGAACTTGAATTATTTTTGACATAAATACGAAATATGAAGCTTTATTAGTAGTTATATGAATTTTCAAAATTTGGCCTGCCCTTTTTTTGCGAAGGATTCTTCTGGGTCACTCACGCGACATTTTTTCCAATGCAGTTTTGTGTGCAATTATATATATAATAATAGTCATTACATTAATATTTAAGCTAAGAAGAAGAAGAAGAAGAAGAAAAAAACGATATCCACGAGCTGCAAACGACTAAAAAATACTCGATGTTACAGAAGAAAAAAAATTTATTTATTTTAAATTCGTTTTTGCTTAACATAATATAACATTTTTGAGAATAAGCGGTGCGTTTTTTTTTTTTGTTTTCATTGAAAGAAGCTAACAATAACTAGGCAAAAATAATTTTTTTTTAAGGGATTGCACTTACGGTCACTCACACGACAAACTTTCGCAATGAATAAAAAAACCACTATTGGAAAAAATCGTTATTTAATTTTGTTTTACTGAATGTTGAACCAACTTCATTCAAGATAGGTGTGTTCCCAACTTATTTTGACACCATTTGCTCTTCCAAATTTTGGCCAGATCATTTGGTGGTTCAAAGCTAAGAAGAAGAATAGGCCCCCATAACTCTTACAAATCATCCCAATGTGCCATCCTCAACTTCCCGTTTTGTTTCCACCTTTCCAAAAAACTTCTCTTAGTAACCTATCAGAATGTTAGAGGCTTACGTAGTAAGCTCAGTTTTAATTTTAATTTAATTTTTTATTTTAATACTCTAAATCAGGAAAAAAATTCAATCCGATCAATATTATAGCTGCTATAGAAACCATTGGCCAAATATCGGCCAAAGTCGGCACTTCTAAACGATGTCGAATGGGGCTGAAACTTTATATTTTTTGTACTTTTTTTGTACTTTACACGCGACAAAAAAATTCGGTTGTAAAGCTGTAGATGCCGTGTGAAAATTTTTTCACAGTAAGAAGTTAGAAGAATGATCTACTCAACCAAGCGTACAACCTAATTTTTGACTCGTGTAAACTACATTTAACATTAACTTTAATATATTTTTTTAAATTTAATAATTATATTTATAAATTTTTCAGGGGCAAGTTCTTGATACCCTTGCTAGGAAAGCTCTTTGGGATATTGGCTTAGACTATAGTCATGGCACTGGTCACGGCGTGGGGCACTTCTTGAATGTACATGAAGGTCCTATAGGCGTTGGGATACGTCATATGCCTGATGATCCCGGTCTTCAAGAAAATATGTTTATTTCGAATGGTAAGTGGTTACGACTTAGTGGACTGTATTATTGTTTATTCTTTACAGTTTATAGTTAAACTATGATAAGTTTAACTGTATAAAAAGAAAAATTTACATATCAACTAGAATTTTCGAATAACTCCACGAGAAGAGCTCGAGCAAAAGAAAACTGGAAGATTCCGCGAATTACTGGTCCCAGTGCAAAAACGGAAGGCACCGTGTATGCGTGGGCGTGTGCGAGAAGCGGGCTTGGCTATGATTGCGAGAGCGATCCAGTTAGGTTTTGGACATAAGTAATAACAACACAACTATGCGCATAAAACTAGGTGCTTAAGCGGGAAAATACAATGATGAGCATATGAATAGAGAAAGATATATTATGAATGAAATTAAACTAAAGAAAACTCAAGTAACCTAATTTCTCAACATACCAGCCCCCCTGAACGACAAGAGAATCACAGCAATTTTCGTGATGGGCCACTTGTACAATCCCCGAGCAGTTTTTACATTAACCACTCGAACCCTAACGCTTTGGCTAGGATAAACTTTGGTGATTCGTCCTAGCAGCCACTTGCTAGCCGGTTGATTCGGCTCCTTCAGCACCAAAAGCGTATCTACTGTAAGGTTGTTGCATTGCAAACCATTTCCTGCATTGCAAAGAAGCAAGGTAGCCTTAACGTTTCCAGAAGCCTTGAAGTTATCTTCAATGCTGCAGTCTGTTGATATTGAAACGCGGCTCTGGCACCGACATGTGAGGTTGACACACAAAAATAAGCAAAACCAAGCTTTGCCAAACTTTGGTGCCCGACCTTCTGATGTCTTGATGGTAAGATCAGCCATGAGTTGTGGGATAGTACTTTTGCGCTGGGTGAAAAAAATCTTGCACTACAATACAATTTTCCGGACTATGTTTCGGGCGCCAAAAATTCAAGTTTGAAACATAAATTCCACTCCAGCGTAACCTACAGTAAAAAATCTGTTTTTTAACGCGAGTGTATGCCTATTGTTTTCATAAAAACTTAATTATACCCGATACTCAAAATGAGTATTGGGGTATATTAGATTTTTGGTAAAAGTGGATGTGTGTAACGTCCAGAAGGAATCGTTTCCGACCCCATAAAGTATATATATTCTTGATCAGCATCAATAGCCGAGTCGATTGAGCCATGTCTGTCTGTCCGTCCCTATCAGAGCCTAGTGGTCAAAGACTATAAGAGCTAGAGCACTGACATTTTATATCCGGACTTCTGTGATATGTCACTGTTACAAGTATATTTAAAAACTTTGTACCGCCCCCTTCCTCGCCCACAAAGATCGAAAATCTGTGGCATCCACAATTTCAAAGATACAATCGTAGAGGATGACTATATGTTCTAGAGTGCAAAATCTGAACCAGATCGTATAATTATTACAGCCAGAATCAAGAAAACAATTTTATTCTTTTTCGCTCTGTATCTCTCCAACACACAGGTTTCGTGGTCGGCTTTGCCGATTGCAAAATGTGAGCTCAAGGATCTTTGAACCTATAAGAGCTAGAGCAACCAAATTTGGTATCCACACTCCTGTGATATTGGACCTTGACCATTTCGTGTCAAAATTTTGCCCCACCGGCTCCACAATGGACAAAAATCAGTTGCATTTACAATATTGCAGATTCGAGAAAACTAAAAACGCACCATCATAGAGAATGCCCAGATCTATCCGGTTGCTGAACCTGGATCAGATCGGTGGATATATTTTTTTCTCCCACGTAAAAATGATAAGCAGACACTAATTTTTCACGTAGGCAGACCAGTGAGACAATCGTCGCGAGTTAATCGATTTCTCTGAATATGTTTAATTTGGGTCTTGTAGCTTTATAAAGTCGAAAATATAACAAAAAAACATTTTTTTTTTTTTTTTTTTTTTCAGAGCCAGGGTTCTATAAGGATGGGGAATTTGGAATACGCATTGAAGACATTGTGCAAATTGTTCCAGCACAATCAACCTATAATTTTTCAGACCGTGGAGCCCTAACTTTTAAAACCATTACTATGTGCCCAAAACAAACTAAAATGATTATTAAAGAACTCTTAACTGATCTTGAGGTAAGGTTCCAAAATCAATGTTTTCGTTTTTTTTTTAAATATGCTGCTAATGGTTTTTTTTTTAGATCCATTTGATAAACAGATATCATCAACAAGTTTGGGATAACCTTTCGCCGATATTGTCCCAACAAGGCGACTCTTTTACTTTATCTTGGCTAAAAAAAGAAACGCAGCCAATTTAATATTATTTTATATATTTACATATATTTACCTCACTTCTTATCCGAGCTATATAATAAAAAGCTTTTTTATACTTCATTTTCTTATTGAATCTTATTTTCTTAGGGACGAGTAATAAGTTTTCACTTCTTAATCGAATCCTATTTGATTGAGGTGACAAACGTTCTTAAAATTAACAACAACAGCAAGAACAGCAGCAGCATAACAGTCAAGCCAATCAACGCCTTGAAAAGCTTGAAAAATAGTTTCTGAATTGGCCAACACGATTAACTAATGGGATGGATCTAATCTTCAGTCCCAGAACAATGTTTCAGACTCTCAATGCATCCACTAAAAGTTCTTATCTGGAATGCTAGCGGCATTTCAGGGAAAGCAAAAGAAATTGAGCTTTTCGCGCACAACAACAGCGTCGACCGAGATCAGAATCAAAAGAGGGGTAGCTAAAAAAATACGCCTTCTATCCAGCCTTCAAGCCTTCGCGGAATAATACTAGCGTTGGTGGAGTGGCGATTTTAATGAGGACCTCGCCTCGCCATTTTCCACAAAGGGTCATTGAGACACGCAGCATGCAAATGTCAGCAGTAAAAGTAGCCACAGGACTGGGCGATGTTGAGTTCAGCGCCATTTACTGCCCTTCCAGAGTCAGGAGGAAAGACATTACTTCGACGCACTCCGTGCTTGCGGGCAAAGGTATTTGGTTGGTGGTGACTGGAATGCCCGACACTGGCTGTGGGGAGACACTTACAATTCCCTTAGGGGGCGAGAGCTAGCGGAAGCCATCTCTGCCACTGGCGCGAAGATCCTTGCAACTGGATCACCAACCAGGTATCCTTATGTACTCAATCACACGCCATCCTGCATAGACTTCGCAGTGCATCATGGTATTCCGGATTCAAGAGCAACAATAAGTCGGAGCTGGGATCTGGACTCCGACCATCTGGCCCTAGTCATCAGCATTGACACTATAGAAAATCCAACCCCTCGTCTAGTCACCAAGCACACTGATCTGCTCGCCTTTAGGCAACATTTGGAGAGGTCGATCCAACTGAACGTCACGCTAAACGCTGCGGAAGATATCGAGATGGCTGTGGATAACATCACAGAGAGTATATACGTGGCTGCAGCTCCCTCAACGCCTTCGCATCAACGGACAAGCGCCGCCTATGGAATAGTTCTTACAAGAGAGGCCAGAGAGCTTTTCTCACAAAAAAAGGAGACTTCGAAGATGCGCAATCCGATCTCAAGACCCATGGGACCGAATTCTATGGAACCGGGCTGCCAAGCAACTTCGAAACACACTAAGAGAACTTCGAAGCAACTTCTTTGGACGAAAGCTTGCTTCAATGGATTACACCGTGGATGCTGGATATTCGCTTTGGAAGACCACTAAATCTCTTAAGAGACAACCGTTCAGATAGACCATCTGGTTCAGACAAGTTCAATTCACATATTCGCGCGCTCCATGGTTTGGGCACCACTGAGCAGATCGCAGGATGCATCGTCGTGCAGGAGCATCTCCGAAAACTGGATCCAGCGAGCCAAGAGAAGTGGGAGGAACGATTCAACGACCCCGCATTCGCAAACTGAATTCCGCCGTGGGAATCTATGGCCTCGTTCTTGGATCAGCGATGCAGACCATTGGAGACGATGGACTTTTCTATGGCAAGCTATGCGTTGAGCAGTTAGGTGGGCAGAAGTAGAAAGCATAATAATTCCACATATAAATCCACAATAAAAGGTCCACATTGGTTACAACGAACCAAACCGTAGCACGCTGCGCGCTGTGCAACGAGGTCCAGCACTGTCAGAAGTTTAAAGCGCTGTCCCCCACAAATCGCCATAAAGAAGCCAAGCGGCCTTCGTTGTGTATAAATTGTCTCAGAACAGGGCATCGATTACTTCAGTGCACCTCGAGCAACTGTCGTACCTGCGGGGGTAGACACCATACCCTCCTTCATTTTGGTAGCCCTGAAGATACCGCAGTCCAAGGGAAATCAGCGCCGTATACTCCATCTCAGTCTGCGCTGTCTGAGTCTACGCCGCGGCCAAAGAAAGGCGAGGAAAACACCGAGAACCGAAATCCAACGGCACCGACGCAGCAACGGCAGAAGAGAAACGCCGAGAACAGCGAGCCGACCGCATCAACGCAGCAGCGGCAGAGGAAAAGCGCCGAAACGGCAAACCAACAGCAGCAACGGCAGAATAGAAACGCCGAAAACCAAAACCAAGCAACGACGCGCCAGCAGCGAAAAAGAGAGACACCGGCGCTGCGTAGACGCCGATAGAGAGCGGGAACGACGGCGGCAGCCCTCTGCCGCAGCGAGAATGACGACGCTGGCCGCCCACGCTGACGCTGTATCGGCAGAGTTCTGAGCTGGGAAAACGAGGAGTTAGAGAAAAAGTCGATTGGAAAAGCCCAGAGGAGCCAGACGTGCCCGCGGAAAGTTCGAGTAGTTCGCGAAAAGTTAAAATACGTGGCGTACGAGATCCACGCCGACGCGATCAGTGGTACGAAAAAGATCCTGCTCCGACGCCGCACTTACGGAGGAGAAGAAGCTTTCGACGATGGATGTAACAAAAATATAGCCTGGCCACCAACAATCTATACACTAGTGAAACTGGATGTCCGGGGCTTCGCCTTCTCTGCACATCCTTACGCCTCTGACCCGAGTAGCCCAGCAGGATCCCGAGGCCGCTGTCCGGCGATCGCCTAGGCGCTCTCGGTGACACCTGTTGGCGCCCTGTATGATCCCAGTAGACCGACAGGGTCCCGTAAGTAATGTCCGGCGATAGCCTAGGCACTCTCGGTGATACCTGCCGGTATTATCGCATAGCAAAGCCCCCTTCCGCTTCGTAGTAATTCTTAGGTCTACAGGGTCCCGTAAGTACTGTCCGGCGATAGCCTAGGTACTCTCGGCGATACTTGTCGGTATCTCCGCATAGCAAAGCCCCCTTCCGCTTCGTAGTAATTCTTAGGCCTACAGGGTCCCGTAAGTACTGTCCGGCGATAGCCTAGGTACTCTCGGCGATACCTGTCGGCCCTCTTCCGCTTCGTAGTAATTCTTAGGCCGACAGGGTCCCGTAAGTACTGTCCGGCGATAGCCTAGGTACTCTCGGCGATACTTGTCGGTATCTCCGCATAGCAAAGCCCCCTTCCGCTTCGTAGTAATTCTTAGGCCTACAGGGTCCCGTAAGTATTGTCCGGCGATAGCCTAGGTACTCTCGGCGATACCTGTCGGCCCTGTCGGCTCGCACAACTGTAAACTCGGAATTGAGGCGCAGCAACTCCGGTTAGAAATACCCGTTGCGGCTTGCGTCCCACACCCGCCGCAACTGTACACACCGGTGGAAGTGCGACTATACTCTCCCCGTGAGGGCGGCTGGAAACAGGTCCTGGCACGGTCATGTTTTTGCCAGAAGGATGGCGAATGGTAGTCGGGCGGAGAGATGAAAACATCAAGGCAAGGTGAAAGCCATCGAGTGCCAAGACACTCGCTCTGCGGCCCTATACATGAAGTCGGTGGCTGCTCTAAAAGAGGTCTATCCAGGGGCGAAACTGGAGGCCGTGAGATGGGAGGATGTCCTTAGTCGTCCGAGAGCCAGAGCATGGGTCTCGGCTAAACCTGGAGAACCTGATATAATACTCAGGCTACTGCAGGTCCGCAACCCCCACCTTCCCACAGCCGATTGGAAGGTGGCCAAGGTAGAGGATATCCAGGGGCAGAGGCACCAGATAAAGGTTACCATATCCAGGCAAGCAGAGGTCGAGCCAAACCCGGAGCTGCCGGAGATCCTGTCTAAAATAAGGAAATAAATGTGTAATTATATTATTGTAATATTTTATATTTTGTAATACAAATCAAACAAATAACAGCTTTGATTTTACTTCCCGCTCCCTAGTGTACCATACACAGAAATTAGCATCATCATCAATTAAAAAAGAAGCATAGTCCAACAATGTATAATTTTAACGTCAAAAATAGATAAATATGCAGACTAATTTAAATTTTCCAATCCGTGTTTTGCACACCGTAATCATCTGCTTAATCAGTTTGTATTTATTTTGATAAGGAAAAATTGTAAATGGCTAACAGATATGATGATAGGGAAGCAACATGCAAAAATCGCAAAGAAACGAGTGGTCTTGGAACATCCAAAATGAATGGTGGACTAACTGGGAAATTTTCGCAACGCAAAACCTTACGGACCATCCCCGACATGAATGGAGGATGGCCGTCAGTGTGAATAGCCTATTAGGACACATTTTGTCAGCACCCTTGAATCGTTCCGTGTAATTTTGGCTGGAAAACATTTGACGCAAGCGCAGTAGTTTTTAAATATGGACTGTGTAAAATGTTAAACATATATTAGTATACAAAATACAGTCAGCAATGCAAATGCTAAAGCGGGTGTTCCCAAACGTGCTGTACATATTGTATTACAAAATCTTGACGAAATAAAACTAAACAACAAAAAATGTTCTTTTAATTGTATAAATATATCTAAATAAATATAGGAATATACAAAATTGCACGCATAAAGTTTACAGACATATACATACATAGGCCTATTTTCATAGCTATAAATGATAAAAATGGTTTTACACAAACGGAATTCATTGATTTGTCGATTGAGTTAAAATGTGTATAAAGTATAAATAAGTGTAGAAAAATTCATATATATATGCATATATATATATACATATTAATATATGTATGTATTTATATATGCATATGTATACTATACTTTTGGCCGGAGCTTCAAGATTATAGGAGTAATTAGATTCGATTAGATGTAAATACGTACATATGTGCATACATATGTATGTATGTATATAACAGTTAGAAGGAAGCAGATTGCAGTCTGACAATTGAATATGATTGTATTATTATTAGAGACAATCGTCCCTCTGTCTCACACACACTTACCCTCGTCCAGAGAGAGAAAGAGAGAGTAAAATATGACTTAGTACGGACCATGATGCAATTATACTAGGTGGTCTCGAGTGAAAGGCACATTGTATAGTAAGTGTGAGTGAGTCGGCATATGTTGATGTTGATAAACCCTTAACAGGCCCG